ATTCACAGAACAACAATTATTGCATTATTAATGTTCGGAAGGCATCAAACGTTTTTTCACCGTAGGGTATTGGAACACCTAGATGTAATTACTGACAGCTGTATCTATTTAATTAATATTTGGGTATTAGAATTGCAAAATTTGTAAACATTATTTTACTGGTAGGTCTGGGAGTTTGTTTTGTTCGCTTCTAAACTGTATGAAATCTATTTTGGATCTATTATTACCAATACCATCATCGTCTTCATCAGCATCGAAATGGCTGTGGGAAGATATGTCAGCAAAAATTGATCCAAATCAATTTGGAGATAGAAAGAATATGTCTACATGTCACTATCTGATTGTCTATGACTGCCATTCACGTCTTTAATAAACCTTGATTGAATTGGATTGAATCATTATAAGTTTATATAGCTCGTATGTAGGCCATTAAAAAGTAGCAAATTTAATGCTTTGTTAAGCTAGCTTAGGTTACAAATATTGAGTTGAGAGATATATCAAATCTAATATAAACCAATGGATTTCATACTCTTATACGGAATTAAATCAGGTAAGATGATTTATTTTTACAGTACCCGGAGCTATTCGATAGAAATGAAATAAAAGACATTGCATGCTTCGTTCAATGGAGTAAAAGTAAGATGAACAGTTAAAAGATGCATGAACAGAAAACCGAACAGCTCATTACAGAAAATATAATATCATATCGGAAAAGGAACATAATGAACAAAAACAAATAGAGAAAGAATCTAATAGCAAGTGAGAAAAAACTAATACGTAACGCCAGAACCAATATCATGAATGTTCGGATAAAATACAATTAAGAACCACAAAATATCAACAGAGTAGATAACATGAATGCTAATTATTTTTGTACAAAGTTTGCTTACAATTTTTGTGCAATGTGCTTTGATCCCAACCACATGTCAGCTACATAGTAATAATTTAGCGTGACCTTATCATCATTATTGTGCAGCAGAGTTGAGATTTGATAAAGAAGAGGCCTGTAGGCATGCTATTCATACAATAATTAAGGATGTTTAGAAAAATGAAAATAATGATGATGATGATGATGATGATGATGATGATGATAGTGATGATAATATCAATAATAATAATAATAATGAGAATAATGATTTCATTTCATTTATTCTTCAGTTCTGAATACACACAGAAAATCAGTAATATATGGAGAAATATAAACTTACAAACAGAACTGGTCAGGACGCCAAGGTAAGCGAATCTTGATGCCTTGTGAGCCCTAGCAATAAGAGAGTTTACAGATACAATCTGCGCATGAGCAGATAAAGGTCATTTGTACCAAAAAGGTAAAACCCACAGACATGAATACTGGATATGCGCTCATGAAAGTTATGTAACATTATTCATTTATGCACCAACGGTACATTCTAAGATACGCAGGTGGAAGTATTCTTTTCAAGAGGGCAAACAAAAGGTATTCATGAAGCACATCCAGGACTTTGGCAGTTATCATTCTAAGATGCTCAAAGTGGAACTTTTCCATGCGTAAAAGATCTGTGGATATTTGGAGTCATTTGTACCATGTGCTATCTGTAAACTCCCTTATTGGTTCCTGTAGTAGGAGACCAGCGTGTAGGATCCGTGACTAATCTCTGGAAACAAGGTTTGAAAGTATTTTTGTGTTCCCTGATGAATACCGAACAATTTTGACTTGGGCTGCCCCCTTGAAAATCCCGAGCATTTTCGTGAGGGGCCAACAAAGGTCAAACAGGGGTCGAAATTCAAATACATTCAAATCGTGTCGATATGCATATCAAATTACTCGTCTGATCAAGAGGATTCCAAAAATGTATAGTTTGTTATACGTCCGACCTAAAATGAGGGCGCTATGGTAAATAAACGTTGGTGGTCAAATTCACTAACACAGTTACTCTTATCAAATTGCATATCAAATTACTCGTCTGGTCATGAGGATTCCAAAAATGTATAGTTTGTTATACCTCCTACCTTAAATGAGGGCGCTATGGTCAAAAAGGTCAATGCACTTGAGACTGGTGGTCAAATTCACCAACACAGTAACTCTTATCAAATTGCATATCAAATTACTCGTCTGATCATGAGGATTCCAAAAATGTATAGTTTGTTATACCTCCGACCTAAAATGAGGGCGCTATGGTAAGTAAACGTTGAAAAGTCAATGCACTTTTGACCGGTGGTCAAATTCACTAACACAGTAACTCTTATCAAATTGCATATCAAATTACTCGTCTGGTCATGAGGATTCCAAAAATGTATAGTTTGTTATACCTCCTACCTTAAATGAGGGCGCTATGGTCAAAAAGGTCAATGCACTTGAGACTGGTGGTCAAATTCACCAACACGTCCCATTCTAATGATTTTAGTGTCTAATAATATGTTTTCTGATCTGGCAAATTCAGCTTTACTACTTTAAAAAATAAAAATGCTTACCTTGACCATGAACATTCAAAATATGGCTGCCGTTTCGGTAACAAACCTTTAAAAACTTCTTATCCATGGGTTTGGGGGAAATTTCAAGGTTATGGCAACCACTTTTAATTAAGATAATTTGATTAATCCTGATAAGATAATTCTTACTCATTGTGTGTGTCTACTGTGTATTCTTGACAGCTAGTGTGTGCATCTGTTACTTATGTGTTTGTAAATACATGAGGGTGGGTGGGTGTGTGTTTAGGGAGACAGAGAGAGAGAGAAAAAAATGGGGGAGATAGAGCGAGAGAGAGAGCGCGCACACGCAGTGACAGATCGGGAGGGGGTCAGGAAATTTTGTAGCAAACAAAACAAACCAAAAAGTCATCAGTCCCCTTCTTCCTCTTTTTCCTTCCTCTTTTTGGGGCGGGGAGGGCCACGTGCCCCTGTTCCCCTGGATCCAGGCGCGTACGCAGGGGGGGGGGGGGGGGGGGGGGTGTCCTTCTTGTAGAACTTGCAGAACTTCAGAGCATCGGGCCTCGCCAAATCCCGAAGACATGATCCGTTGTCCCGAACACCCTGTCCCGAACATCTTGACCACTTCGTGTTGCTGGTGAGGCGAATACCAGTTTTAAATAAGGTAGATATTGTTCAACAGCTTATCCATTTTAATCATTTTTTGTTATTAGTACTTAACCTTTTTAATAAATAGATTTACAGCATTTTCATTATTCATCCATGAATGAAAAATCTGTTGATATGACTATGACTAATTAATAGTAGTGATAGCAGAAAGCACTGCAATCAAGTGTAACATATTTTTCATTTATAAATGAAGATTGTATACGAGATCTACCCGACGCCATCTACGTAGGCGTCAGACTGGTAGATCAATCGAACTTATGTCATGCGGGACTAATTCCACGGAATCTACCTGCATATTAGTTGTAAATTTGTAATTATCATGGATGATTTGGTACTCAGCTGAATTACATTTTCCACATTGTCTGAGCACCCTATCCGTAACCTAACTTACATCCAGTACTATTATCTTTCCGTTGTCATCTGGTGTAATTATCATAGTAGATCTGACTGCCATTGCTTCATTGCGTGACGCGCATTGGCGACCTTCAATTCAATTCAATTCAATTTCAATTCAATTTAGTATTTATTGTCCATTTCTGGATATTTGATTTTCACTGGTGTAACATATACAGATTAACAATTACTAATGTATATACAAAAATGTAGACATTAACAGTGAATACACAAGGTTTAACATATGATTAAGCACAGATTAACAGAGGATCGAATGTTTATAAACACTAATTCAGAACAATAGTTAACATAGTAAATGAAGCAGAGCAAGAGGAGGTGTCAGGTGATCAAACGATTTAACAGGTGAGGTAAATATAAATATACTGATATTCTGAGGAGGTTTGGTATCCAATCTACCCATACATGTATTTTCGTCGTAAACCAATTTGGGAATTATTAATTAGATTAAATATGATATTAAAGTACAACACTGGGTCTTTGAGACATTCCGTTGTACATATGGATGGAGTTTGCTATGAATGATTGCCGAGTTCTCACTCGTGCAGACCTGGGCACACACAAACGAAAGCCTGACCTATTGTAATTGTAATTAGTGTGAAGCGGGTGGGTGGGGTCGTTCATGATTCGTTTGACTTTAGCAACTACTCTTTCTTCATACAGTGTGGATACTGCGTGTAGGCTACTGCCAATTATCCGTTGTGCTACTCTCCTCGTACTGTCTACTTCATCTTATCTTTTTGAGTTGCATTCCCAAAATAGCATAATTATTATGTTGTATGTAGCTACACTCTCTATCAATGATCTGTAGAATAGAGTCAGAATTGTTTTGTCTACATGCATCTTTCTCATCATTTTCAAGAAGTACATTCTCTGATTGCACTTTTTTCTAAGCAAGGTAACATTTGATGACCAGTCGAGTGAATCAGATACCGTTGTTCCCAAGTACTTATAACTGTCAACTCTTTCCACAGCCGACCCCTGAATAGTAAGCGGTGGTCTTGCTTGTGGACTTCTCCGAAAATCTATAATCATTTTCATAATAATATTGATAATAATAATAATGAAAGTGATAATAATAATGATGATGATGATGGTGATAATGAAAATAATATTGATGATTATGATGATAACAATGATTATTATGATGATAACAATGATTATTATGATGATAACAATGATTATTATGATGATAGCAATGATTATTATGATGATAGCAATGATTATTATGATGATAGCAATGATTATTATCATTGGCTATATAGAGGAGGCAAGTAGATACTAGTGGAGTCACGCTTTAATGTCTGCTGAAATTATCGAGTTATTTGAGTAATTAGTACAAATATTAGTATTCCAGGGTTTCCATGACAGTTTCTCTAACCTGTGGTAATAACACGAAATTAAATTAGCTTTCCATCGTTTTCCCAAGAGCATTGGTATACTTACGGAATGATTGGTAAAACAAAAAGTGCGCGCGCCTATTTGCAGGCGATCGATCGGTTGGTGTAAAATCAACCTCAAAAATATACCGAAGATCGCGGCAGAAAGCATGGTCACAAAAGTGTGGACACATACCAGAACTTATCCTGTGACGGAGCCAATTTGGCCATCATGTTTCCAATTCACATTTTAGAAGGATTAATTGCATTTAGCATTCTTTTTCTCGGTCGTAGTTGTTTGTCGACGGAATCGGGTAAGTCAAATTCTGCCATATCCAGACGATTGCATAGACTTTCGAGAAATTAACTCAACTGCAATTCCACTACCCTTTTGTAATCTTCGTAGAAATCAGGTTCGGACTGCATTATGTCATTGTAAAGTTAGCGCATTTCATTAGACGGTGCACGAGGCGTTGCGATCTTTGCGATTGTTTAAAAGAATGTGATTTTCTCTTCCTCCGCCATTTCTAACAGCTTGAATATTTCTTTAAATGATTTACTTTTCACTTTAATGAGGGGTAAGACCAATTTCTTTTATGTCGTTTCTTTTCGTTTACAAATGGATAGCGGAGCCTCTATTTTTTACGTGAAAGTGGGAGGTAAATATGGGAATAATGAAAAATTATGAACTAGTCTATTTCTGGCATCGGATCAAATTTTAAGCAACAGAACGTTAATATATATATATATATATATATATATATATAGTCACAAAAAACAGTAACAAAAACGCGATGAATCCCGGATTCATCTTCTTGATATGATAATAGGTGATTTTAGAAGTAGGAGTATCCGAAGACCCGGTTTGGATTTAGCCCCCCCCCCCCCTTTTTTTTTTTTAAATTTCTAAATAAAGAAATCTAAGTATCAAAGAATGGGTCGCCTTTATGAGGTGATGACCACCTTTTTGGGAGAAGTAAAACAGCACCCCCAAAACATGATGAACTGTTTTTGTATCTGCTTGTCAGAATATTTTACGCATATTGTGCCCCCTCCTGGATCCGCCCTTGATCGGCACGTTACAGTTACAGCAGCACGGCAACAGAGAGGCCTAGTTAAATTTAGTTAACTATGGAATTTTCTTCACCGTAAAAATATTGCAAACTTTCAATAATGCGAGGTTATTGACTGATACCGCCGAGTACACGGAAATCTTTTTAGAACAACAATGATACACAATTTGCCTAAATTGCGTAACATTCCGTATAAATGTTTTTCTTCATTTTTTTATCAGGCGTTTTTTGAATGACTCTTTAAACACGGACATGAAAAGTTATGTGAATTATTTAAAACGCAGTTTTATTGGGACTGGACCGATTTGAACTCCTGCCTAGTACCGTGAAAATATGCTACCTAAAACAAACAAAAACCTCACAAAATTGTGTAAATCTTGGTTTAGTTTTTCATGTGAAAAGATTCTCCTTCCGCTGGTACCAGTGAATTTGACCCTACATTTGGCCTACAAAAAAAAAATGTTGTACTGCCCTTTACGACCGACCCAAAAATCTTGAAATCTACGGTCGGCTTTTTAAAAAAGTTTTTTTTTTTACCGTTTTTTAGAAGAAAAAAATGTATTAAAGCATTCAAAACTGAGAAATATCGGCCCAAAGAGGGAGTTTTTTTTTTTAATTTCCGACCAACCGACTCATGTTTTGGCACCTAAAGGGCAATACAACAGCTCTGTTTTTTAGGCCTTATCCAGGCGCGGATCCAGGATTTTCCAATAGGGGGGGGGCCGGAAATTTGAAAATTGCGCAGACAGTTTTTCAACTCAACATACCAATACTGACGAGGTCATATTAGAAGCACCACACCCGTAATTTTTTTGACATTTTCATCAGGGGGGGGGGGGCTGAAGCCTCTTGCCCGAAAGAGTATTTTCTGGTTTCACAATTCGGTTAGTGAGCGAAGCGAGCGAGCAAAAATTTGAGGATAATAATGTATTTTGTGAAAGTGTTATTTATCACCAAAATATACGAGAAAAGATATAACAAATTCATATTCGGGCAGCTCGCTGTTCCCCTCTCCCCCCCCCCCCCCCCCCCCCATTACGCGCGAAGCGCAGAAGCTTTAATGTTTCATGAAATTATTAGAGAAAGAAGAGGATTCGTTGTAACATTCTCGACTCCTACCCTTGTCTGAATTTAGTTCCTCCCCCCTGCTCTCCCCTCCCCTGCTCTCCCCCTGCTCCCCCCCCCCCCCCTCCCGCGCGAAGCGCGGAAGTTTTGACGTTTCATTAAATCATTAGAGAAAGAGTACCGTTCTCGACTCTTAATCCTTGTCTGAATTCAGTTTTTCCCCTCCCGCGCAAAGCGCTGAAGCATTGACCTTTCATAGTTTAATGAAATTATTAGAGAAAGAAGATAATTCGTTGTTCCATTCTCGACCCTCAATCCTTCTCTGAATTCAGATTCCCCCCTCCAGCGCAAAGCGCAGAAGCTTAACGTTTCATTAAATTATTAGAGAAAGAAGACGATTCGTTGTACCGTTCACGATTCTTAATAATTGTCTGAATTCAGTTTCCATACCCCCTCCCGCGCGAAGCGCGGAAGCTTTGACGTTTCATTAAATTATTAGAGAAAGAAGACGATTCGTTGTACCGTACTCGACTCTTAATTCTTGTCTGAATTGAGTTTCCTCCCCCCCCCCTCTCTCGCGCGAAGCGCAGAAGTTTTGACGTTTCATTAAATTATTAGAGAAAGAAGACGATTCGTTGTTCCGTTCTCGGTTCTTAATCATTGTCTGAATTCAGTTTCTCCCCTCCGCGCAAAGCGCGGAAGCTCTGACGTTTCATAGTTTATTGAAATTATTAGAGAAAGAAGATAATTCGTTGTTCCATTCTCGACCCTCAATCCTTCTCTGAATTCAGATTACCCCCTTCAGCGCAAAGCGCAGAAGCTTAACGTTTCATTAAATTATTAGAGAAAGAAGACGATTCGTTGTACCGTTCTCGATTCTTAATCATTGTCTGAATTCAGTTTCTATACCCCCTCCCGCGCGAAGCGCGGAAGCTTTGACGTTTCATTGAATTATTAGAGAAAGAAGATGATTCGTTGTTCCATTCTCGACTCTAAATCCTTGTCTTAATTCAGTTTTCCTCCTCCCGCGCGTAGCGCGTAAGCTTCTGACGCTTCATTAAATTATGAGAGAAAGAAGATGATTCGTTGTCCCATTCTCGATTCTTAATCCTTGTTTGAATTCATTTCCCCCCTTTCATAGTTTAATGAAATTATTAGAGAAAGAATATAATTCGTTGTTCTAAGGACTCTTAATCCTTCTCTGAATTCAGTTTCCCCCTCCAACGCAAAGCGCAGAAGCTTAACGTTTCATGAAGTTAATAGAGAAAGAAGATGATTTGTTGTACCGTTATAGACTTGTCAAAAATGTTTCTTTGTCTGCTCCTTTTTTCGTCCTATGTCCCCTTACTGCCCCTACCGCCCCTAGCTACGCATGCTTTAAAGGGAAAATGAAACAATCATGATTGTGATAGCATACAATTAGGTCAGTAGAAATGAAAGGGGAAAAAAAATCTTTTTATATACCAACCATGAAATAATCGCGACCGGGAGCGTCATATCTTAGTTTTGTGTTATCGGGCGAGGGCCGGGGCGTAGCGACCAAGCGAGATTTTGCAATGTAGAATGCTATAATTATGCATTCTAGAAAATCCTTTAGTCCAATATGTACGTTCTTTCCGCTACATGTATATTTCTTTCTAGCTATATATCTAAATTTCCGGGGGGACGTGTCCCTCTATCTGGCCCTGGATCGCCGCCGCTGTCCATTATCACTACCAACATGAGTTTAAATATAAGCACAAGCGAGTTGTTATGATTTGATTTTTGATTTTATTTTATTCAGACAATATAAAAATATATACATGTCTTGGGTTACAAAACAAGGTTTAGAAAAACCCATACAAGTTTGCATCCCAGATATGGACAGTAAAATGGCATACATAATTACACAGTAAATACTAATACATAAAATATCGAAGTATTACATAGGTTATAGTGCAATATAAATACAACAACAGAAATACAAGTTAGAAATTGCAAGACACTTCTATTTTAAAAATCTAGATTGAGATGTTTTACCAGAGCCGATTTAAAGGTATTTAGCGATTGACTGTTTACTACTGTTTGTGGGAGTTGATTCCATTCATTGATTGTTTGGGGATAAAAGGATTTCATATAATAGTCTGTTCTGGCATATGGAACGTGCATCTTAAAAGTATTATCATTTCTTCCTATTCTGTTCGCTCGTGTGCACCTATTTACTTCTCCTACATTAATCAAGTTATTTACAATCTTATAGTAAAAAACAAGTCTATGGTACTTTCGTCTATTTTCTAATAAATTAATTTTGACATTTTGTAATAACACGTTATAACTCGTAGACCAATCCTTACACATCATCCTTACGTAACGTTTTTGAATACGTTCAATCCTCTCTTTGTGTGTGTTTCTATAGGGATCCCATGCTGTACAACAATATTCTAAACGTGAGCGAATTAGTGATTCAAAAAGACTTTTTAAAATAGACTTTGGACAATTAACAAAATTCCGTCTTATAATTCCCATGATCCTGTTACATTTTGTATATAAGTCAGTGCAATGGTCGTTCCAGTTTAAAGAATCATTTATTACAAGACCTAAGTATTTTTCAGACTTTACATTTGTTAACTCCTGTCCATTGAGAGAATAATTATATGTTATATCGTGAAGCTTTCGAGACATTTTCATAGTTTTACACTTTGATACATTAAAGTCGAGCATCCATGTTTCAGACCATTTACTTAAAACTTCTAAATCATTTTGTAATATCTTGCAATCATCTACATTGAAAATTGGACGGTACAATATACAATCGTCCGCATATAATCGAATAGTTGATGAAATAATAATAATAATAAATTAATATCATTAATGAAACATAAAAACAATATCGGGCCTAAAATTGTTCCTTGCGGAACGCCTGATTTAACTTTGATCCATGAAGAACATTCGCCATTTATAACCACCCTTTGATATCTATTCTGTAAAAAATTCATTATCCATTCTAAATTTTGAGATCTTACACCATACATTTCAAGTTTTGTTCTTAAAAGGTCGTGAGGTACACTATCAAACGCCTTTGCAAAATCAAGGAAAGCAATGTGTACGCTTGAACCAGACTCCATATTATAACTCCAATCATTAATTGCTTCTATAAGTTGTGTTTCACAACTTCTTTTTTCCCGAAAACCATGTTGATTGTCACATAGTATATTATTTTCATTAAAATGTTCAATAAGACGTTTACAAATTATGCGTTCTAAGATCTTGCATGTAATGGACGTAAGAGATATAGGGCGATAATTACCCGGATCCTGTTTGTTACCCTTTTTATACAATGGACATATATTAGCTTTTTGCCAATCGGCTGGCAATACACCTGATGACAAAGACAGATTAAAAAGTTTACAAAGAGCAGGTGCCAATTGTTCTGCACCTTCTTTCAACAAACATGGGGCTAATTCATCGGGGCCTTGCGCTTTTGAAATGTCTACATTCTTTAACAACTTTAAGACTTCAGCTTCGGTACATTGAATATCCTCCATAATAGGAGCATTACTATTTGATTCGGGCTTATAAAGTTTACAAAGAGCAGGTGCCAATTGTTCTGCACCTTCTTTCAACAAACATGGGGCTAATTCATCGGGGCCTTGCGCTTTTGAAATGTCTACATTCTTTAACAACTTTAAGACTTCAGCTTCGGTACATTGAATATCCTCCATAATAGGAGCATTACTATTTGATTCGGGCTGGGAAAGGGTTTCACAATTACTAAAAATTTGATTAAATTGTTCATTAAAAACATCAGCTTTTTGTTGATCTTCAGTAATAATTCTACCACTGACATTTAAGCAATCTATCATACCACGGTCACACTTTCTGGACTTAATAAAATTCCAAAAAGTTTAGGATTACGTTTAAGACTATTGCATATATCATTGCGTAAATAATTCACATAATTCAATTTAACTTTCTTTTTTACTTCTTTTCTCAACTGTTTGTATTTTTCCCAATGGGTTCTCTTAGTTGTTCTTTTAGCTTTCTTAAACGCTCTATTTCTTTTCTCATCAATTTCCTTAAATCCTTATCTACCCACGGAACATTTGATCCTTTTCTTAAATTACCATGCGGAACATTTGCATCACAAATCTTTATTATTGTAGATTTAATCAACTGCCAATATTCTTTCACATTAACATCTCTGTTTTCTTCAGATAAAGGTGCTTCTTTCAAATCTTTTCGGAATTGTTCAAAGTTAGCTTTAGAATAAAAATATATATGTTTCTTTTTTAATTCACTGTTATTCATACAACAAATAATGAAACTTATAGCCTCATGGTCACTTATACCAGGAATTATATTAACTTTAGACACATCTGATGGATGAGACGTAAATAATAAATCTAGTATGTTACAAGTCTTATCAGTAATTCTTGTTGGTTGACTTACATGTTGATATAGAAAATTGTTGTCAATAACCGACATAAAATATTTTGTTAACTCAGAGTTTTCGGATGTGACATTATATCCGTTTACCCATTTCAAACTTGGTAAATTAAAATCTCCTGTCAGAATAACATTGCATATTTTTTTACCATTATGAGTTATTAATGACATAGATTTTTCAAATTCATAAATACTTTCTATTTTACTGTTTGGAGGTCTATAAAAAACTCCAAGAAAAATAGATTTTGTTTCTTTAAAAAATAATTCGCACCAAATAATTTCGCAGTTTGTCTCAAGGTCTTCTCTATGGAGTACTGACAAAATATTATGATATGCTATAAGAATTCCTCCACCATGTCTATTCCTATCTTTTCGTACTACCTTAAAATTTTGGGGAAATATCTCAGAAGATAAAATTTCCGGACATAAATGAGTCTCCGTAATACAAAAAACATCAGGTTTATCATGTTCAATAATTGTTCTTATTTCGTCGATCTTATTCACAACGCTTCTTGCATTTAAGGATATACATTTTAGATTGTTTGGATTATTTTTATTGTCATGTTCAAAATATGGAGTACATGTTTTAATATTAGGCTCGTCGAGGTGCACAGGCGAGTGATCAACATTGGCACTCTCTTCTTGGCCAGTCTTTTAATAAGTGCAAAACTTCTCTTTGTGACCAAGCTGGTTACATCGGCGACATTGGAGTTGGATTCCATGTCGACAAGTGTTAGCTCTATGATTGGGTTCACCGCAGTATTCGCAACATGTTCCGTACATTGTAGATGATTCGCCGACTACTGATGCATATGCTCTGTTTCCATAGGGACCAAAACGCGTCGCGGTAGTTGATCGTTGTCTTGGCGTGAACATTGATGGTTGAAATGTGGGGCGTGGTGGCTGGGGGTGGCTCGGGGGTGAAAGATAATGCGATGGTGCGTAGGCGTTCGGATGAGGTTTTGGTGGGTATGGAGGATTAATGTAGCTCGATGGGCGTAGCGGAGCTGAATCCAAATGAAGGGCAAAATAAGAGTTGTGAAGCGGCCCTACCGTTAATTTAAAATTTGGCTGCTTAGTATATAGCTTCTATTTGAAAGACATCCAAAATAATGTGCCCTTTTCAATTTTTTTCAAAAGCAGGGGCTGTTTGTAACGTTTAACTTTGAATCCGTGGCTCGAGATTTTATGCGGCCGGCCCGGCCCCCTTTATTCAATAACGTTTCCCAAGCCTTCTGGAATGACCCCAAATCTCCCGATTACAGTTTTTCCCTTATTCGTCGTTACTGTCACTTAGCGCCATTTCCTTGTCTTTCCCCCTTTCTCACCCGACTTTTCTCTCTCCCCCCCCCCCCCCCCCCCCCACCCACTCAGTGTTATCTAGGGTACGCGCATGTATGTTCCCTCTCTTAGTTTGAAAGCACCCCTTTATCTTCGGTGTGTAAAGGCAGTGCGGGCCGGATTTGTGTGTATTACGGGCCGGACTTTGTTGCGTGAAAAGTAACTCTTTATCAGAAATTTTGGAAACACAAAATCGGTCCCTCCGACCCCGGAGTGGGAGTGAGGTGGGGGGGGGGGGGGGTATCTTCTTCTTTTTTTTTCTTTCTCTCTCTCTCTCTCTCTCTCTTCTTTCTTTTCTCTTCTCTTTTCTTTTCTCTTCTTCTTTCTTTTCTCTTCTCCTTTTTTTCTTCTCTTCTCCTTTCTTTTTTTTTTTCTCTTTTTTTTGTGCCGCCAATAGGGGGGGGGGGCCGCGGCCGTTTCGGCCCCCCCTGGATCCGCCACTGTTATCGGAAGCAGTCTAGTCCGGGTTTTTTCGGCTCACCCTGTATAATAATCCTTAAAGGGCCCATGACATCGAAATACAAGTGTATTCCTCTGGGTGTGCAGTCCTGCATACATCTCATATTTTGATATGTAAGCTTCTGAATTTGTTTCATAGATTTCTAAATATTTTTTGAAATATTTGTTTTTCAAACTTGCTAAGCTCCACCCCCAAAACCTCCAGGTCTCATTCCCCTTGTGACATCATCTGTTGAGAAAGTGGCATGTAACTTTGCCAACAAAATTTCCAACCGTTTTCCCATGAAAATAATACATAAAACAGACTTTAAGAAATCTTTCAACACTTAAATGTTGGGAATTCGTATAAAGAGCAAATTCGTTGCTTTGTGATGATTGACATTCACCTAAAATTTGATTCAATCATAATAATATAGTTGGGAGAATTAAGGAAGCGATCAGATCAGTTTTTCCCAAAAATGTTATCATTAATAATGGTCTGTTTTCACTCAAACTTTCAGGTTATCATTAATTGTACATCTAGCATTGAAGTCACTTCCTTAGCACCATTTTCTCTCATCTGAACAATGTAACCATGTTTCTTTGAGGTTCATACTTGTTGTCCCTTTTACCTTTATCTGTATTACGCCTTCCTCCTGACAATGCGATAGGGTATTGAAATTGACTTGGAGTTGATTTCTTGTAAAAAAAAAAATTCGATCTAATTTAGCATTAAACACTAATAGATCATTGAATATTGAATATGTGTGGAGGTGTCGTGGTAAAGTAGTTCATAGTTCATTTACTTGACTCACAATCCAAGCGTTGAGGGTTCGAATCCCAGTCCTGTACTAACGTCCCTTTGCATAAATTCGCCACTCTCCATCCAGGGGCAGGTTGATACTTTGCAATTGTTGGGGTAATATTCGCAGGGCCTTCGGGGATAATAGCATTGATACTGATGAGGCATCCTCTGGTCAATAAAATATTATTAGTACTTTTTTTAATTGAATCGAATTTATTAACCATATATATATATATATATATATATACATGTAAAAGCAAAACATACAATAGAAATAGAATACATACAACATACAAAGCAAATATGTAATCAGGACCACATAGAAGCAAATTGCTTATAAATAGGCCCGCCCCCACCCCCACAAAAAGCAAATTATATTAAATGTAATTCAGTCATCATACCCAAACATGCACACATACTACATACACACATACCTACATAAATATTGTCGTTACAAACTTTCAAATAGGAATTTTCGACAAAGCTTTTTAAAACAGGATAAAGTTGAACTTAATTTTATTGTATGTTTTGCTTTTACATGTGTATATATATATATATATATATATGGTTAATAAATTCGAGTAATTCACGCCTGCATCATTTGAAGAATTAAGGGAATAAGTAAGTTTTACTTTGGGTGATGAAATGGTCTTTTTGACGAGTGGCATATGGAATTTTGAATAAACATGTTATTTATGTCTTACGGAGTACATACAAATTAGAGTATTGAATGTAGTCAAATCGTATAAAGGCACGAATTGCACCTGTTTAAAGAGTGGTATACTTGGACTTTGCATTTGTGAATTTGTCATAATTCTTAGAGATTTTTTCTGTAAAACCTATTATATTTTCAGATGTGATTTACAAGTATTTTCAAATATAGTTGCAGTAGTTTAGATGTGGTAAAATAGTGCTATTGTTTTGAATATATAAAACATTACTATGCAATATAAAATTTAGTTTAGAAAGGATACCAACATATTTTGAAAGTTTCTTAGAAATGTCTAATATATGCATATTCCAATTCAATGACTTATTAATTGTAACACCGAGAAATTTTACATTTTTACACTTTTATTATTATTATTATCAATACCATCATTACTATTGTTATTGATATTATTAGTATTGCTATTATCCTTACTATTATCATGATGATTAAGATGTAGCTTGCCCCGTCGGCTGGACATCCTTCTCCTCGAGATGCTACTTCGTGATGCAGAGCCTGTACACGTGGCAGGGGGCTCGGGACGTATGTCAAGGCCTCGGTGCAAGGGTCATCGAAATCACCACAGCGGACGAAAACGACTTCATGGTGGAACTGGTGGATGGCGTCACGTTTACATCCGAGGATAAGGCGTGGCTGGACTGTACTAACATTGGGAGGTCACTGAAGGACTGGGTTTGCGGCCCGGATGATCATGAACTGTCATATACATATACAAGTAAGCTACAATTAAGTTAATGAATACAATTTTCTCCGACGCAGTAGCAACACTTTTTGTAGATCAACATATACCACATTTTGTACGATAATTTGGCTATAGGCCTTGCTCTAGAATGGATAGTTTCAGTATTCCAAAATTCAAAATCTTCTTGTTCGGTCGCTTCTCGCTCTCAATACAACAACCTGTAAACCATTGCAGTATTAATTGGTCTTTTGATTGTTGATGAATAATCAATACACAGGCGCAGGCTGTGTGAATTCGTGCGTCTTCGAGCCAAGTTCAAGGGTCGGTGATTATTTAATTAGGAATGATCGAGGGATGTCTATAGCCGTTATCTCTCTCCCCTTCAAATTTTGAAAATTCCCAGCAAGTATCTTAATTAACAATTTTAAGCTTCTTAACCCCTTGAAAGTACGGAGGGAATTAAATTTGCTACTGTGGTCAAAAGTGTTCAAACAACAGAATACAAATTTTCTTGTTTTTTTTCCTTTTCTTGGCCTCTGCGCTCGCTCGCAAAAAGTAATTTTTCAAAGTGCGTCGGTAGAAAATTTGATCTTCCCTGTTTCAGTGGCTAAGTTCAATTGAATTTTGCGCTTCCCGGGTCTTATCCCCCCCCCCCCTCCCTCCGCCCCACCGGGAAGCATAAAACGCTCCATTGCATGCAATGTGGGACATGCAGTAGTATGTTAAAGGGATAGTTGAGTTCTGTTGCAGAGGGCGCTACACAAAATATTTTTTTGTGAGATAATGAAAAACTGAGTGTCAAATTTGAAAGAACATAATATTTAAATGACAAAATCATCTTTGTTTGATTATAATCGGTTCAGAGACGGCTGAAAATATAACGATTTTTAATACTTGCGTACCACCACAAAATATTCGATATTTTGAAAAATTTGAAAAAACCGTTGAAAAAAACGAAATAACGCCTTTTACGTTGTATTTCAGCAAATGCCGATGTTGTTTTTTTTTTGTTAGCATTTTTGTGTTGCTTATATTACGCACAACCAGCCGGCCCATGTATTGTTATTTTTAATTAAATAATTGATTGAAGGTCACCATGATTTTTTTTTAAAGTGGAGCTGAATTGGTATGATCGTATTGGCTAAATTTCACACATTTTGGGGTCTAAAATGACCTTCATAGCAATTTTAGGTTCTAAAAGGGTACTAGAAATGTCATAGATAAGAATAAGAGCAATAACCATGCACTTTGAAGGCATTTGCGGTCTGAAAACAGAACTCAACTATCCCTTTAATTTGTGTCATTCCTGGTTATTGTTATCTTTACTCTTACACTCAATTATCTATGTTACACTATAACTTTGGAATTTGTTATCCCATGTATAACAAATTGAGAATGATCCTATCTGGTTGGATTAAAATCAATAAAGTTTGAATTTGAATTTGAATTTGAATTTGCAACAGAAGCCCAACTCACACCCCCCCCCCCCCCCCCCCCCCATCCCGAAGTTTTTAATTCCAGAGCTGAGCATCTAGACCAAATCTGTTCAACCCCGGCACTTTAAAAAAAACACTCCCCTCCCATTTTGAGGTTATACAATTTTAATTTTCTTTCTTTATTTCTTTAATTTCGTCTGTCAGCAAATCAGAATCATTTAATTTTGGTCTGTGAAAACAATTATGAACCGAAAAGCAGCCATGCACTTACGATTCTAGGATAACTGGGTTTGCGACAGTGCCACTTTATACTCTCTGGAATTAGTTCATGCGTGATTTATTGAGCATGGTCTAATAAGGAAGAAGTGACAATGAGCTTTACAATGATGTTCATTGAGTAATAATTAGGCTGATAAATCCTTGGTTCCTATTAGGGACACACTGTATATTGGCATTTAAGAAATTTTACACACGTAAACATCTGACTCCCCGCAAATATCAACTTATGAAAACATTAGTAGCATGTAGTTCATAGAATGGACTATTTAATTAGATGGCTGTTTCGGAGCTAGTCAAATCAATAAATCAATAAGTCCGATTGTGACGTCAAGGAGATCAGTGCGAGAATTTCATTCAATTAGTTTAATTTGGCAGGTGATTATGAATAACCCACGTTGTCGCACCGATAGCTAAATTGCGAAACCTAAGGCTATATGAAATTGATTTCTGGTTTCTCGTCCGGGTTTTTTGAAAATAAGGAGAAGGTTCCATGTTTTTTATTCATTTATTTATTTTGTGAATATATATTTTTTTGATAATAATAATAATAATAATTATTATTATTATTATTATTATTGTTATTATCATTGTTATTATTATTATTATTATTATTATTATTATTATTATTATTATTTATTATTATTATTATTATTATTATTATTATTATTATTATTATTATTATTATTATTATTATTATTATTATTATTATTATTATTATTATTATTATTATTATTATTATTATTATATGGGGGTTCTTTACATTTAAAACTTATTCGGTCAATTTCAACGCATATTTTATTATTTATCAATTTCAGGACAAAAATATAAATGACAATATAATATGTCTAGGCTGGCCGAAAAAAGAGGAAAGAGGAGGTGACGAGAAACTATACATTATTATCCTTTGGCCTGATAAATTCGCATCGAGGTGGATTGATTCCAGCACAGGGCGCATCAAGTGGGGTTTGTCGAGGATACCACTGTGGCTTTAACAGCATTGCTGTCGCGGTGCTTAAAGAGAAAATAGGGTCTGGTAAAGACGACCATAATTTGCAAGCTTTCTCATTCTACCTGTGTCAGTTTCTAAAAAGAAACAAACAAAATAATACAAGTGTCTCCTTAAAAAGGGTTTGCTTTAGAAATGCCCTCATATCCCAAATATGAGAAATAGAATTGTGTCTAGCTCAACCATTTCTTTGAGAAGTGCAAGTAATTTTTTTTACCAAGATTGAATTTGTTCTCATTTTTAATCATTTCGAAACCGCTCAGTATGCTTGTGCATCAAATTATGTGCTTCATAATTATAATCGACATTTTCCAGTTTAATCCAGATAGTTTCTTTCACAGTATAATCACATGACCAATAGGAAATGTTTTCAGAACCTCTTTGGGATGAATAGATTCTTTAAAAACAGGCTGGTAAGTGAAATAAGGGCAGTTGATTAGAAACAGTGATGAATGTTTGCCAATTGCTTACACATAGCCAGGCAACCACAAAGAATTATGAAGCAGACTAGACGCGTTGAAAAGGGGACAAATATGAATTCAATGCCAATAGGGGCGTTCATACCTACAGAAGAAAAACAGAGAGATTTAAAAGTTGATTTTTGCATCGCGATCCAATTTTTTTTTTGTGCGTGTGTGGACAGAATAATTTCACTTATCTTCGCGATTCGCATCGCGATCAAATACGCAGTACCGGTCAAGATTTACACATGCGCAGTTCGGCCGTTCTTAAAGTCGAGCGAGAATTCTCCTTTCTGTGTGTGAATGGTCCCCCCCCCCCCCCGAAGAAAAAAAAATGAATATTTGCATCGTGATCCAATTTAGCACTAAATTGACATTGTGTGAATGGTCGCCAGTAAACTACTGTTTCCCTTTGTATTCGGAAGTGGTGTATCTGCATGAGTTGAAAGAATCCAAATGAAAATTTCAAACACCCTTTTGAAGTAAAATCGGGTTGATCGACAAGCGCTCTAATTAACTTCAGGGCACGAAATGCATGTTCCATGAAATGGGGACATTGAAATCAATCCCGACAACAACTTAAACTCATCTAGAAGGTAGATGTAGATTTAATGAAATGATGAAGCGCTGAATCAGATACAGAAAATTAAGGTAATTGCCTGTATTTCTATAGCCAGTTTCAAAGAGGGATAAATAGTGATGGTTATTTTACCTGACTGCTAAGAAAGCATAATTGTTGTTACTATCAGCAATACGGCTTTCATGAAGAGAAGATTGGGTTCCGAGGCGAGAAAATAGGAAATTGATTTGTGAGCTTTAATGTTACTTTTTTTACGCTAGTGTGAAAGAATATTATAGAAAAAATTCTCATAAAATTTAAGTCATTAAAATTTCCTCATATTCAAAATATGCCAAGAAACACATGAACATGTTTGGACCAAATTTCATGACAAATGTTTATTTCGTTCGCATATACACATTTCTGTGTACAGCGCATGCTACTTTTAGCAAGGCCGAGTCAAATCCCCTTTTTTAAATATGATTCTAAAACTTCCATGAAACAATGTTGTAATGAATAACGGTCGCACACGCACTTTCATGACTGCGTGTTAGAACATTATACATTACAATTTTATTCAGCCCCATAAATCTTTCATGTTCATCGGTCGTGTATTGATTAAAAATAGCAAGGTAGACTAGCAACCGATTATTAGATGAAGCCGAACAGCACACCGATGTCACAACATGATTGATCTCTTTTCATTGTAAGCCCGGTTAGTTGATTAAACAAGTACTTTTCTAAGACTGAAATGAGAATATGTTTGCTTGACTATCAATCTAGACAGTAATAGGCACATAACCAGAGTTCTTTAAATTATTTGGAGTGATTGAAAGACATTTTTGGTGGAGTATGAGTTCATGGGCAAAGATTGTCATATCGCACTTACATCTTGTGAGAGTCAGATGTATGCAGGATAGTTAAGAAATTGAAAACACCACAAAGAAGAAAGTTACACCTTGCCAGCTATGTATTATGCAGGTATAATGAATTCTACAACCAATTTCTTTAGTGTATTATTAAAGTAAAAATTTAAAAAGTAGAGTATTAGCCACAGAACTACATTGTGCATTAAACTACAGGTATCTGGAAGCAATTTGCAACAAAGGGATTATGTGGTACAAAATTAGAATTGATTCTTTCTGTGAAGTTTTTGAACGATCTATAAAGGAGAAGAAATAGGACTCGGCCTTGCTGAAGATCACAAGCACTGCATCTTGCCACACTCGACCCAGGTGATGTAAATGGGTACCTGGCAGGATTTAATTCCTTGAAATGCTAGAGCGCCGTAATGGCAGCACAGCTAAAGCCGGGGTAATAATCTCCAAGTTTGGAAGCGCTTAGTGATTGTAATACGCGCTATATAAAAACTGAGTATTATTATTATCTTGAAACGGCATATCCATGGGCGTCAATCCTTACGCAACACCTATTGTTCAGGGGGGTGATGAATGAATAGATCACCCCCCCCCCCCTGAATAATAGGTGTCAATTACAGATCTACGCCCATGGGTATATCAGACTGCATAGAAATGTTTGGACCTAAACTTATGTTCATTTCTTGCAAGACATTAGCGACCGTGTTACATTGTGGACTTTAATTTGTTACAAAAATAACAGATGGTAAAGAGCACAACTGAGGAGGCAAGTGTTTTATGCAGGGTTATCTAAACTATAGAAAAGTCGATCTAAGCAAAATGGTCGTTTAAACTCGTGTGACGAATACAACTGATCAAGTAATGATTTATTGGAAAGCCTCAATTTATGATGACATGTTATGCATTTGAATATCTGTTTAGAGCCAGAAGGTCTGAAAGGTAAAGACCAGTATTGGAAACGCCCCAATTTCAAAAAATGAAATGGAAGCTCTCATTACCAATCATGTGAAAGAATATGTTTTGACTAATACATGATGATAAAAAAATTGCCGGGAAACCGCCTACAAATTCATATATTTAGTAAATTTGTTTCTCTCATGGTCTGTGAGAGATATAGGGTAGTCCCATATACATCTTTCTGTGTATAGTGCTTGTAACTTTACGAAGAATGGGCCAAATTTCTTATCATTTTGATGATTCCAGAACCTTGCAGATGCTATATGCTATATGCTAGATGATCAACCTTTTCTGATCGATTCCACAACGTTTCTTTCACAATGCAATCGCATGACCATAACTGGTCTTTACCTTTAAAACAGAGTTAATGCCCTTTCGGTCTTGAGCAGACAACGTATGCACGGGGAGTGAGGTGTGTCATGTCTTTTAGCAGTTATAGGCACATGCACATACTTCACATACATGCGTCTTCAAAAGATTAATCAATGTTTAGCTAATGAAAAATGGTCTTGATGAACCACAGTCTCAAACTTCATGTGAATCATGTGGGCAAATCAACGAAAAAGGTTCACTAGCCAAAAATCATAGAAATAGGCAATAACTAATGGGATCAAACATAGCGCAACAAGCAGGTTCCATTGAGTGGTATATCAGTAGGAGCGAAGCACATATTTTACTCATTATTTTCTTCAAATAACTGATTTTGGGGGCGAAATGTGGCAACATTTCATAAGTCAATACATCAAATCTCAAGGACTCATTATTTCACACCACAAGCCCTTCAGATTTCATTTCTTAGCAAGTAATGTTGGAGGGATCAAAGATTACTCTTAATAAGAGCTTTTTGTGACACCTTGAACATGCTAAATCAAGGTTAGTGAAGTGATAGAAAGCAGGCAAAGGGCAGAAGCTTATAACCACATTTTAAATATAGATACATAGATAACCATGTATCTGTATTTAAAATGTGATTATAAGCTTATGTAAATACCTAAACTAGATTCATTGAATCCCCAAATCAGACTTGTCGAAATGTTAACAATGAGTTAAAAATGGCCTCGTTCACTTTGTGTCACTGAAAAAAGAATACTTTTTACATCAGCCACTAGAGGAATACTGTGAAATTTGCTTTATGTATCACTGAAAGGCAGATGTATCTGAATCCCTGATTAAAATAAGTATGTTTAAGCTTAGAACTGTCTTAAATAGCTTTAACACATGTTCTGAATCGCATGTCCGTTACGCTAGAGTTCCTCACAGGGGCGGATCTAGCTTTTTGCTAAGGGGGGGGGGGGGTTTGACGAAAATAATGACGATGCAGAGCATCGTCCACGAGCCGCGAAGCGGCGAGCCGATTTTTTGTGGGGGTGTTTATTTGAACCCCGTAAGTGATGTTTTCCTGGCATCTATTAACACAATGGAGACCATAAAAAGCAGTGCATGATAACGTCTTTTTAAATCAAGTAACAGTTTAATACACAGTTATATCCAGAGTTATCATGTGTTTGGTTAAGTTACCAGATGAGTTGAATATCTTCTCACAATATTTGCACTTGAAAGGGTTTCTCTCCAGCGTGCGTTCTTTTTTCTTTCTTTTTTTCTTTCTTTTTTTCTTTTTTTTCCCCTTTTTTTTCTTCTTTTTTTTCTGGGCCGCCCGTAGATCCGCGCCTGCCTCATGTACTGAAAGGGAGAGATATACTTTAGCAGCATTACATTATTCCTTTCGCTTACAAACTATAAAGCGTCTTACTAAAGTGTTATTACTTTTAGCTAAGATTCTGTCTGTATGTATAGTTTGTATACGTGTATTATTTTTTTTTATAATTCTTCTTCTTCTTATTATTATTATCATTTTTTTGTTGTTGGGGGGGGGGGGGGTAATTTGCTTTTTATTTAAATTCAGATTTGTTATCATTAACTCCCTGCATGGCATTGATGTTTGTTTTTTAAAATAATTTTTTGTTTATCATTATTATCGTTATTAGTATTGTCATAATTGCTACCATCATAATTACCATCATCATCATCATCATCATTCTGTATAGAAAAAATTGTATACTATCAATCGTTTGTATGTCTCTGGAAATGAAATAAACAAACTGAATTTGTTTTTTCTTTCAAGACTGGAAACCTAATGAACCTAACAACGCTGGCGGTGAACACTGCATGGAAATGTACGGCACTGGGATCTGGAATGATAAATCATGTGAAGCACAAAATTTGGCTATCTGTGAGAGTAAGTAAAGAACAACTAAGGCCATGGAAAATATATACATGTTTAGCGTCCCCGCCCGCTTCCTTTTTGGGGGCCGCCTCCTATTTTTTTTTTTTTTGAATTGTTGAATTTTTTTTTGATTTTTTTTTTTTTTTTAAAGAAAAACAAAACATGAAAAGCACTGCTAATATCTATTTCTGATTTAAAAAAAAAAAAAAAAAAAGTCGGCGGCCATCTTGAAAAATAGCCCGACTGAAAGGAAAAATGTACCGAGCGGCCATTTTGAGCGGCCATTTTGAAAGAAAAAAAAAAAGAAAAAAAAGGGCCTCCTCCTTCCTATTTTTCCAAAAAAAGGACGCTAAACATGTTTTTTTTTAATTTGGCCTAAGACACAACATTCTATCAAAAAGAGACTATGTCGTGGTCAAGCGGTTTTATCACAATCTGGGAAAGCAAAGTCGTGGATTCGAGCCCCGGCACAGCAATTATGATGGACATTTCTCAACACAACGACTATCTATCTAGGATGCGAAGGTCATCGTGATTTGATTAGCATGTGCACGCCCGTAAAAACGTCGACGAGCTGAAATTCTCCCCAGGAGTCTGAGAATGTGCACTGTAGTGCGCGGTATAACGATATTGGAAGCCACTCTAAATAGTTCTGACTGTCATGGCCGTTACGCTGGAATATCCCTACTGTGTTCTGAATTTTTTTTTTTTTTTTTCGTTTATTTCCATTTCCAACAAAATAAATAAAGTACATGGGATTGCATTGTACATAGTAAAACAATGAAACTTAACAATATATTTGTAATTGGTCCACAGTGTACAACAGGCATATAACACAGGTTGGTCATGGAGGGGACTGCTGAAAAGCTGGGCTTGTAGATCGCAGCACCCTATAACTTACAGTTGCAAAAATAGTACATCAATAATAAAAGAACGCACAAATACATAAACCAAATAGACATAACATAGAAGGAGTGAAATGGACAGGGAAAGAAGGGAGACAAGGAACGAGGGAGGGCAGGGCTCTTACCTACACACACATCACAACACGGGCCGACTGGAATACGGATGGCCAGTACAAAATGAATCAAAATATTCAAATGTATTTTATTGAGTTAAATAAATTTAAAGAGGGAGAGCCAACGCTTGATAATTACGCAAACAACATTTTTTTATTTTGAATTTAAAAGAATTTAAACTGGGGGCATTCTTGATGCTAACATCAAGAAAGGTCCATAGCTTCGGGCCTGCGTAAGTGAATATGGATTTAGCAAGTAAAGTTCTAGTTAAAGGTACTATGTCCCATTTGCAGGCCAAAAAAATGAAAAAGTTAAATTCCAACTGCATTTGAAAGATAATACTAATTTAGAACTTCCCTAAAAAAGGTGGGGCTTGAAAATGTCTTCAAGTGGGAAAATAACGACTATTAGTTGTCAAACTGACTTTAGGGCTATAGAGCCCAAACGTAATAGTCTTGATTTTCAGACAATTGTACCGAATGGTCATACGTTTTATGCTGCGCAAAGATTCAATCAGTTTAATCTTGGCCATCACAAGAAGTGGGTTATTGATGTAGACAAATGCTCATGTACCCTTTACAACTCTTTTCATGTATGTTATTACCAAAGAAGAAAAAAGGCCAGTCAGTCACTCAATAGTGTCTGACAGTGAAGTCTAGCAAGTAAACGGGTTTCCTTGCATGATTTGAATATTAGGACACTGCTAACGTTTAAATTTCACAGATAGGACATACATGACATATTCATAATTCCTGCAAAGTTCTACAGAATTTGAGGTTAGCTGCAAAAGGGACATAGTACCTTTAATGGCAGATGAAATTCGTCAGATTGGCGCGTAGGGTATTTGTGTATATATTTTTTATTTTTGATGAACATTAAATTGAAGGCTGAGGGTAGCGTATTGTTATTTAACTGGTACATAAACTGTCCGAGGTTATAACGATATAAATCATTTATTTTCAACACATTATTTTCAACAAATAAAACGTCAGTATGAGATCTCCAGGAAGTGTTACAAATAACACGCATAGCTTTTTTTTGTAGAAGTAGTATTCTATGAAGATAAGAATCGTATGTATTACCCCAAACAATAATACTATAACTTAAGTAGGGCAAAACTAATGTCGAGTAAAGCATTAGTAGGGAGGAGGTTGGCAGAAAAAACTTAACCTTATTTACAATCCCTATATTGCGAGAGATTGTTCGGCAAATACTATCAATATGACATTTCCATGAGAGTTTATCGTCTATTATCAGACCCAAAAATTTCATTGAAGTGACGGCTTCTATGTCAGTATTATCTAGTTTAACATTATGTGGTAAGTTACCTATAGAATTGCTGAAGAGCATACATTTTGTTTTTTGTAAATTTAATTACTTGTGTGGCCTTGTTTTTTTTCTCAAGAAGTTACAATCTAATCAAATATTCAGAGCCTTGTTTTTTTTTCTTCAAAAAGTTACAATCTAATTAAATATTCAGAGCATTATTTCAGGATCTCGATACAAAAATTTGACACCTTTAACTTCACAATGTCCAAACGTTAGTCTGATTGTCCAATTTTCATGAAATTTGCCCTGATATCCATTTTTAACCAATTAACGTCACGTCTATCCTTCTAGCGGTATAGAGATTAAGAGAAAACAAATATAAAAAAATAAAAAAAAAATAAGCCCAACGAAGTTTCGCCACAATTTGTGGCCAGAAATTAAGAAATGCATCCTAAAACATGTGACGACTTGCACATACCCTCACAAAACCTTTAAATCCTGACAAACTTCACTACTTTCCTTATACACACGAGCACACACACGCACACACACACACACACACGCACTTACCCCACACCCACACATTCCACCGCATTTCCAATCCCACCGTCACAAAACCTTCACTTTTTTTCTGTCACAATGTTTCGAACTCTGTAGCACCCCTCTCCCTCTCAACCCTCTCCCTCTCAACCCGACCAGAGAATTACAGCCACTGTTGGTATGCTCGAGGAGGTTCCCCATTTTTGTTTACGTTTTTAAAATATTTTTGTTTGGGCATGAATTCGTATTCGTTCACAAAAAAAAATGTACTTTCGGACAAGGGTGCTAAAGCAGGGCTCCCACTTAGCCGAGTTGGAGCCTCGAGTTGTGGCGAGCAGTTTTATCATTAAAACATATTTCTTGATATTAAGAATTCAATTCTTGATATCTCGAAATCGAATTCCTGATATCACGAAATCGAATTCTTGATATCCAGAATTACCATTGCTTTACAACGTAAAATTATTTCTGATATAATAAAATAATAATAATAATAATAGCCTAATAGTCCACTCCAAATTTTATTAAACCGAAACGGAAATTCTTTTTGCCCAATGAAGAATTGATTTCTTGATATCAATTAATAATAAAACGGCTTGCCATAAGATCGCGCCAGCTCGCCACAACTTGAGGTTCCAACTCGGCTAAGTGGGAGCCCTGCTTAACAATGGTTTTGTAACCGAAAAACAAAAATAATTGTGTTCATTGATTTTATTTCTCAAAACTCCAATTCTTTTTCGTACATAACATAGTTTATACAAAACTGCAACATAATTCAATGTTCATAATTTTGCAACGTATAGGACTAAAATATATCACAATCACAAGTCATAAAGGAAAGATATTACCACACTACACAGTTATTTCATCCCCAAATCTAAAACAAAACATTGCATTTTCTTCTATGTGTCAAAATCGATGGCAAGTGAAAAAGAAGTTCTTGGTTCTGTGTCGGCAGTTCGTGGGACCAATCGCTCTTTCCCCCTCTTTCCCCTTTCCCCTTCCCCTTCTTCCCCCTTCCCCTTCTTCCCCTTCCCCTCTTCTCTCTTCCCCCTCTTCCCCCTCTTCCCCCCCTTCCCCCTCTTTCCCCTCTTCCCCTTCCCCCTCTTCCCCCTCTTCCCCCTCTTCCCCCTCTTTCCCCTCTTTCCCCTCTTCCCCTTCCCCCTCTTCCCCCTTCCCCCTTCCCCCTCTTCCCCTTTCCCCTCTTCCCCAAGCAGATGGTCGTTAAAAATCAGATAAGATGAGTTATAAAGAAGTACTACTGAAAAGAGCAGGTGAAAGGCATAAATAATTAGTGTGTGTGCACGGTAGAAATGTTACACGTAAAGGAATTCGATTTGACAGAAACGGTACTAATGAAAGTTTATTGATTGATTGCAAACGCTCATATCCGATGAAGTTCAAAATAACCATTCCCTCTAAGTGTTTGCTTTCAATTATTTTCATTCTTTCCCTCGTTCGTTTCTACCGTTTGTCTTTCCTCTGTCCTTAATCATATGCCAGTTACCCCCTCTGTCTTTATCTCTCGCTTTCTGCCGGTCCCTCTATAATATTTACTTTTCTTAGTAATATAATTAGCCGTATTTTTCTACATTGCATTGTATGCGAAACAGTAACTTCTTTGAGATAGGAATTTCATGATAAACGATACACTTTGCAGTTGTGTGTTTTACGTGAATATCAAAGAGCGACGAATTCCATGTAAATATGTTACAGTACTAAAACTTAGACAATCCAACCTTTGTATTACGTTCATTTGTATGAAAACGGAGAAACAAGAAAAACAGACTGTCGACATTTTGAAATATATCGAATCATTAAAAAGAGTTATCAATGTTTAAACTTTGAGATCAATAAATCTATGCAAATATCAAATTAGGCAATTTGGCAAGAGGATTGTGACGTAGTCAGGGACAACTCTCCTGTTTGTCGTGTACCAACAATTATTAATTAATGTCTGTTTCTCTCCGGAGTGTCTGTTCCCTTGGGGCACAACTAAAAATAAATCATGTATGGCATGTAATAATAGAATCCCTGTAAAGAAGAACAAAAAATCGTCCCTAAAATATAATCTTATGCCTTCATTTTTGAAAAATTGATACTTTGATTGACAGGCATATTTGTTTTGTTAATTGAAAGTAATTTGTCCGGCACTTCATCACTGTGACGTTATTGATTCAGCCTAATAAAATGCAGATTCCATGCAAGACTTGCATATTTCATTGGTAAGATTAGAAATCATTGAATCGCCCAGTTTGCACGTAGATGTATAATTCACATTCGCTCTTTCTAGGCCTATCTATGTTACTACTCTTACCATTATTTTGTTGTACCAGTTTAATGCTGCATGTATTGATGTGTATAAAGCCGTTACGAAAGTAATAACTTATAATGTCCACCTATCATCACTATCATTATGTAGTTGGTTAGTTTCATAGTTATTTTTTCACTCCTTCTTCAAGAATCCTCATTGCCGAAAAGCACGAGAAGCATCTACATGAAGAGAGATATCTCCTGGCCTCCACGATGCCTCCAGAATCACGTGATACAGACCATCCAATCAACATCGCTCGTGCAATGTGTCAGCCGTTGCCTAGCGACGGGAGAAAGCTGTTTGTCTTTAAATTACTTGGAAGGGACAAGGGTATGTCAACTGAACGGCGCCAACGATGTCACCGCGCCGGGGGATTTTCAGGAAACAGAAAATTGCAAATATTATCGAATTATGGTGTGATTGATTTCCCGAATCCTGAGGGTGTATATGCATGCGCTCATCCCGAAGTAATATGAGGAAGTGGGGTGGGGGGGGGGGGGGGCTAATGCTTGAGTATGAATGCCAAGTGAAAATGAATCTTAGTTTCTCACATGGCGTTTAAGAAACTAAGAAGCAGTGGGTTTCATGTTATTTAATCTTTCTTCTGATCTGTACATACAAATCGGGTCATTTTCAATATAGTAGTGGCAGTGCTGCAAATTCAAATTTAATTTGCACATGCACTTTAGAACAAAAGTTATGAAATTATAAAACAAATTGAGGCAGACGGATAAAAGAAAAGTAGGGGACGAGACTCTACAAATTATTGTCATTTGGCCTTTTTTGTTTGTTTGGGAGGTACAGTTAAAATTCAAATTTATTTTTGACATGTACTGCACTTAATTTTAGAACAAAAATGATCAAATAATAAAACAATTCAGGCGTTTATTGTTTTTTATTATCATATAACCTCAGATGAGGTATCGATAGATATCTATAAAGCTACCTTACGTGGTTTTGAGTTAAAGAAGCGTTGGGGTCTGGGAAAATAAATACAATTTCATTCTTTTTATGATTTTATGTTACTGTGGAAGAATATTGTCCTCTGTCCTCTGAAAAGGATGCACTCTTCAAGTATACTCCTTTATATGACAAGAAATAGCTTAAAGGGAATTTTGGACCAAACTTTCATGCCACAAGTTTGTGTAGTTCCTAAAAAATTATATCTTTCCAAAACCTCTCAATATATCAACCTTATTTTTCTTATCGCTTCCAGACAGTCTCTTACCAGATGCAATCACGTGACCAGGGCCCTGTTTCATAAAACTTGTATCAATAACAAATTACGATAGCTGTTATAAAACTACTGAAATCCTGGCATTTGATTGGCTGAGAGCAAATTTGTCATTGAATTTCAGCATTTATTATTGATAAGAAGTTTTATGAAACAAGGCCCAAATCTCAACTTTGTCTTTCAACAAAATACACGTCCATTCGACTTTCCCGTCATAACATTCACCAAATTTTTTACTAGAATTTTAAAAAGTTGAATTTGTACCTGATACTTAGATTCATGGTGAGATATATATGTCCATTCATATCAAAGTTGTTAGGTGTGAAAATGGAACCGAATGCGTAACTTTAAACTCTCAAAATTACTATTGAAGTCACAAAAATAGCAATAAGTACGTCAAATTTCAATCAATCCCTTTGAATGAGGTACCATATTAAAATTAATTTCTTACTCTTTCCAGTGATAACCAAGAACTCAATTTTCATATTTACCATTAAGTGTTGGGTTTTGCCATAGCAAGTCACAATTATAGTAGGTGATGAATAGTTAGAAACCAGGGCCCATATTCTTAGCCAAGTTTATATTTTCTTCTTTACCTCTTCAGAGGGACTTTATTATTTCGTTTCAAAATACGTATAGACTTTTTACAAAACGAGTAAAACGAAATATATGAATAATATACAAGATCAACATAATTTCTTAAAAGGATCATTATAACATTTCTATCATTTTCTTAACTTCTTCATTATCTAAGTATTTTATATTTTTTTTGTATTTCAAATAAGATTTCAATCTTTGTATAAAACAAGTTGTGCATATTTATCTGTAATTTATTTCATATCCAATCAATGACATTTTCAAATCGATTTCAATTTCTGTTTTAAAAATATCTTGCAAGGACATATAAAATGCTCAATAGTTTCTTGTTTACGACAAATTTCACATTCGTTAGACTGTACGATTGTCCATCTTTAGAGGGCAATACCCTATGAATCAATTTCAAATTGTTTGCTATTATTGTCTCTAATCTCATTAAATTGAACTGAAGTTAACAACTAGCTTGGTAAGCTTTCATGAATATGGGCCCTGGGGTTCAGGAAAGAAATCTATCTATATTGTGTCCTAAATGTTCTTTCCGGCACTGTAGTCCATGATTTTGCATGCTCTAGTTACCCCATACCCTTATATATCATGTTGTGTCCTTGTCAGATATATCATTAAACAAATGTTGATTAATTTGCTGTTGCTTGGATATTATTGATAATTTCATGCCCCAATTGCGAAGCCTGCTATTTTGTAGTTGGTATATTTATTATGGCTCAAAAATGGAAATGATTTAGTTCTGCATTAATAATGTGCGTTGAATTAAATAAAACGATTTATACTTATCGGTAATGAAAAGTGGACTGTAATTTTTTTAAGTTTTAACCCATTTTATGAAGGAAACTTTACCTTTAAAGTTTTCCAATGTTATAGAATGTTATGTTAACACAATTGTGCACTTATTTTAGGGTATAACGACCAAGACTATATTATTCCTGAATGTAATTAATCCCTGTCTTCTTTTAATATGGTAATTATTAGTTACACGATAGGAAGAACACAAAGAAAAGACACAGACTATAAAATGCAATGTCAGTAAAATTTTATTGAAAATGATTTCAATATATTTATTGGATAACATACATGAAATATAATCTTCATGAATTAGGCACTAACAAAAAGTCAAAGGGTTATATAAAATAATTGATGTAGTGCTCAGAGGAAACGTCAAGTATACACCTTTGTGATTTAATTCTTTAGAAGAATTTAGTTCCATTATTTCAGGTTTAATATCTAGATTTTGAATTGCATCTAGATTTTGAATTGCATCTATTTTGTTTGCACCCAACGGTCAGGTAAGTTTTGTGTTGTCCAAATTAAACACAATTTTTGTTTTTGTATGGTGTCTACAGGTGTGTTATTTCAGAGGAAAAATTGAAAACATGTCCATTTCAAGGTATGAGTTACTCAAGTACAGTTTTGAAGCACAAGAACAAGAGAATGAAGTTTAAAAATTGGTAAGTTGTTTGTTTCTCAAATCTATTGTTCTCACAGGCTCCACATTTTCAAATAAATTCTGAATTCTCCGACAACTACCCCCTGATAATCAGCCATGGGACATTGGTCCGCAATTTAAGAAGGACACCTTCTATGAAGAAAAGGCTATTTTAACACTTTTTGAGGATAAATGAAACATGGCATTGCCTCTGCCCTTCACAATTCCAAGTGTCCCTTGTTGGGGAGGCTGTTCTAGGGATACCCGAAGCTAATTTGTTAGGGGGAAGTTGTGGTATAATCTAGGCCTACATGAATTAATTTGAAAGTATGAAGCTCACACTGTGAACATGATGGACAAAGAAAGAGGACAAAATATACAGTTCCTTATTCTAACCTCAACAATTGCTGTGGTAGACAAAGGAACATCCCTTCACTGCTATTGTGTACAAATGTGTAGAACAGGTGTCACATGCATATTCACCTGTTCTACACATGTTTACATACAGCAGTGAAGGGATGTTCCTTGGTCTACCACAGCAATTGTTGAGGGCAGAATGAGGAACTGTATATTTTGTCCGTCCTGTTCAGTGCCAGAAGAACAATAACTGTTTTAGAGCTTTGTGTGGGGTGTAAATTAACAACTTTTCAAGTTTTAGTTTTCATTCTCATGCTTGAAATTTGTACTTGAGGAACGGAGACCCCGACATTAGGGACTTTTAGATTTGCACGAAGACAATAGGTCTATGCTACGATCAACGTCCTTGTAATGCATTGCCTTGAATGGACGTCACACGTATCAGTCCACGCAAATCTTAAAGTCCCTATTGGGAAGTTATCTTGGAAGGGAGATATCTCAAGTTTGCCCTGAAATAGCACGTTGGACACCATGGAACTGATTGGAGGTTAATGCAACATGAATTTAACAGACCGTACTAGATTTGAGGAGGAGATTTTTAATAAATTCAACATATCGTATATACATATACTCCTTATCAGTACTGTGATCGCATTCTTTTTTGTGTGCTTAACATCCCCCATCCTATTATGTCAAACTTGCAGCAAACTACATTTATTTTCTACTAAGCAGTCGGGAGGTACATGAAATTGGCGACAAATGTTGTGTATGTGTCTTCGAGTGGGTTATTTCAGGGCAAAACTTGTAAAACATCTCCAGGTAAATTTCCTACATTTCAGGGTTTCCGTTCCTCAACTGGTTTGAAGTCTAAAAGTTATCAATTTACACCTCACACCAAATTCATGTAGGCCTTGATTCTAGAATGAGTGCCCTCCACATTTTCACATTTTTAAGGGTACATGAAAATGTGGGGTGTACTGAGCCACAAGTAGCACTGCCTCTGTCCTTCTTAACATGGGAGAGCTTGAGGGTGCCCTTGACAACAATTTATCAGAATAGCCTCTCCCAGGAGATTAGGGCTCAGCCCCCCCCCCCCCACATCTTCATTTAACACCAAAAGTGCCCCTTCCAAATATTTCCTTGGAGTAATTGTCCTAGAATCTAGACCTACATGAAGTTTGAATTTATTTTACTAGACCATTGTCATAATGTAATTACTTGTTGTAGGGCAGGCCATTCTGACTATTTAGATACAAGTATTCGTAATGGGGCACTTCACAAAGATGTACGCATTACATTTGATTACATCACAAAAATTGGTCTATTCTGTTCCTAAAGTTAAATGTGAGGTATAAATCAACAACTCTTGCCTTCACTCTGCCATTATCGAGCCTTGTTATGATGTGGTGAACTGCAGCAGTTTTTTGTTGTGGATTTCTTCCATGCAGTCAGTCACTATGAACATGACGGACAAAGAAAGCGAACAACATATAGTTCCTCATTCTATCCTCAACAATTGCTGTGGTAGACAAAGGAACATCCCTTCTATTATGTAAAAATGTGTAGAACAGGTGAATATGCATGTGACACCTGTTCTACACATTTTTACATAATAGCAGTGAAGGGATGTTCCTTTGTCTACCACAGCAATTGTTGAGGACAGAATGAGGAACTGTATATTTTGTCCTCTTTCTTTGTCCTTCATATTCACAGCGAGTTGCCATTCATTGCATGTTTAAAAAAAAAAAGGCAAATGTTTACCTTCGTGTTTGAAGGAGACTTCATGCTTCGAATCTCAACCTGAATATTAAACTAAAACCATAATATTTGAAAATTTACCCAGAGATGACACATTTTCAAGTTTTGCCCTAAAAAAAACACACTTGAAGACATCTTACGCAAAATCTGGCGCTAACAATACACTTACCCGACCATTTAGTAAAAGCCCTACTCTTCCATGCTCAATTTCCCTCCTATAATAATAACGTTCTTTCATCAGAGGGTATCTTTGTAAGACTTTGATGCTTATCAGAGATCACAGACATGTTAAACATAGTTTGCTGTAGGTTGGACACCATAAGGTGCTAGGTGCTCTGTTACATAAGCACACAACAAAGAATGGTCCAACTGCGACCAAGGTGGCCAATCTATGTGTATAATTGGCTTTGGTTGTGATCATGAATAACTACTGATTTGGGGCATTTAAACTAAAAAAAAAAACATTTCACCATTTGGATTTCTCTTAGAAGTAATATTAGATATTTTGATACAGACTTTCAAGATGGTAAATACTTGAATAAGATAAATAATATAACAAGAACATTCCAAACCAAATATTTGAAATAGCTAAGGAGACCACTAAGGTTTTGCTTGTTCTTAAAATAATGCCATTATTGGCAACATCATATACTTCACTCAACATACTACCCCAATTTGGCCCGACGATAGTTTTCTTTCTCATAGCTATTTTTGTCTCTCTCTCTCTCTTGTTGTGAAGGGCCTTTCTCTATCTTTTCTCTCGGCCATCTCTCTTTTGTTCCCTCTGCTTCTGCCTTCCCCATCCACTCTCTAATCCTTCTATCTCTTGTAAAGATTAATCAACCTTTATCTCCTATCGCATCTATCATGTCAGAAGTTTCCGTCCCTGGCAACTTCTTTGCCTCCTTTGCATTCTCTCTGCCTCCACTTAAAAGTCTAACCTGAAAGTCGAACTCAAGTTCAAACCCGTCTAGACTTCCACACTTGCCTATCATCTGGAGGTACTTTGCATCACTTCACGTTCTCCCATCTCACATTCTACATCCGCTGATCATCCATTTTCTTGTCAGTGGTACAGCGCTTTCCATCCTCGAGAAGAAATCTTGAGCAACTCTCACTCAGCGGTCATCCCATCATCCTCCCCTCCTTCTTCTCCACTCTCTCCCTCATCATCATCATCATCATCCTCCTCCTCCTCCTCCTCCTCCTCTTCAAAGACAAAGTTCTCCTTGATGAGTTTCTTGAGGTTTGCTGCCCTCTCTCGGACTGCTGGGTCTGCGTCAGAAGTAACCTTTGACAGACCTTCCTGGAGTTGCTTGGACTGCTGGGAAGTTAGTACTGATAGTCGAGTGGATTCTGGGAATTGTAAAAAACAATGTGAATAGCATTACAACATAAACTTGATTGCATACCTTCATTACATAGTCTGTTCAGGGCTAGAAGGTATTAACTCTGTGTTAAAGGTACTATGTCCCATTTGCAGGCCAAAAAAATGAAAAAGTTAAATTCCAACTGCATTTGAAAGATAATACTTATTTAGAACTTCCCTAAAAAAGGTGGGGTTTGAAAATGTCTTCAAGTGGGAAAATAATGACTATTAGTTGTCAAATCGACTTTAGGGCTATAGAGCCCAAAAGTAATAGTTTTGATTTTCAGACAATTGTACCGAATGGTCATACGTTTTATGCAGCGCAAAGATTCAATCAGTTTAATCTTGGCCATCACAAGAAGTGGGTTATTGATGTAGACAAATGCTCATGTACCCTTTACAACTCTTTTCATGTATGTTATTACCAAAGAAAAAAAAAGCCAGTCAGTCACTCAATAGTGTCTGACAGTGAAGTCTAGCAAGTAAACTGGTTTCCATGCATAATTTGAATATGAGGACACTGCTTACGTTTAAATTTCACAGATAGGACATACATGACATATTCATAATTCCTGCAAAGTTCTACAGAATTTGAGGTTGGCTGCAAAAGGGACATAGTGCCTTTAAGAGTGTTTGAGTTAACACCCTTCTGGCTCCAAACAGAAGTCATGGACTGAATCCACATTGAATCGGTCTCAAGACTTACAGTATACATTTAATTATCTTATTTACACCAAAAGAGAGGGGAAAAATAGGGAGTCAAGGGAAGTAAGAAATTCCCCTGACTAATAATAATAATACATGAGTTTTATAAAGGGCCATTATCCATTCTAATGAAATGCTCAAGGCGCTTCAAAATATAAAGGGAACACATTACATCATGAACAAGGAATCGTGTACATTTATGTAAGAAAACAATCCAAAAATGAAAGCATGAATGAATGTCTGTCTTCAAAACACAAAATAGAACAAATAGGATTTGTGCCACAGGATAGACAGAAGTATATTACAGTAGTTCCTGTTACAGGGTTTCCTTAGTAGTCAGTATACGTATCTGGTTATGCTGCTCTAGTGAATGACAAATCAAAAACTATAAATATCTCTCACTCTAAATACAAGAACTTTCTGACAAGTAGCATTTCTAGGCAATTCTTATATGATCTTAATGATATTGTTCAAGTGTTATCACTGTCTTCTATGAAATGATAATACCCAGTACCTACCCAGTCATAACATAAACATATAAAACTCTGAACCAGTAAAATAATGGGAACATACCTGCCAATTTGGGCATGAGGAACTCCAGGATAGCCAGTGATTCTTTCCTAATGGCTGCATACTTCACAATACCTGCACATCAAAAGTAAATAAATTCAAATCCAAATAAGTTATTGAATTCACATCCTGACATTCTAGATTTATACATGAAAAAAGAAACATATATAAAATGATGCAAGACAAGAAGTATGATAAATATAAACAAAACCTCAACAAAGCAAAGGCAAATTATATAAAAAAAACATAACTGTACATATCACAATACAAGACACAAGACAGTGAGTGATGTAGCTATGTATGCGGAAGGGTAGAGAGAGAGAGACAGAGACAGAGACAGAAAAAGTTCACTTCAATTTCCATTCCTAGTAATTCACTTAAAGTCTTTTAAAAAGAAAGAAGTGCAACTACACACAATACATACCTAACATCTTATAAATGGCAGGTACAAATGTTTCTAGAATTGATGAAAGTCGGGCTAGTTCATCTTCTGTAAGGCTATCCAGCTGCAGCAGATAGATCCTAGACAACAGAGAAAACACACAATATTCACAGTATGATATGAGTTCAGTCAGCCCCCTCCCCAAAAGAACAAAATAAAGATGGACTGCAAACATTTATAACTGTATATTGGACTGTATAGAGTACCGAAGTGTGACATCATACTGGCCAAGTTGACAAGGTTGCTGGTTCAAAACAGTTTAATGCTAAACAATCGCATAGTTATCACACCAGCCCCAAACGCTTGGTTTTCCCTGCTCCACAGTGCTCCACTTCATGGTGAACCTCATGTACAGGCTCTATTGTTTAGACCAAATAACCTGGATGATGAGCGAATATGATGTTAGAGCTTCGGTATTCTATATTCATAACAGTTCAACCATAATACCATGCAGAAGGAAAACAAATTGCTGCACTGTCTTGCAATCAATGCAAAATATTTATTCATGATGTGTACGAACATTCAATTCATGATAATTCTACTAGAGGAAATCAATATGAAATTTCTTGGGCTTACTCAATATCGAATGATATCGATTTTTCAGCACTTCGTGGTTGCGATTTGAGAAGACAGGACAAATTACAACTTCACTATTTTTCTGGACAACCGTTAATAAATACACAACAATATTTTCCCCACATCCAAATGCAACTTCAATGCAAGAAGTCAAAATTAGCTTTCATGGACGACTTTCAATACTCACCTCTGCAAGAAGATATGAAGGGACTTGACAATAGCTAGCTGAATCTTGAAAGTGCTGCCATCTAGACCCTCACATAGAACTTCACACAGCTTGGAAGCTTCTACTTCTGTTATAAGAGTAGGTAAGAATACACATGACATCATTACAGGGATTGAAGTAGTTCTCCAGCTCTTGTGATGATATGAACATTGTAACGCACCCTGTATTCTAATAACTTGTTTGTTGTTTGCTTGTTTCACCGGACTACTAAGAAAGCATGAGTATGCTTGAAGTATTAAAGCAAACAGGGGACTGATGGCTTTAAGTCCTCTCCAAGGGACTTGGGAATGAGGACTGATGCCTTACCAAAGGGCACTAGTGCATCAAGACCACTGCTCTACCACTGAGCCATCAGGCCTCCTCATACACTATATAAATGTAATAAGTTATTTATCATTTTATTTTTAAAGATAGCAATAACTATTCAGAAGCTTGAATATGAAATTATACCGGATGATACAGCGGCAAATTGTGAAAGAGCAGGATATGGTGGAACAAACTCGGTGGAGTCAAGATTACAACATAGTTTAATAAGGAGAGACGGTTCCTAGAGATGATGATAGGGTCACTAAACCCTGTCTTTGGACAACACCATCATAATCAATCAAAATGGCTGGTAATTCTAGTATCCAATTGTCTCGATTTCAGAAATGTTAGTATTTCTTATAATTTGTATGAATTTTTTTGGGAAACATACAGGGTTCCACTTCTCTGCCCATTTTTCTCTGAGGTAACTTTTACATAAAAAAACAGTAGATAAGAAAGTAGGAGTTCTGCAAGAGGTTTGGCCTAAAAAATAGCTACCATTTTCTTCTTGAAACAGGACACCTAAAGATAAATATCTAAAGCCAAATTTAAGAATGAACCAAGGAATCAGAACCCTAGATTAGACTCTTGAATCTTCTTTCTTAAACCTAGTAGTAAACTAGATGGAACTTCGACTGCGCGCAGTCGAAAATGATGCCTCCGTCATAGAGCAATTTTACAAACCAAAACAGAAGAAATTTTTCAAATTCAAGTTCAATTGTAATCCATTAACAGGTTTTCAGAATATTGTGATTACAAGCTATTTTTGCATACATAATGAGCCCATGACCTTTGACCTTATGAACCAAGAATCTACTCAGTTCATTGGCTCTGCAAGAAACATACATGACCTAAGTTGGCAGGAATCCATCAATCGGTTCTTGAGATAACGCGATCACGAGCTGTTTTTGCATACATAATGTGCCCTGTGATCTTTGAACTTTGACCTTGTGACCCCTACATCTAATCAGTTCATCGGCTCTGCAAGTAACATACATGACCTAAGTTTGGCAGCAATCCATCAATCGGTTCTTCAGATAACGCGATCACAAGCTCGTTTTGCATACATAATGAGCCCTGTGGCCTTTGACCTTTGACCTCGTGACCTCAAAATCTAATCAGTTTTTTGGCTTTGCAAGTAACATACATGACCTAAGTTTGGCAGCAATCCATCAATCGGTTCTTCAGATAATGCGATCACGAGCTCGTTTTGCATACATAATGAGCCCTGTGACCTTTGACCTTTGACCTCGTGACCCCAAAATCTAATCAGTTCATCGGCTCTACAAGATACATACATGACCAAAGTTTGGCAGGAATCCATCAACCAGTTCTTCAGATAACGCGATCACGAGCTCGTTTTGCATACATAATGAGCCCTGTGACCTTTGACCTTTGACCTCGTAACCCCAAAATCTAATCAGTTCATCGGCTCTACAAGATACATACATGACCAAAGTTTGGCAGGAATCCATCAACCAGTTCTTCAGATAACGCGATCACGAGAACGGGACGTACGTACGTACAGACGTACGTACGTACGTACGTACGGACGTACGGACGTACGGACGGACGGACAACCCGAAAACATAATGCCTCCGGCTACTTCGTAACGGAGGCATAAAAAGGGAGTAATTTTTAATTTCTTCTTCTTCTTGAAACAGGATTTGTTAAAGATATCTAAAGCAAAATTTAAGAATGAACCAAGGAATCAAAACCCTAGATTAGACTCTTGAATCTTCATTCTTATAGCCCATCTGTTCCAGTTTAGCTAGGGAGATTAGACCACCCAGGAAGGTCACTGACAGGTGGCTATCTCATCAACTCAGCTCTCAATTAACATAGGAAAAAGAGGTCATGGGGGACCAATGGTCACCGATTAGGCATTGTTTTTTTGTACATAGAGAGAGCAAGTAGCTACAATTACAGTGGGCCTTTAAACCTAGTAGTAAAAAAGGGAGTACATTTGTTTTTAATTGATAATTTCTTTACCTTGTGTTTCCCTTTGCAATGGCCATGCAAGGCCAAGGTTCATGAAAGTACATTCTTTGAGTTTCAACTTCTCATCCTGCCGAGCTCTGTCGGTTACATCCTCCTCGTCACTGTCATCTTCAGACTTCTCCTGAAACAAAGAGGGAAAAAAAATTATTTATGACAAATGGTCACATTTTGTGGTTTCGCCTTAACATCAAAGCACCAAATTCATGTAAAGAGCAAATGTGTAGTTTATTACTTTTCAGGTGTTATAACATGTGGCAGTTTTACAACAGGCAATTTCCAAAGGAAAATAAGCATTTGTAAGTCCATAAATGCACAACATGCTGACATTGTCATGCATGTTACAGAAGAGTCTGATGAAAGAATTCATGATGCAAAGACAGTTGAATGACTAACGTAAAATTGACGTTCGTCAAAGTTTGAATGATAAGCTGAACAGATTTTTTACAACATCCCTCGACCAGATACTTATCAAACCCCAACGCTGACCATACATCTTTGATGAAATACGGTCCTGAGAAAAATGAGGACTACATTCAAACCTGCTTTAGCAATCACCTGTCTATAAAGACCACATTCGTCATCCCTTGAAAAATGGTTCTCTTTGAAACCTGAACCTGTACATAAAGACCACCTGCGATTAAAGACCACTTTCTTGTCTCCCTTGGGTGGTCTTTACAATAATAATATTTAATTTGTATAAAGCGCTTAATACAAATGTCTTTAAGCGCTTTACAAATATACTATTACCCCGGTCATTAGATTCAGTGCTTGCCCGCACACACTGTGAGCACAATCTCCACTCCCTGGGGAGCATTCCAGCCGGGCGTTACTTGACGCTCACAAGCTGTTTGACCAACAATGACGGCCGCATCCTACCGGGTACCCATTTGACACCTGGGTGGAGAGTAGAAAGTGCAGGTTAATATCTTGCCAAAGGAAGGATATTAGTGCCGTGTCGGGATTCAAACCCTCGACCTTCGCATCTCCAGTCAAGCACCTTAAACCACTCGACCATGACACTCCCACAATCTGTACTAGAACAACTATGAATAAAATGCAGAGAGGAAGTTCACTCACTTTGCTGATGATGGGATACAAGATGTCTGTCAGTTCCTTGAATCTATCTGCTTCATGAGCCTGGAGTACCGAGGCTAGGCAGTCCAAGGCAGCCATCTTGTAATCGACCCGTTCCTTGCGGCTCTCCTTGAAGAGTGCGTTCAGGACTGTATCCATGGTTGGCTGCTTTTCTATCTCCATCTGTAAAGCAGTCCTGTCATTGATCAAAACATATGAACATGTAATATATATACACACACACATGGCACTTTGGCAAGGCATTAATCTATATTTGCCACACTCAACCCAGGTGAGGTAAATGGGTACCTGGCAGGAATTAATTCCTTGAAATGCCAGAGCGCTGTAATGGCAGCTAGGCTAAAGCAGGGGTAATAATTAATTTGTGCGCCTCAGAATAGAATTTCTAGATAGACGGCGCTATATAAAAACCTATTATAATTATTTATTATTATACTTCAACCAATAACTTCTGCTTACCGGGTACTTTAAAATGACAAACGGATATCCTACCTCGAAGGCCAAATCCTTCAAAAAATTATGTAGTGAATTAAGGTTTAAACAATTCTTTTTGTCAGCATTTCCACAAAACAGACACGTCAAAAGGCATCTCAAATAAACCCTTACTCAAAGCCTTAAATATGGAATACATAATTTGAGAAAATTTCTCCTTTGACAGTAAACTCAAATGAACCTTTTTTTTCTTCTCTGTCTCTCTCTCTCTGCTTACTAAACTTATAACATAAGTGTCACAGATATTGTACAACAATTTCATGGACACTGAAAGTGGACTTACTTGCATGATATACAAACTGTGGAGATGGCCTTCAACAATTCATCCTGAAAGAAAAGGGGGACAAAATAAAGGGAAAAAATATCACTATAGGAAAAACAATGTGAATATGCATCCTCCAACCACTATACCCAATATATTAGCAACTATATACAGGGTTCGTACACTTACACATTTTAAAAATACCATGACTTTCAATGACTTTCCAGAGCAGGATAATGTAAATTTCCATGACCATTTTCAATGATGAACATGTCTTAATTTAAAGCGTACAACTATACATCATCGCAATACTAGGAAGCAAATCACAAAACTATAAGGCGCACCCCTATTTCGAAGATCCCCCCCCAAAAAAAAAAAATAAAAAAATAAAAATAAAAATCTGAAAAAGAAAAAAAAAATCTGAAAAAAAAATCTGGAAAAAAATCAATCTGTCATCTTTAGTTTAAAAACAACATTGTAACTAGACCTACATGTAGGTCTAACTTAGTTAACAAGCACTTCAACTGTGCCTCGTATAATGAAAAGTGAAAGTATTTTTCGAACACTGAAATAAAACGCGATCTGATCTGGTTAACAAAAAGCCACCAAAAAAAAGCCAACATTGGTCTTTTTGTTAACATCAGATCATGGAGATATAAGATCGGCTCTTATTTCAGTGACAGTGTTTGAAAATACTTTCATTTTATTACAAGGCACAGTTGAAGTGTTTGTGAACTAAGTTAGACCCATCAGTAACAATGTTGTTTTTAAAACTAAAGATGACAGAATTTTCCTCCGAGTTCAAAGAGAAATGTGGACAGGCTAGTTTTCGTGTGGTGATTCGTTATCCCCTGTGTAAGTGAGCTGCATCATACAGGTGAGCTGAAGACACGGGAGAGCTTCGGCCGCAAAGTGCTTTGTGACAGGGCATAATTTATCAAGACTGAAAAAAAAAACTGAAAAAAAAAACTCTCTTCCTTTCAAATTAGGAACGTAGTTTAACTTCAAATAGTAGATCCTATTCTTTATTTGCATTATGTAATTCATCTTGAGACACAGAGATTTTGAAAACCACTAAAAAGTAGCATTTGAGGACTCAAATATCCTGTACCTGACTATATAAGGCGCACCCCCGACTTTCGATATTTTGCTGATGGAAAAAAGTGTGCCTTAATTGCGGACCTTGGGGAAATCAGCAACCACGAGGCTAGGCTAGCTAACTAACTACTGGCTGTATGCTCGCGCTCGCACAATGGACGCCAAATGTGGAATCAAATGCGATTCAGGGTTGCGATATTCGAGTAAAGAGCAACACGATTTTTAAAGCAGTTCTTAAGAAAACACGAGTGGCTCATGATGCATAGTTATTTACATTTAAATTATTGTTTTATCAATATTCTGTGGTAAAACCCTGGGGTAAAACACCTTCATTCAAACTTTTAATAAAAATCAAAGCACAAGCTCGATCAAAAAGTAATCGTAGAGCGTGCATGCAGCATTCCTGTATGTACACACACCGGCATCATGCGCCGCACCTGTAACTGCAAGTCATTTACGCACACAAACATCTTGCATACAGTATGAAAGACACAATAGACACGATACTAGTAGGTCCTAAAGATATTGCGTGTAATTTATTACGAAAAAGGTCGTGTGAACCACAGATTTTACAAAATGTTTTTCCTTTGTTCACAAGACAAATTTAATGCCATTTTAACAAATATCTTGAAGAAAAAAAGATTTTCCCTGACTTTCCAGAAGAAATGGATGAATTCCTTGACTTTCCCTGACTTTTTGCTTCTGGAAAAAACATTTTTAAATTCCCTGACTTTCCAGAAATTTCCTGACCCGTACAAACCCTGTATATATATTAGCAACCACCGGGCACGGTGGTTCAGTGGTTAGAGCGCCCGCCTCATGAACGGGAGGTTGTGGGTTCGAACCCCGGCCAAATCATACCAAAGACTTATAACAATGGGACCCTCTGCCTTCTAGCTAGGCGCTCAGCATATTAGATTGGAAAAGGGTAGTAATAACATTATGTTATGCTGGAAGAGCAGTTTCATAACTGAAGTGACTACCCTGGGTAAATAAAACATTATTATTATTATTATTATATATCTATGTTTGGGAGCACATTGGTATACTGTTGAAGGTTCTAGATTGTCACATGAGAAGTCAGATCCATGAATCCTTGGAAAAGGCATTTCAACTACATTTGATCCCCATTGGACCTCTTCAAAGCAGTCTTTTGACTGGTGTCATGGGAAAAAATGAGGGGGATAAAAATTTCCATGGGATCCTCTTCCCACAATTGCACTTGAATCCAAAGTTTCTGAATCCAAAACTCAAGTTCCTACCTTTCCGTCCCATGTCCTCCCCCTGTAGTCCCTCCAGGAGAGCCCCTTGGAGCAGACCAAGCCGAGGGGGTTGGAGCAATTACACATTCCTATCAAGGTTCTCAAACCAAACCAACTCCTTTCCATCCCATTTCTTACCTTTCCGTCCCATGTCCTCCCCTGCAGTCCCTCCAGGAGAGCCCCTAGGAGCAGACCCAGCTGAGGGGGTTGGAGCTTAGCACCTAGCTTGGTGGCTACGGTGCCCATGGACCGGGCAGCCTGGGCCTTGCGGGGCCACGATGTAGAGGCCAGACCTTCTTGAGTGATGGTCACGATCTCCGGGAGGTACAGACGGATGCCGCCCTCTGTGCCTGAGAATTAGACAGGTTATTGTGTTTGTTAGTTTGGTGCATCAATGAATATCACAGCTAATCTTGATCTCTGGTATGGGAATCATATTTTGAGAGAAAAAAGCTATGATTTATTTGGATTGTTTATCCTGCAGTAGATTGGTTGTTTGAACCAGTGAAATAAAAACAAATTCACAAAAACTTATTGGGCATCATCTTCAAGAAAAAACCACAACTCCCGTTGACATAGGACCTCTCTTAAGCACATGATGCCGAGCCTACTTACCCAGATTTCCTTATACCAAAATTGTTCGGCACAAGTCATTTATTTGTAATCTTGAACATACAGTGTAAGTTTTGTTGGATTCTGTTTATCTTTAAGCAAGCATTATTATACATATCAGGGAAGACTATCTTTTGACTTTGTTGCCAGTATTGTACTAAAGTTCAAACCTTGGACACAACACTTTCCCTAACCCTAACCTTAAACCTAGCATAAAACTAAATATCAATCCCAACCCTGCATCTATGACAACATAAAGCTCGGAGCAAATATCGCCCAGGCAAATGTTGGACCGCCCATGATCATCATCATTACCTGGTGTTGTATCGAGCCAGACTCCTTCCCACATGCAGTCCTTGCCAGGTTCCTTCTTCTGATGCATGGCTAGGAAGGCCAATGGTAGGGCTACGGCAGCATGCCTCTTCAGGATGTCAGGGTTGTACCAGGCCATGGCCAGGAGAGTCGTTCCCATGGCTTCATGGAGGTCCCCATCTACAGCAAAAGGGAAAATAAGAATTAAGATTTAATCTTGAATCCAGATACCGGTTGTACTATCTAAACAACACAAGAGGTACATGTATCTTCAAGGGCTAATGTGAGTCTAGGGTCATGATTCTATGTTTCTTCAGGATATCAGGGTTGTAAAAGGCGTGGCCAGGAGAGTCGTTCCCATCGCTTCATGGAGATCCCCATCTACAGCAAACGGGAAAATAATCCAGACAGTGATGTGTAAACAATGCAAGAGGTACATGTACAGGCTTATCTTCCAAGGTTTAATACGAGTCTAGGGTCACGACTGTATGTTTCTTGAGGATGCCAGGGCTGTACAAGGCGTGACAGTAGGGTTGTTCCAATTGCTTCATGACATTTCCTCATCTGGAACCCAGAGAGAGTACATTTAATAACATTGGATTTCATCATCAGCTCATACACAGCTGAACAAGGGATATCCTCAATGTCTAATTTTGGTTCTAAGGCTATGGCAGCATGTTTCTTGAGGATTTCAGGGTTGTCCATGCCATGGCCGTTAGGGTTGTTCTAGTGCCTTTTTGAGGTCCCCATCTGTAGCACAAAGGAATTAAAGACATCATTTATTGTGATGTGTAAACAAGACACGAGGTGCCCTCAGAGTCTGATAATGGGTCTAAGGCTATGGTTGCATGCAAAGGCAAGGAAGGGTTGTTCCTGTCACTTCATGTACATGTAAGTCTATACATGTATGTGTAGTCCAAAGGAGTAAAATCAAAAAAGTATTGGTATACCATTAATCAATCTATTAGATCGATAGATAGATAAATTAATGGTTTATTGATTAAAAACAAACTTAATTGCAGCACAGCTGAATTGGGATGATTTTACAATCATAGAATGCATACAAAAAGGTCTACTGCATTTATGGTCAATGGTGAAAGCTAGAATGCAACACATCAACCTATAATTGACAGACAAATCAAATTAAAAATGATATCCATATATCTTAACTGTTCACAGAACTTAAAGAATGTAATTACCATCTTTCTCCAAGAACCATGTCTTCAGTCGCAAAATCAACTTCTCTGTACTGCTGTCTTTGGCTACCTGTATTTTAACAAAAAAAGGGAGGCACAAATATGTCCAGGTGGATTACAATAATCCAGAAATTGGAAAAATATTTATGTATACATATACAGTGCGTCCAAAAAAAAACGAAACCAAGAATTATTGATGTTTTATCATAACTTAATAACAATTATAATTAATAAATGACACATATTTGTAAAGCTTAGATCTTCCTATTTCATTTGATGCAACTTGCATAATGCATATTTCCAACTTGAATGATTAAAATCAATTTGAAGAAATAATACCAAAAATTCATTTGGCGGACGGTATCTGAATTTCAAAGAAAAAATATGACACCTCAATCAGGAAAAATGAGCCAGGAATAACAAAGTTGTGTTTTTTAAAGTAATGCTTGCATTTCCATAATTTGATTAAACCAATTCGCTTTTACTGGCTGCCTGCCGTAGCAACAAACAGAGTTGACAATAGACTTAACTCTGTTTCGTTGATGATCAGCCATGCACAAAGAAGACGAAAGACTTGATGCATGGTTGATTGTCAACGAAACGGAGTTAAGTCTTTTGACTTCTACTCAATACATGATCAACATACCTTAATAAGGTTTCCTATTGCAGAGGCATTGAGCTTCCTCACAGCCATACTCTTATCATTGAGTCCAGAGAGCAGAGATGCCAGCAGCTTACCTAGAAGGTGGGGAGGACAAAAAAATGGTTATTAGAGGTGTCGTGGTCCAGTGGATATGTCATCGTACTGCAAAGATCACAAGGTCAGCGGTTCAAGTCCCGCCACGGCACTAATGTCCTTTGGCAAGACATTAATCTACATTTGCCACACTCGACCCAGGCGAGGTGAATGGGTACCTGGTAGGATTATTCCTTGAAATGCACTGTGTGCTGATAACGGCTAGCAGAGCTAAAGCTAGGGTAATCATTTCAAAAGTTTTTTGGAAGCGCTTAAGGACGTTATATAATGTGATATGAGCTATACAAGAACTGAATATTATTATTTCATATCCCCTTGAAGCAGTAATATCCTAATCTTTAATATTATTATAATTATCAATTATATATAACCCACATAAACAGAGCTGTGAATTGATTTCAAGATATTCAAAATAAAGTTGGTTTAGACAAGGAGTATGAGGCTCCTTAGTTTGGAAAAATCGCATACGTTTATAGTAAAGACGGGGCCCAAAATTCAAAAATTGAAATCTGCGCTCCACTTTACAAAACTTGTCATCAGTGACAAATGACAGTTTTTGTTATAAGCTAGTGAAATCTTGCTTCTGATTGGTTATCAGCAGATTTGTCACTGATTTTTGTCATTTGTCATTGAAAAAAAGCTTTGTGAAATGGGTCCCTGGTGTAATTACATTTGAAAATGATTTAAGACATGCAAATGTGCATCTAGTAGAGTGTAACCCTTTCACATCATATGTGCAAGCTTAAAAGGAAAATCTTCTTTTTTTAAATTTATTTGAAGAAAAAAATCCTTCAATTGTTCATAGCACTGTTATAGCACTGGTGAAAATGCAAAGAAATTCATATCTTTGTGAATACTAAGTGATAGCTCATACAAATATTGAATTGAGTATAGTCATTATGGTAATTATTATAACTCAGTATATTCTTAAAGATTATTCTTTATTGACCATATAAGAAATTAAAGAAATCTAATCGACCAATATAATTACCAGTACATGTAGGTAAATCGACTTTCTCAAGCAGTAAAAATATGGCAAATTAATAACTTTCAATGTGACAAATTAATAACTTTCAACCAGAAAATAAATACTTTCAACCAGCCTGAAAGTAAAATTAAACAGGGGGCATATATATCTCAAATAATAACTAGGGTGTTTGCAAAAACCTTTGTTCACCAAAGTGTACTGACCTGCATGTGGTGCTAGATCCTGAGGGCATTGCTGGCTCAGCAGAATCAAGAAGTTGGCGCAACCAGCCTGAAAGTAAAATAAAACAGAAAGTGTTTTTTATGTACAATAGGCTTACGGTTGCACCATGTGAGAGAGAGGGGGGGGGGGGGAGGATTGGAGATTCTTTCTTTCTGGAGTGTGTGTGTGTAGTCCTGAAAAAGACTGTTGGTAATCTTTTTTGAGCTTATAGTAAAGAGAACCATAGCGTCGGTTGGAAAGGATGGGTAGTAGGAGTGGCTCAACGTTTCAAACAGGTCGACTATCCATTGTCAGGAAAGTTTATAATAACTGTTGTTTGATTGACTGAATGATAGACCATTTAACTGTGTAAGTAAAGTCAGAAAGAATTGTAAGTCGATGGGCATATCCAGAGATTTTCATTTTTTGGATGAAATAAAAGGATAAATGTCATATGTTGTATGAAACACATGCATCTGGAGAGCAACAAAATGGAGGAGTGTAGTGTGTCAGTAGGCAACTGGTAAACAACATATAATAGTTAGGTCTTATCACAGGGACGGAGAAGTTGGTGTCTAATACACTACCATGTGTATTCCAACTCCCAAAATACATGTACACTGATCTGACCAATGAGTTTCGGCAAATCCTTCCTGTTTATAATATGTGACTATATCTATATTCATATTATAATAATGTATAACATCCCTAGATCAAGCATTAACAATAAGGATGAACACATGAATGTGTGTCTGTTGTATTTTTGTGCCATGAATTGTATTGAATTACCCTTATGTAATGCTGGTGGATAATCTATTTCCACTTTTTGTGGACAGAAAATAAATATCCAATTATCTTGCAAGCAACAACAAAAAAACACAGAACAACAACAACAAAGAAACAAAAAAGGAAGAAGATGAAAACGTTAATGCTAGCCATGACAAAAGTTATATCCTTACCTTGGTTCCTACACCAATCCCACTACGTATAAGGTCGTTGACCCTCGGAGCTAGTTCACTGAGGACATTGGAATCTACATATTGCACACACTGAAATGAGAGAAAGAGAGAAATAAACAAATAAAAACCAGACTTAACAATTAAATCTTGAGCTATTGTGTTGTGAAATGCATCAAGTTACAGTATCTGTAGTGAAGTTCCATCAACATTTTAATTGAAAATCAACATAACTTGTCTCAGATTCTGAAACAAAATCCTGGATTTAGCTCATGCTGCAATGATAATTATAAATCTTTAGGTCAGTCAGGAACCCCATGACTTTTACAAGCCGATCGCCTGTCTCATCATCAAGATATTTAGGATTGGAAATCGAAACCAAATTTTGCGTTTGCCTAACGGTTTTCATAACACTACAGTCTATTGGGGAAAACGAGTATGGTAAAACCGGTCACTCAAAGATTTTTACTTTATTGAGGCACTTCTTGATCATTTTGAAGCATGTTTTTTAAAAGGGTTTCAATATTACATCATATCACAGACACTGATAACACATAGGGCCATGCATCTCAGATTTAACATTGTTAAACGATGCCTTTAAGACTAAACAATTCAACCACATATCTTTTCATGACATTGTCAAAATGTTTCTTCACTCTCTTAGGTCTGTGTTATAAAAAAGAGAAAAGTGAAGGTATTACAGTTTATGTCATTGCAAACAAAAATACTGCGCTTTTGCATGCTTTATATCTGAAAGAGACTTACAGGTAAGAACTGCCAATTTGAATCACAACTCACCATTCTAATCGTTTCCATCATGGGAGAGGATTTGCTTGCATCAATCCGCGCAACATCCAGCTACAATGAAGAAAGAAAACAAAATGGATACTTCTGGTTAATGAGCAATCACTCTTCTGTCTTGATTATCGCCTTAGATATGATCGACCTGGTTATATCGTTGGTTGGCTTTGTGCTGCCCTCTGGTGCTGAAAGAGGAAACCTACATGAAATGCACTGGCTTCTTCTTGTAAGTAGTCGTAGAGCGTACAGGGCTTGTATTTGTTATTATTGGAGTACAGTACATGTTTATGTTATGACATTATACATTGGGCGAGAGCTCAAGTCCAAGTGTGTCAATTACTCAGATGAGCTCTGTCTTTCTTCCATTGAATCCCATTAGAAACACCGGTCATTCTCCTAACATAACGGCCATCAACATAAATAATAATAATAATTGGATTTATATAGCGCCTTTTCCAAAGGTTACAAGGCGCTGCTCTCCTAGACTTTCAACAATTTAAGAGGAGTTGTACAGGTAAGTTTTCAGATGTTTCTTGAAGAAATCTAGTGAAGTACTGTTTCTCAAGAAAGAGGGGAGTTTGTTCCAGAGTCGTGGGGCTAAGGACTGAAAGGATTTGAAACCAGCCTGTTTACGGGATTTGGGAATGACAAAGGTAGGAGCTGATGAAGACCTAAGGGAATAGGATGTTCTCTGTTGCTGAAAGAGTGAGGAAATGTATACAGGAAGGGTGGTCGACATAGATTTGAAAGTTTGAACAAGTATTGTATTCTATCAGCAACTGGGAGCCAGTGTAGTTCCTGCAACAATGGGGTGACGTGAGACCATTTTGGTTTTTGATAGATTAGACGGGCACATTTGTTTTGCAGACGTTGAAGTCTGCCCAAGTAAGCATCCACCATAGTCAAGCCTGGAGAGCACAAGTGCTCTAACAACATTATGACATGTTTCTCGTACTTTTTAAGTACTTTCTGATGCGATTTAAGTTATATATTTGCCAGTTCAGGGTGCGACATAAGTTGGTGACATGGTCAGACATTTTCATTTCCCCATCAAACACGACCCCAGGTCCCTAATTGTTGAGGAAATGGGAATGTTCTGATCACCAATTGAAAAGGACAGATTTTTGAGACGATGAATGTATTGGTTTGCCTATAGGCTGCAAACTCTGAAGCTAGATAAACCGAATACGAAAGGAAACTACCAATCACTCCGCACAGTAGGGCTTCATTGCGTCACATGTGTTGGTCTCCTATTTTCTACACCCATAGACTCTACACACAAGTGAATGTGTGCAGATGAACAAGGAGGGCGCTGTCATGCTGCTGGCCCATACTTTTTTTATCTGCTCCTCTTAAACATACACTTTTGTTGTTATTTATAATAACATTTTGGATTTTCAGTACAACCAACGTGTATGTCCAGGTGTACTGTCGTCAGTGACCATTGTGAGTAGTTTTATGTTTTGTTTTGCTGAGTGTTCTGACTGTTTTCAACTTTCTTGTTCATCATGCACCGGCGTTCATATATGAACGCCTATACCAAGTACACGTACTACGTACGCCGAGCTGGATCTCTAGCCATAGTTTGTGGACTACTTCTAGTATCTTTTGTGTTGACAACAACAATACCCACAGAACACAAAGAGATACGCTACAGTACAAGTGAATTGATGTTATTACGTAATAATGTGTCTACGTCTAGAGTTCAATTACCCCAAGACGTGTTGATAAACATTGATCGATTAGGAATAGCACGTAATGATCAACACCGCCGCATGAGGGGTAGGAGAGGCGGTTCGCACATGAGAAGACACATTACTGTCGTTAAAACAATACCAAGACAAAAACATCTTCCAATTCCTTCAAGGAAAGGCAATGTTATACAGTTGGTTTGAAGTGATAGACGCAAAGAACACTTTCCATCGATCCTCCTAACAAACATTAGATCGATGAATAATAAACTTGATGAACTTTATGCAACGGTGCAGGTCAATCAAGCTGACTTAGTAGCCGTGACTAAGACATGGTTTTGGGATAGTAACCCTGCGGAAGCCAACGAAATGAAAGGATACAACCTTCTTCATAAGGACCGAGCTGATAAACGTGGTGGAGGTGTAGCTCTGTATGCTAGAAATGATCTCCATGCAACACCTTTTGGAGCAGAGCTTACACCCAAACACCTTGAAATCCTCTGGGCTAAAGCAAGTCTTCGCAGTTACGTCCCGAACTCTATAAACCTCTTCATTTGTGTTGTTTATGCACCACCTAACACACCTATGAAGGAAGAGATCATCGACCACGTCATATATATATATGAGCGACTATATTCGCAACTCTTTCTCTGATGCTGCGATTGTGATCCTTAGTGATTTCAATGATCTAGATACAACCCCGTTTGTGCGACATCTCAATGTCGATCAACTTGTCAAGCAGCCTACTAGACAAAACCGGATACTTGATATGATCTTCACTGACAGGGCAGATTTTTACAAGGAACCTCGGATAACGGCCCCCATCGGACGTTCAGATCACTCTACAGTTTTGTTGTTTCCAGAGATTTCCCGTCCTACACTTACGACCAGATTTAGCAATCGTCCCATGCGCGACTCAGGCATCAGATCCTTTGGCCGTTGGATCACTTCTTATGACTTCAGCTACCTGAATGATATGGAGTCACGTGACAATATGGTCCGATCTCTTCAGAATGTTCTAGATCAGGCATATCGTCAACATTTCCCTCTTGTTGTTCGTAAGCGTTCAGCGAACGACAAACAAGGGATCAATGACAAGATAAAAACTGACATCCAGAAGAGACAACGAGCCTTTGAAAGGGGTGACTTGGCTTCTTTTAGGAGTATTCGCAACCAGATTCAGCGCGCAATTGTGAAACTGAAGTCTACGTTTTATCGCTCAAAGATCGCAGCGATGAAGAACTCAAATCCTGGCTCCTGGCACCGTCAAATACGCTCTCTTGCTGGTTTGAGTAAACGTACTTCCTACAGTTTTCCAGATGACTTCGGCATGAGCCATTCTCAGCAGGCAAATCATATCAACGACTTCTTTGCAGGTATATGCTCTGAACTACCTGCCCTTGATACCACGACTAGCCCGGCCTACCTACCTGCCCGAAGACCACCACCCGACATTCAACGCTTCAGGGTCTTTCAAGCGCTGAAGAAGCTAAATCCATCTAAAGCTATCCATCCTGAAGATACTCCTGTTCGACTGATCAGAGAATTCGCCCTAGAGATCTCTGCTCCGTTATCTGCCATCTTCAATTCCATTCTAAAGTCGGGTTCTTTCCCATCGCGTTGGAAATGTTCCTTTGTAACACCGGTACCTAAAACCTTCCCAGTTAGAAGCTGTTCCGATTTGAGACCCATATCGATAACTCCGATATTTTCACGAGTGTTTGAAGGTTTCATTTCACTGTACCTGATGAGAAACCTCACACCCCATCTCAGATTGTCAAGATTAAAGGCAGTTCAACAACCCACTACTTGGTGAGCTTAGTGGATACAATCCTCAAGGGCTTAGATAGGCCTGGCCACTGTGCGTCCCTTTGCACGATAGAATTTTCTAATCGTGTCAACCACAATATAGTGATTCGCAAACTCTTCACGTATGGTGTCAATGAAGCAGTTCTTCAGACCGCGACCAGCTTCTTAACTGATCGCACCCAGGCTGTTAGAGTTGGCTCTTGTATCTCTAAGGAAAGGCATTTGACGTGCGGAGTTCCGCAGGGAACAAAACTAGGCCCGTTGATGTTCCTAGCTCTGGTGAATGATGCCGCACACGATATTGAGCATCATTGGAAATATGTTGACGACCTAAGCCTTCTCGAGATTTGCACGATATCGGCACCACCGAAACTACAGGACCATCTTGACGATTTAGAAAATTGGAGTAAAGACAATGACATGAAATTCAATACCACCAAGAGCAATGCCATGTCTGTCAACTTCACGAAACGTACCATCAACACTCCTTGTTTGCGTCTCAATGATGAGCCTCTGAAAACAACGGAATCCCAGAAAATACTGGGCGTGCACTTACAATCCAATCTCAAGTGGGACAAACAAGTTGGTGATATGGTATCAAGAGCGGGAAAGCGAGTATTTATGATAAGTCGTCTTCGAAAGGCATCCATCCCAAGTTGTGACCTAGTCAACATCTACTCATCCTACATACGTCCTCTTTTGGAGTATTCATCTCCCCTTTGGTCCCCAAGCATCACTGCAAATCAGTGCAATGATATTGAGAAAATCCAGAAACGTGTCTGCCGCATCGTTATGAAGGACCAGTATGTCTCTTACGACCATGCTCTAGAGCACCTCTCCATCTGTCGTATGTTGGAGCGTCATGAACAACTACTGGATTCCTTTGCTTGTAGTCTGTTGAAATCTCCCCGGCATCGTGATCTTCTCCCTCCCTTACGTAGTGATATGTCCTCTCGTCGCCTACGCTCTTCACATCTTCTCAACACCCCCCTCTGTCGGACTACCGGTATTATTCCTCAACGATACCCACTATTGTTAGACTGCTTAATTCACCTTGAATCTTTGAACTAAAACTAAAAAAGATTGAGTCAACAAAAAAATGTATTTAATTATATTCCCACATGCATTTTCATCTACTGATTGCTACTTTCGTATCTCTTCTTCTATGTGCAATATCAATTAATAACAGAACTTGAGAATTTGTCAATCAATGTGAAGTAGCCTATTTACTTGTTAATATTTATCTTTGTCGATGTCAACATTACATCTTTATCATCACTATATTTAATTCATTTAAGGTTTCTTCACTTTATACTCTCTGATGTAATATTATTTTGCCAATTTTCGCTTAATTCAGGAACATCACCTTTTTTAACCAATATTGAAACTTAGCTTTAATATCTTATCTTTTATCGTATTTTATCTGTATAAACATCTAAATATTATCCCACCTACGTATCACTGTTGCAATAAACCTGTAAATTGTTAATTATCAACTTTCTATCTCATGTAAAACGAATGACAATTTTATATCATCAATGAAACTGTAAATCGTATTTAAATATACACAATATTTGTTAAGTGTTCTATATATTTTAATGTGTTATCAATGCAATGTTATGCCATGTACTTTTTACTCTGTAAATTGAACAATTTCAGCTTTTAGCTGCATGTCCAATGATTTTTATCTCAATAAACCAATACAATACAAAAAGAACAAGTGGTTTCCAAAACTATGCTATAGCCACACCATCTGTCAATAGCTCTAGGGTGGTGTTTTACAAAGACTAAGATTGACTTTAAGTTGGACTTAACTATGTCAGGCCATTCATACCACTGTTTGCTCTCACCATTTACTGGCATTGGTCTCTCAAGGAACGTAAAAATCGTCACAATCTACAGAATTTAAATTTTTTGATAATTCATTATTGAAGGAAAAAAGATTATCTAAAGATCATAATGGTGAGAGCAAACAATGGCATGAACAGCCTGCCATAGTTAAGTCCAACTTAAAGTCGATCTTAGCCTTTGTGAAACACCACCCTGGTCAATTTCCTACACTAACACAATTCTTCCTAACTCTTTGATGAAATAAAGTCCTGAGCGATTGCCGTAGGAGCGATTATTGTGCCACTGTGAGGTCTAAGAAGTCACCTGCATTCTTCTCCATGACGTATTTCTGTCTGTCTGTATTTCTTTCTTTCTCCTACATACAATATTTCAAACGATGTAAATGGAGTACCGAAGCTGTGACATCATAAAATCTATTTCTAGAATTTCTCATATTGAACTTCATTTTCCGAAAGAGCGTAAAAAATAATGTCCAAATGTTGAAAACCAATCAAATATGTTAACTATGAACTCTATAACTGTCACCACTCTAGTGTGAGTCAAAAAAAAGTTTACACCTAGAAAATTGCTAATTATATAAAAAATCATCTATGAACAGTAACTTATTATACATCTTATGAAAGAGTGTTTCATCCCAAATCATTTGGTATCATTTTTGTGTGGTATGTGTTCACGCTTGGATGAACAGGAGGCATTCTTTGCGAGAGGGCAAAAATCGACTTGCGCCAAAGTGATACCTACAGTATGTATTATGTTGGGATTAGTGGAGTGAGAGAATGAATTGAAGGTATCAAATGGAATGCATTGCATATGCTTTTTGCAAAGGGCAAAGTCACACACACACACGCACAAATGTTCGTTGATATTTGATATTCAATATTTGATATGTGTGGCATGATTAATTTTGTTAGGGATGTTATTTGGATCGACAAAGACCGAATTAATACCCAAATCCCAATTGTTTTAATCAAACATCACGCATACAATGCCTCATGTTCATCCAAGCGTGAACACATACCACACAAAAATGATACCAAATGATTTGGGGTGAAACACTCTTTCATAAGATGTATAATAATATACTATTAATAGATGATTTTTAAAATGATTAGCAATTTTCTAGATGTAAACTTTTTTTGAACTCACACTGTATAATACTGACCTTTTCTTGAGCATCTTTATCATTGCCTACATGTAGGCTGATGTAATTCATGACCTGGGGCTCTAACCCACTCAGAGCCTCTAGGAGAGCCGTAACAAGCTGGGGTATGTGAGGCTTGATCGAGTCACCGGCATTCTTACTCATTGCTACCAACGTTGAAAGACTGTATTTGGGATGGATTGATAGAGATAAAAGGAGGAAAGAGGGAAGGAAGGAGAAAGACAGAAAGTATATATGACAGAGAGAGGATTAATTAAAGAAAACAGGGAGAGAAATGCACTTAACATTTGTTAAAGTATAGCTGAGAACAAAACCCTTACAGCAAGTTATAATAATAATCTTGCAAAAAAATATGGGATCTATGTTCTGTACAATGTCATTAACAAACTTGTACTTGTACAAATTCGATAGTCAACACACAGAGCTTCAAATCAAGGGACGACAAAGGATCACTATACTACCTCATAATTTTCTGTGAAATCTCATAAATCAAATTTCTTAGATATCAACAGATTTAGAGTAGAGTATATCGGCATGGAGCTATGGAGAGAAAGATGTCGCATTTATCTCTGCGGGACAAAATCAATCACAAAGTCATATGCCAGAAAACAAAGGTTAAAGATATCATGGAGAAAGTCAGAGAATCAAAATGGAGATGGGCTGGGCATGTAGCAAAACTTCGGGACAATAGATGGACAAATCGATTAACAGAATGGCAACCAAGGATGGGAAAGAGAAGAAGAGGAAGGCAGAAGAGAAGATGGAGAGATGACCTAACATCATACATGGGAATGGCCGCTTGGACTAGGACAGCTAGAGACAGAAGAGAATAGAAATGTTATGAGGAGGGCTTTGTCCAATGTCTGGATGAACTATAGCCTGATAGATAAATAGATATCTGCATTGTTTTCTCCTAAGATGAGTCACGTAGTCTAAAGATTATATTACTGACCTGAATGTTCTGACCTCTTTGACCCTGCTTGGGAGACCTTTGAAGAGACACGGTAGAACCAGAGTGATTGCTCGCTGACCGATCTTACCATAGTTCAGGTCACACATCTTAACGCACACCTGGTCAATGGTATGGTGAAGTGTAGAGACAGGGTAAGAAAAAATAAAACAATAAACTTTAAGTAATTGGACTTTGTTACCCTAGGATACTTATGACTTGCTTGGAAGAACTTTGAAGAGGCGTTGTAGAACCACAGAGATTGCTTGCAGATTGATTTTAACCATACATGTAGTACAGGTCACATACCACCGAATATGGGCTATCCAGCCAATTATCATATTTTGTAATTCATTATTCTATTTGTTATTGTTTTACTGAATGCATGTTGTCTTTTTATACAGAAAAAACAACAACAAACAAACAAACCTTAAATTTGATGATTTTTTTAAATGTTGATGTAATTTGTATCATTGCATATAGAAGGGTAAATAATAATAATAATGATAATAATAAAAACACTGCTTATATCAAACAAGTTTATCAAAATCCCCCCCCCCCTTCCCCTCTTGGAAACATTCAAAGTCAAGATTATTTTTAATTTTAAAATGGTAAAATAACGCCCCACTTTCACACTTGAAGAGTTCTTCGAACACTGCAGAGATTTGGAATTCACATTGGGATCTAAAATTTGGGACTTTGAAAGGCTCACCTTTCTTCTCAAAGTTAAGGGTTCCCTTTCGGATAATGAAATGCTTACCTTACTGAGTGATCTACATGCCGCTTCTGCTGCTTTCCTTACAGATTCCTAAAAAACAAACAACAAATTTCATGACTAATTCATGAATGAGTCACATTTCAAAAACTCCATGTAACAAGATGGAATAACTAAGACTAGGGTCCCCTCTTATAAAGAGTTGATATCAATCGGCAACTTATTTGCGATTGATATCAATCAGTATGATGTACATAAGAGATAGGGGAATGCATACTTACGATTGATTACTGAGCTTGTGATTAATGTTGATCAATCGCAACTCTTTATAAGACAGGGCCAAGATTTTCATATGGTCAAATAAATTCAAACGGAATCATAATACAAGACACTGGCTCATGTGCACCTGATCCCTGTTAGCGCTGAGTGCCGAATATCCAAATCTGTTTCCCAAATACAGGGATCCTTGTTGCATAAAAAAATTGAACAGATGACTAGGAAAAAAAAACAAGGAAATAAAATCTATATCAGATAACAGTGCAGAACACGCAATCACATTCCGATTACCTTGATGTCATCAAGTGCACAACACCCAATCACATTCCGCTTACCTTGATGTCATCAAGTGCACAACACCCAATCACATTCCACTTACCTTGATGTCATCAAGTGCACAACACCCAATCACATTCCGCTTACCTTGATGTCATCAAGTGCACATTACCCAATCACATTCCGCTTACCTTGATGTCATCAAGTGCACAACACCCAATCACATTTTGCTTACCTTGATGTCATCAAGTGCACAACACCCAATCACATTCCACTTACCTTGATGTCATCAAGTGCACAACACCCAATCACATTCCGCTTACCTTGATGTCATCAAGTGCACATTACCCAATCACATTCCGCTTACCTTGATGTCATCAAGTGCACAACACCCAATCACATTTTGCTTACCTTGATGTCATCAAGTGCACAACACCCAATCACATTCCGCTTACCTTGATGTCATCTAGTACCATGAAGCACTTCTCCCAGAGCTCTGGAAGATGCTCCACGATGTCATCTACGTTCCTTCCTCTGAGAAGATCACTCAGTGCTAAACAACTACACAGAAGAAGAAAAAGATAACAAGGATAAGTGATACACGATTACACTGATATATAATAATAACAGTGGATTCTTGTATAGCGCTCATGTCTGTCAGACTTGACACTCCTGACGCTCCCGATTATTAACCTGGCTTTAGTATGGCTGCCATTACGGCGCTCTAGCATTACAAGGAATTAATTCCTGCCAGGTACCCATTTACATCACCTGGGTTGAGTGTGGCAAATGTAGATCACTGTCTTGCCAAAGGACATTATTGCTGCCGTGGGACTCAAACCGCGGACCTTGTGATCGACAGTCCGGTGACATATCCACTCGACCACAACACCTCTATGGCTATTAAGATGCCCACTCCTAGATGACCAATGAATGCTTCCTGGAAGACCTAGTGGCAGCAAATGAGAAGGCTCTTCAGTGTGCAAGAGCCCGGCAGAACATTTGAGCTCAGATGATGGACACGAAAGAAGTGATATGGCTAATGATGCCTCTTGCCTTGGTCAAATTAAATCAAAGTATTTCTTGACAAATTACTTCCAAAATGATGACAGAAAACGTGGTAAAACGAAATCACAAGTGTCTCCAAAATATTCATGTACATTGGTGGTTTGTTATTTCACGTGACTGCTAAGAAAGCATAAATGTAAGAAAGTAAGCAACCAGACGGCCGCGGCTTTAGGTCCTCTCCGAGGGACCTGGTAATGAATATTAAGGCCTTACCAAAGGGCACTAGCGCATCAACTTGGTTTCGAACCCAGTTCACCGGATTACGTGACCACTGCTCTAACGACTGAGCTAAATGGATGCATCTGGCGATCATTTATTATGAGATATATTGTTACTCTTACATACCTAGACTCCCTGTTCCTCCACAAACTATACAAAAGTACTATCGTAGGGAGATAGTACTTATCTATCATTAATCATGTGACCTCATTTAGACCAATCAGATTGCAAGATTCTTAGTATGCGGGATATAATATCAGATATTGTTATTCTTACCTAGACTCCCTGTTCCTCCACATACTGCTTGTAATGTTGGTTAAGAGATCATCCACAATCTCCTTCAAGTAGGTGTCCATCTAGAGGGTCAACAAAGAAAGGCGAAAAATGATGACAACAGTTAGAGCTTAAAATGCATGTACATTCAATTCTATTGAGAAATATGTCACAAGGAAAATCTCACAATTAAACAATGCCCTGTTTATGCAGAAACACACCAGAAAAAAAGTTGCGGATAAATGAATGGAAATAGATTTTTATTGTTTATAATTCATTTTAATTCTTTCTTTCTTTCTTTATACATTTGTTAATTATTATTATTATTATTATTATTATCATTACTATTGATGTTGTTGTTGTTGTTATTATCATTATTATTATTAATAATATTATTAGTTATTACCATTTTTATAGGGGGTGGGGCTTAGAGGATAAAACAGCTGTGCACAACAAAAGCTTCTACTAACGTGTACATTGTACCTTATATAGGAATATACTCCACAGATGATAATCTAAACTAGGAAAGGATAAAAAAAGAAATAACAATCCCCATGCCAAACTCACCACTGTCTTGTTGTCCTTGAGCACTGCGGCCCAGATGCCTGTCATGGCTGCCCTGACGGAGCCGTTGGGGTCGTAGAGGTAGCGGAAGAGTTTGGGGACGATCTGCGCCAGATATGGCTTCAGCTGCTCTCCAGCCTGCGATGCTATGGTGCCAAACCCAAAGGCTGCCCCCTAGTGATCAGAAAAAGGTCAATATTTAACCTGTTGACTACTGAATTGTATAGGGTCCCATAGGCTTAACACGGGAACCACCATGTTCCAGTAAGCAATGGGTGATTTTTGGTTGATTCATTATCATTTCATATCAATAATTGTACTCTACAAAGGAAGCATTATCATTTTATAGGACTATATAGAATTATCAAACAGTGAAGCAGATAACATAAAAAATGAATTAAATGGCTTTGTCCATAAAAGAAAAAAATTAATAACTGGAGCACCAAATCTTTTCCTGGACATGGCAGAAAAAAAATCCAGTACTCTGAAAATAGAAATACGCGACTTACAGTCCTTCAATAGAAGTTTGAACAATATGAGAACAAATTGGTGTTCCTTCATCATAACATACTAATGAATTCACCTGCACTGTGATTTGCGAGATGCATTTACTTATTACTATAAGACAGCTTTCTACATTCTTTCCTAAGGACAGGCCAATCAACTCACCTTTCTGGAGGTCCACATAGCATTGTGATTGGCCAGATGCATGAACTTGTAGATGAGATCAGGCTGATTGAGATCGGATGCTAGTGAACATAACTCCCTGTATGTGGACATGCCTCCCCTGTAAAAGCATATAAATGAGCAATGCATTAAAGCCCCACTGTACTATTTATGGCTACTTACGCCCTCTATATAGCAAACAATGCCTACGTGTGCCCCTTGGTCCCCCATGATCCTCTTTTTCTTGTGTTAATTGAGAGCTGATTTGATGAGATAAACACCCGTCAGCAACCTTGCAGGGAGGTCTTATCCATCCTGGCCAAACTAGTACAGACGGGCTTTAATAGTGGGATGTATGTGAAATATGTGATCATACAATGGCGGTGTTAATTAAGTGAATTTTTCTCAAACTTTATACCTTCTCATCTGCAAAAGAAGATGATTTCTTTTCAATCTTCCATTTTCCCCTTTACATCTTCTATTTTCACAATGTTCAATATTTTCATAATGTTCAAGCTGTTTCAACCAGATGTATTTTTTGGGGGATGTTTTTGGTTTTCTTACAATAGTACAACTATCAACTCATCAGTGTTTATGTGAAAGGCTGTAAGGAGAAGAGCAGCAAGAAAAACACAAGTACACTGACTGCAGGGCTTAAATTAATCCAAGGCCACCAAGGCCATGACCTTGGATGCCCCTTTGATTGGCCTCGATGCCCTTCTCATTGGCCTTGGAGATTTTTTGTGCCCTTTCCAATTTTTCCTATTTGTGTTGTAATATAGGAATGTGCCCTACAGAAAAGTGGCCTTGCCCTAAACATATCGAAATTTAAGGCCTGTGACTGAATGGATCACTGAAGAGGTTTAGTTCTGATTTGTGATGTAACTTGAAAATTTGTTCTTTCTTCACAATCAGTGCAAAAATCACCTGTTTGTGTAAGCTTTCACTTGCCATGCTGCAAGCTAATGCAGACGTACGTCACCAGACCTGCCAACCTCTGGAGTTCATTAACTGTATTCTTTAATCCCAAAAGTTGTATTTTACTGACAAAAGTCGTATTCTTAAAAATAAACATGGACTGTTACATGGATCAATGCCTCTTACAGTTCCTTCATACAGGAAGAATATTTTTTAATGGATCATTGATTGAATATGCATGATTTTGTCACGACTGTTGTGTTTGATGAACCAATGAACATCCCCCAATTGCCGATGTGAGATGCTTGTAGGATACTTTACAGGACAGAATGGACATTTTGCTATTGAAAATGGCCATTCTATTGGGAAATCCTATTTTATTGAGGAAAATCGTACTATCGTATTTGCTTCTAAAAATCGTACAAAAATATGACTAAATCGTACTGGTTGGCAGGTCTGCGCCATAGCTGGCATTGTTGCTGATGAAGTACGACGATGAAGAAGCCATGGCAAGTGAAAGGTAATACCAAAACAGGAAACTTTCCCACTGATTGTGAAGAAGTACTATGTTATGCTGAATATATCTACATTTTGCATTCAAAGCGGGAGCTAATAATTCAATCATTAGCTATGCTTTTCAATTTTAGAAATCATAAAAATATTCTCACGTTCACTTATCATTCAAATGATGTGTAAGGATAGGAAAATGACAGATTTCTTAAAGCGAATTCTGAAACTTATTTTTAAGGTTCAAAACTCATTGAGCAATCAAATTGGGACTCAAAATGATTTCATTCACTCGAAACATTCACTTCATGACTTACCCATCTGGATTGTTTCCAAGAGCACCCTCTTCAAAAACCTTGGTGTCTCCTGTCACGTTCTTCTTGCTTGTTCTTCATGAAAGAGAGCAAAACATTTTTAGTGAAGACATCTCATCTCATCTCAAACCAATGTTTATTTAAAGCCCTACTGCACCACTTATAGCTAATTGCGCCCTCTACATAGCAAACAAAGCCTTATTGGTGACCGTTGATCGACCATGATCCCCTTTTCTTATGTTAATTGAGAGCTGATTTGATGAGATAACCACCTGTCAGTGACCTTGCGAGAGGTCTAATCCCTCCTGGCCTGCAGATAGGCTTTAAAAAATCATGACCTAGCCTTCCAAATCAGGCTAATGAATAAGTGTACCCAGCTTTACAAAATTTGTCTTATGTTTTGATCCTAGGTGATTCCATGGCAAATACTGTCAAAATAGAAAACTGAAACATAATATCCATTTTTGGGCCTTGTAATTCATCCTGTAATAAAGATAATTCACGATCGCCTCTCTGATTATCAAGATATTTATGATTGGAAATCAAAATTTCATTTTTCGTTTTCCTAACGGTTTTTATAACACTACAGTCTATTGGGGAAAATGAGTATGGTAAAAACCGACCACTCAAAGATTTTTACTTTTTTGAGGCCCTTCATAATCATTTTGAAGGGCAACTTTTTTAGGGCTTCAATATTACACCATATCACAGCTCAGATTTAACATTGTTAAACGATGTCTTTAAAGGTACTATGTCCCTTTTGCAGCCAACCTCAAATTCTGTAGAACTTTGCAGGAATTATGAATATGTCATGTATGTCCTATCTGTGAAATTTAAACGTTAGCAGTGTCCTCATATTCAAATTATGCAAGGAAACCTGTTTACTTGCTAGACTTTACTGTCAGACACTATTGAGTGACTGACTGGCTTTTTTCTTCTTTGGTAATAATATACATGAAAAGAGTTGTAAAGGGTACATGAGCATTTGTCTACATCAATAACCCACTTCTTGTGATGGCCAAGATTAACTGATTGAATCTTTGTGCAGAAAAAAACGTATGACCATTCGGTACTATTGTCTGAAAATCAAGACTATTACTTTTGGGCTCTACAGCCCTAATAGTCCGGCAGCCATCACGATATACCTTGTTTTAGGGTCTATAGTTTTTTTTGTTTTGGATTATAGTTCCTTAGACCATCAATTTGAAGAATCCGATTGCTGACACTCTGTCAGCCTTGAGCAATTTGAGATATGTGACGTCACACAAAATGGGCGCCAAAATACCCTGTTTTACCAAAATTATTGATAAAAAATTGTTTACAGTATTTTGCTACATTAAATGTCAGTCAAATATCTTGATTTTTTTCTAGGATCATCACTAAATAAAAATTGACGATGTTGTATGATAAAAAATGGCATGTAAATTTGCATAATTCAGATTGGCGCCCTCTATAGACACGTTAACTTGCAAATTTTAAATGATGGCCAAATGCCAATTTCTAACATGAAATTAACATTTTTTATAAGTCAGACGCACTGAATACAATAAGTAAAAATTGTGCACCACATTTTGGTGTGATTTTTTTGTTATTTTTTACTTTAAAGGTAAAGATCAGTTTTGGAAACGCCCCCCTCTCAAAAAAATGAAATGGAAGCTCTTATCACCAATCATGTGAAAGAATATGTTTTGACTAATACGTGATGATACAAATTTTGCCGAGAAACCGCCTACTTATTGATATATTTGGTAAATTATTATATCTATTTAGACCTGATAGATATCGCGCACGCGTCGCGTAGTCCCATATACATCCTACTGTGTACAGTGCTTGTAACTTTACCAAGACTGGGCCAAATTTCTAATCGTTTTGATGATTCCAGAACCTTGCAGTACACACCAATACTTATAAGCTAGATGATCAACCTTTTCTGATCGATTCCACAACGTTTCTTTCACAATGCAATCGCATGACTATAACTGGTCATTTGTTTTGTATTTTGAGGTAATACATTCTTTTATATGAACCTATCATGAAAAGGTTCCTCTCTTACAAGGGAATTTATGAGTTTAATAAAGCGAAATATCCACCCAAAATGACCAAACATGGTTACCTTCCAATGGCTATCATTTGCTGCTTTAGTTTGATCGTTATAACACTCTACAGAGGCGCGAAAACCACAGAAAATTGTGCATGCTAGTTTTGCTTTGTTGCATTGGCACCGTGATGATTTACATAGGCTGCCACTCGCACAAGTGCACCGTATTAACCTTAATATGTTGTCCGGTGCGAATTGTACATTTGTAAGTACTGTGACAGGGATCAGGGATTTGGTTTCCTCTTCTTGTGCATAGCCATACTTTGTAGGATCCAATGATGTGGGTCGTGACTGCAAGGCGTGCTTCCACACACATGTTTGCAGATGAGCTCTCTTGCCAACTGAGTCCAAAGGGAGTCAAATCTTCTGCTTCATCACTTTCAGCAATGCATGTACCCTTTTCAATCCCAAAGTATGCCCCAATAGTGTCGCATCCCCTCAACGCATGTCCTGCCAACATCGATGGAATGATATCTTCTAACTTGTGTACAGTGGCAGGAATGTCAATAACAGTTCGCTCTTTGATGACGCCATGATCATTGGCGTTCTAAGTTATTCATGTAGATAATGATGGACCCTAACCCTAACAGCCAGGACCCTAACATACCTTTTCTCATTAGCAGCAATTTGAATCGCTTGCTGTACTATGATGTCGTCTGCTTCTGCATGTGTTATGGAAAGATCTTCCCTTGGCATGACATCGCTGCCTGGTATCACTTCAACATATACATCATCTTGACCGGTAATGACCAGCTTGTGCTTTTGCCTATTTCTGAACACCTTATCATTCTGCAGAATCACGCATACCGGTATATGATGTCAACTGTAGTTTGTTGTCAGTAGTTTCTGGGAGGGAAGCAGTGAGGTGGGAAGACTCTTTCGGATGACTCTCGATTCGTCATGACTTCTAGAAACCCTGGTTGCACACCAACCAAAGATCATCAGATTTTAATCCAGAGTAGAGCACAACCATCAAACGGGCTGCACAAGGTTGTTCAAGTGACACGTCAACCTTTGTCAAATTCTTCAAGTTCGCCTTTGACCTGGTGAAAGCTTCCATGACAAAATATTCTTGATATTGACATATCTTCAACTTGCCTGCAGTCCTATTACAATAGAGTAGATCAACTTGGTGTCATAGACTTTTGAATCCTCCAATGTTAATTAAACTACACCCTCCAAGTGGTTGAAAACTTCACCTACCTCGGCTCCATGTATTAAGCAACCTCTCCCTTGATCTCGAGCTCAACGTTCACATTGGCAAGGCAGCAACCAAGACGGCTAGACACTCAAAGCAGGCCTGGAAGAACACTTTAATTACTATAAACCACCAACACGAAAATGAAGATCTACCAGGCCTATGTGCTCAGCAATCTCCTGTATGGCAGTGAGTCGTGAACCCTGTATGCAAGTCAGGAGCGCCGTTTGAATGTTTTCCATTTCCGCTACAGTTGAGGCGAATCCTAGGCATCAAATGGCAGGACCACATTCCAAAAAGGATGTCCTCAAAAAGGAAGGATGAAGACCATCTACGCTCTTCTATCACAACGACGGCTGAGGTGGCTTGGTCATGTCAGTCGAATGGAAGACGGCCGCATTTCAAAAGACATCTTGTACGGAAAGTTAGCGACCAGAACCAGGACTGTTATGGATGTGTGCAAGAGGGATATGGAGGCCAGTGAAATCAACCCTACAAAATGGGAAGCCTATGCTTCAGACTGCCCTCAAATGGAGATGCGCTGTGAAGACTTGTATACAGAGGAGTGATCAGAAGAGAATAGAACAGTGGAAGGAGAAAAGACAACAAAGACGGCAGCTAGCCACGGCTTCAACAGCACAGCCACACATGAAATTTGTCTGCAGCAACTGCAACAGGACCTGCCTCTCTATGATTTGACTGTTTAGTCATAGCAGGAGCTGCACAGCAAGAAACTCTTGCTTGAAGCTGTTAAACAGAGGTACAATTAACGGTGTTCAAAGGGGGGGGGGGGAGTTCCAGAGTCTTATTGTATCCGGGAAGAAGCTCCTCTTTTAGACAAGCATTCAGGCAAAATGAACAATTATCTTCATGGAATGCCCTCTGTGCAGGGATGTTAATGGAGTGAGGAAAGTATGTGGAAAGTCTTTCAGCGGGTTGTTGATGCGAAAGATCATCACCACCTGAGCCTGTACCCTGCGTTCTTGTAATGTTGGCCACTTGAGCTGGTTCATGATGGCTTCTACTTTGCTTGTCCTACAGTAGACATTGCAGAAGGAGCGGACATAGCGCCGTTGACCCATTTCAAGCTTCTTGATGATTGCTAATTGTTTGAGTGTTAGGGTCCCATATAATTATGATGATGGCATACTCCATGATTGGTTGAAGGCGAGTATCGTAGCACAATTATTTAACTTTTCTAGGACATGGTTGGATATTTCTTTGAAGAAAGGCACGGGTGGAGTTGGAGTATTTGCTGATAATGTTGATATGTGGGTTCCAGCTGAGGTTTTTCTGTGACTCAACACCTCGATACTTTGCTATATTTTTGTCATCTAGGGTCTGTCCGTGAATTTGATGATGGATTTGCGTTTATTGGTGACATGTAGAACCTGACATTTATGTGGGATGAATTCCATCAGCCAATCACGCTCCCAGCGTTGCAGTGAGTCAAGATCCTCTTGGAAACGTTAGGCGTCTTCCTATGTCTTGATGTTGCTGTATAGCATGCCATCGTCAGCAAAGAGCCTGACTGTTGGGTTTGGGGAGAGGTACGGTGGCAGATCATTGAGGAAGAGGAGAAACAGCATCTGGCCGATAACGCTGCCTTGCGGGATGCCAGATGTTACTTGGCTGGTGTTGGAGATGGGTCCTTCCAGTAACACCTGCTGGGTCCTGTAACTCAGGAAGCCAGAAAACCAAGCATGTGTGGGTTCCCAGATTCCATAGAATTGGAGCTTGTGTAACAGCTAGCCTTCCATGGGGAACCTTGTCAAATGCTTTGGAGAAACCAAGGAGTGTCATGTCCAATTGGTCTCTGGCATCGATGCCTTTGGCAAGGTCCAGGACAGCAAGGACATTACTGTGAGACGCAGGATCGCTTCTTTCGAAAGCCATGTTGTGCATCAGACAAGATGTTGTGGCTTTCACGGTGGTTCATGTTGCTGCTAAGAACGATGTGCTCCAGTACTTCACAGGTTACTGATGTCCGAGAGACAGCTTTGTAGTTCTCTGGCTTGCTACGGTCACCTTTCTTGAAGATGGGATCAATATATATAGCCATCTTCCATTTATCAGGTATGCACGCTCTGGTTAAGGGAAGCTTGGAAGAATAGAGGGAACACAGGTGTCAGTTTGGTGGTCAGAAGTCTGGCTGGGATTTGGTCAGGACCAGTGGCTTTATGAACATCAAGCTCAGACAGGATCTTCAGAACACCTGGTGGCGAGATAGTAATGTGATCCATGATTGGGTAGGGGCTTCGTCCTTTGTCTCTCAGACTAGTCATATCTTCATTGCAGTTGAAGATGGATGAAAACTGATTACTTAGAATGTTCGCCTTTGAGAGGCTATCTGAGTAAGTTATTCCATTATATTATTTCAATGGAGCCAACCCTGAAGCATCGCATCGCTTGCCGTTTATGAAACTCCAGAAACACTTTGGTTTACAGTTGGTGTGTGGGCTGACAATTTCTGTCAGGTACCCGTTGTAGACTTTCTTGGAAATTGTGTCATAGAATCCACCAGGTAACTTCTGTTAGAACTCATGCATCTGTCTGGTACCGATGCCAAATGCTTTATCATCATTCACTGACGCTGGATCAATGCTGGTCTAAATAAAGCCTATGAATGGAACAATAATGTACCGTAAAATCACTTCTCACTGATTCTCTTGTAGATCTTGGTTTCTTTACATGTATCTTAATTTAAACCAAAAATATATAAGATAAATGCAGAACAATCGTAATTGTTTCATGTATACGAAGCATATAATATGTGTTTAACGTGACGTAGATCTAAGAAATTGGCATTTGGCTGGCACACCTATTTTTATGCAAAATTAATATATGTATAGAGGGCGCTATTTCAAAATATGCAAATTAGCTTGTCATCTATGGCCGTGCAACATCACGAAACAATTTTTAGTGATGGTCCTAGAGAGATACAGACATTTGGCAGCCCAAAATTGTAGAAAAATCCTTGTTTTATATTTATTATACATTTTTAGAGAAAATTCATGTACTTTGGCGGCCATTTTGTATGACGTCACATATCTTAAATTGCTCAAGGCTGACAAAGTGTAAGCAATCGGATTCTTCAAATAGAAGGTTTAGGCAGTCATAATCCATTGAGAAATAAGAAATTGGCATTTGGCTGGCACACCTATTTTTATGCAAAGTAAATATATTTATAGAGGGCGCTATTTCAAAATATGCAAATTAGCTTGTCATCTATGGCCGTGCAACATCACGAAACAATTTTTAGTGATGGTCCTAGAGAGATACAGACATTTGGCTGCCCAAAATTTTAGAAAAAGCCCTATTATATATTTATTATACATTTTTAGAGAAAAATCATGTACTTTGGCGGCCATTTTGTATGACGTCACATATCTCAAATTGCTCAAGGCTGACAGAGTGTCAGCAATCGGATTCTTCAAATAGAAGGTTAAGGCAATCATAATCCATTGAAAAAAAAACTATAGACCCTAAAACAAGGTTAGGCCAATAATCTGGATTTGGCTGCCGGACTATAAAGTCGATTTGACAACTAATAGTCGTTATTTTCCCACTTGAAGACATTTTCAAGCCCCACCTTTTTTAGAGAAGTCCTAAATTAGTATTATCTTTGAAATGCAGCTGGAATTTAACTTTTTCATTTTTTTGGCCTGCAAATGGGACATAGTACCTTTAAGAGTCATTCATTATAACTTGTTATTGATAACAAGTTTGATGAAACACAGGGCCTAGATATTTGTCTTTACTACAAAGCAGTGGTTTAATGTGCACTATATATTATTTAACTTTAGATGATCTTACCTTTTGCCCGTTGCTAGTGTATCCACTAATGTGTTCACCATGGCCTTCTTCTCTTCCTCGTTGCTTTGTTCGTACACTATGCTGAGACCCTTAGAAGCTACATCTTGGGTAAACTCTGCAAAAGTTTAATGAAACTCAAAATCACTTAACAGAAAACATCATCTTATTTTGAGAAATCCCTGAAGTAACCATGAAATTACAATGAGAATCATTATCGTTGCATATTTTATGGATATGTTTTAACAGTTCATGAGAAAAAGAAAACACTACTCCTAATTGGTGGGTCTCCTCAAATATAACTGCTTTGAGAGATGTAGTTTAGAATACTACATTTACAGATGGTTAGTCCCTCTTGCAAACCTAAACAAATAGTGAAGAGGTCTATTATTTGGAACCTCACACTAAGTGTGAACAAAACACGAAAACTGGTTTCCGATGAATAAATTGATATCTGTTTTCTAGAGTAAAAAAAGTGTATCATACATAATTAAACATTCTATGCCCAGACTCCCAAAATAAAACAATCTTAATCCAGATCCCTTATACAAAACATTAGTGAGAGGCCCTCCTTACATGTATCAACAACAAACACAACAAAACGTTCACTTACCACTACTTTCTGAGAGCATGTCGATGAAAGCCCCCTGGACGTCTACAAGACGTTTCTGCAGGGAGGGATGGCTACCACACTTCTTGGCCACCGAGAGCAGCCAGAAACAAGAAGCCTGTCGGTAAATCAAGCATAAATAAAGAATTCATAAATTATATTTCTAGGCATAAAGGAGAATATAAACCAAAAGTAACTAAAGACAAATACTAGCACTGTCAAAAAACTTCTTTGGTGGAGGTGACAGAAGACCAAGTTATGTAGGAGGCCTGGTTTCCCACACTAAAAGTCACCTACAGACTCGATATTTATTCACGAACAGCCCTCATATCTTACACAAGCTTTAAGGAAGGCAAATTTATTCCAACTCGCCTTCGTCCGGGTTTGGGACTCTACTTATCTCTTAATCCCCCATTCCCGGACGCGTATGGTATGCTGGCTGTCCCTTGGCGTCCCTTGCTCGCGTCTATTGTTGTCTGTTGGACAATGGAGCAAATTGTGTGGATCCCAAAGAGCAATTAAATCTTATCCATGGCACATGTTTGTTCATTTGATGGCACAGCAAGAACTCAAATTCATTGTACACTGTTTTCCCATACTATCCTAAGGACCTTCCATACCTGTCTCTTGTGTGGGTTCTGACTCTTGATTTCTTCATTGAGTATCCTGTTGACCGTCCACTCCACCCAGTCCTTCTGGCCCTTCTTGAGGGGCTTACCGATGGCCAGATCCCCCTCCTCCTCGGTCCAGACATCCCTGCTTGACCGGGAGAGGGCGCCCAGGGACGCCTGGGAGATGGCATCACCCACGCTGAAGTGAAGCTCCATCTGCTTGTTGTTCTGGCTCTGTATGAAATAATCAAACCATACAAAGGAGATAACTAGATGGAACTTCAACTGCGCGCAGTCGAAAATGATGCCTCCGACATAGAGCAATTTTACTATTTACTAAGTTCAATTGTAATCCATTAACAGATTCTCAGAATATCGTGATTACAAGCAATTTTTCATATACATATATGACCCTTTGATCTTTGACCTCATGACCCTAAAATCTACTCAGTTCATTGGCTCTACAAGATGTCCTGAGTTAAATAGTAATCCATCTGTCAGTTCTAATGAGAATGTGTTCACAAGCTATTTTTGCATACATAATGAGCCCATGACCTTTGACCTCATGACCCCAAAATCTAATCAGTTCATCGGCTCTGCAAGTAACATACATGACCTAAGTTTGGCAGGCATCCATCAATCGGTTCTTCAGATAACGCAATCAAGAGCTGTTTTTGCATACATAATGAGCCCTGTGACCTTTGACCTTTGACCTCGTGACCCCAAAATCTAATCAGTTCATCGGCCCTGCAAGATACATACATGACCAAAGTTTGGCAGGCATCCATCAATCGGTTCTTCAGATAACGCGATCACAAGCTGTTTTTGCACACATAATGAGCCCTGTGACCTTTGACCTTTGACCTCGTGACCCCAAAATCTAATCAGTTCATCGGCCCTGCAAGATACATACATGACCAAAGTTTGGCAGGCATCCATCAATCGGTTCTTCAGATAACGTGATCACAAGCTGTTTTTGCATACATAATGAGCCCTGTGACCTTTTACCTATGACCTCGTGACCCCAAAATCTAATCACTTCATCGGCTCTGCAAGATACATACATGACCAAAGTTTGGCAGGAATCCATCAATTGGTACTTCAGATAACGCGATCACAAGAACGGGATGTACGTACGTACGGATGGACGGACAACCCGAAAACATAATGCCTCCGGCTACTTCGTAACGGAGGCATAATAAAATGTAGTTTTTGAAGCTTCTACCAACCTTGAATTTTGTTGCGCAAGCTTTTGTTTACTCCTGTGGACATTCTCAAGCTAAGTGATCAGTCACACATTTTCTTAGAGATAATGTTTTTACGAAGATAAAATACCTGGGCCCCATTTTACAAAACTTGTCATCTGTGACAAATGAAGTTTTTGTTATAAGCTAGTGAAATCCTTGCTTCTGATTGGTTATCAGCAGATTTGTCACTAATTTTTGTTGTTTGTGATTGAAAAAAAAACTGAATTGGATGCTTCTATGTCTTAGCCCCAAATATTGAAATGGTTATTTAAATTTCCATCTAGAAGTATTTCTAGATATTTTGTGTCATGGCCAAAATAAGTTCAACAGTCTGTTCAACTTTTTTTATTGACTTAGAAGTAACACTGTACTTACATTGGCTGCCTTGATGAGGCCTTCTAGAACTGCTTGGGTGAACTTGAAGTTTGGATCACCTACAGGGAGGTATCCAAGGGTGATACAGGCTTGCTCCTTCAGCTGCACCAGGGAGAGGGGAAGAGAAAGAGAGGAGTTCATTGTATAGTTATAGTATCTAGAACTGCTTGGGTGAACTTGAAGTTTGGATCACCTACAGGGAGGTATCCAAGGGTGATGCAGGCTTGCTCCTTCAGCTACACCAGGGAGAGGGGAAGAGACAGAGAGGAGCTCATTGTATATTCATGGTATCAAAGAAGAACATGCAGGCTGGTCCACAAACAAAAATTCAAACATATGAAATTGGAACATGGCAGAAGGATGTACTGATGTAAGCAAAGAATGAAGTCCTTGTTGCTTGACCTGCTTAATAGCATTTGCAAACATTTTAAGAACTAATAAGTCTTTTTTTTTTTTTAAATTGTGAGAATGTTGCGGATTTTCAAATCTTGTACAATCAGATTTCAAACCTTATGCACATTATGAAACCTATACAATAAAACTTGAAAAATGTTTATGTTACATGCTTGAACTGGTCATTAATTGGTCATTTTCACTTAATAAATCCACATGAGTAAGATCCGCCAATCTGACTACAACATGGATCTTACCTTCTGAGAAAATTTAATGGAATCCAATTTCGCAATCAACTTCTTCACGAGAGAGGCTTTAGTTGCTTCCGCTGTCCCTCCGCCTGACGATTTCCCCCTCTTGCTGTTCTTGGACTCCTCCACCTTACCGTCCTCTGCATGGGACTGGGTTAGTTCACCGTGAGGGATGGGGAGGGGACCGTTGCGGGCGATCTCACCCAGGGCCAGGCATGCTCCATGACTGAAGAGCATGTTGCTGTCATCGATGTATGAGACTGAAATAGAGTGAGACAAGAAGGAATTTAGTAGCTCTTCCTCAAGTTGTCAAGGCCACACCTGTCATAATTATCAATACGGATAGAAGTTTGGAACTGGGATCTATGCAATGCAGGGGACGAAAAGTTGATGCATGTAAGGGTGCGTTCATGCTTGATTTTGACGGCCAGAATCAGGCATCTGTTACGCGTTTAGTTTAAAACACGATTGCGTTCATGCTCACTTTTGTAGAATCACCGAAAAACGGCGATCACGATTGCCGATCGTAAACTCACAAAAAGATGTGTTAACAATTTGTAAACGCGTTTAAATGGGGTCAACGCACTGACCTCTAGTGGGTCTACGTAGCATGCGCACACAGGTTTGCGAATCCAGCTGAAGGCCACCCAAGGAGAATTACCAGGGGTAGCGAGCATGAACAGTGCACCGTGGAACTGCGATTACGATGAGCGTTTACGATGAGCGTTACAAATCGCTCATTCTGCCTTCAAAATCAAGCATGAACGCGCCCTAAGTTCCATATTTTGTGCAATGTGTATTTCAGGAAGTTTCACCGACATGTTTCATGTAGATCTGATATTTTACATCAGGGACCAATCTTAAGGATGAAGTTGAGTTCTGGTCATGCGATTGCATTGTGAAAGAAATGTTGTGGAATCGATCAGAAAAGGTTGATCATCTAGCATATAAGTATTAGTGTGTACTGCAAGGTTCTGGAATCATCAAAATGATAAGAAATTTGGCCCAGTCTTGGTAAAGTTACAAGCACTGTACACAGAAAGATGTATATGGGACTACACAAACATGTGGCATAAAAATCTGTCCCAATTTGTATGATGTTACATGCCATATTTAGAATATTTAGGCATTTGAAGAGCCATGCTTTTCAGGGAACATTTTCTATCTGATGTTCTTCCACACTTGCATTATACAATGATAATGCTCACAATTTTTTTTCACCTTTTCCCAGAACTCAACCTTCTCTTTAATGTTGCCATCTACAAAATAATACAATGTTAAAATGATTGTCAGAATACCATTAACAAAATCTGACAGCATGATGTAATTTGAAGCTAGAACTTGCTTCCATCTTATAAGATAAAACAAATCAATCAATATTGAATGAATTAAAAAACAAGAACAATAATAAAGTCACTTTTCTCCAACCTCACACACATGTAAGGAAAAACATGACTCCTCCTTACCCAAAAGGTTTGTTGCCTTGGTGATCGTAGCCTGAAGTGCTTCCTGGGAAGACGTCTTATCGACCTCCATGTCTTCCACGACCAGGTCTCGGGTGGGCGTCTTGGTTTTGTTGAGGTGGTGTCCGATGGTGTAGCCGAGTGCAAGCATTGAGCCGTGTTGGCCTTCTACAGACTAATAAGGGTTAAGGATCAAACAGAACTAAATCTGTCAGAACTGCAGATAATAATACATCATGCATTTTTATAGGCAACGGTGGTTTAGTTGGTATTCACTATATCATAACAAAACTATAATGTTCAAATTGTATCTTGTGCATACCACACTATGATACAAAGTCTCAATACATGTACAAAGTGCTGTAGCAAATTTATAATACCCGGACTAAACTTCAAGCAACAGTCATCGGCACACATTGCATTTCAAAGGATATTTCTAATGGCAGGTATACATGTACATTTATACTTAAAGAGTAAAAATCACCAAAAACATTTTGTTCTGTATGTTACGGGGTTTAATATCGCTCCACTACGTTCAAAATATGAGCTTCAAATAGTACTTCTTTATCATACTGCAAGTTAAAATGAACTCTCATTTAACACAAAACTGGTGACTTTGTAAGCAGACTACTTGACACAACCCTATACAGTGGCATAGAATCAGGCTTGTATGGAACACAAGTCAGTCTCAAGTGAATTTTACACATTATTTTTCTTTTTACGCTACAAGCCACATTAACAAAAAAAAAGAGCTCTTTTTATAAAACAAAAGATGAGAACAAGGGGAATGTTAGCAAAAGAGAAACGAGAGAGAAATCTAAAGAATTATATAAAATCAGAAGCTCACCTGATCTTTTGTAGTCTTGATAAGACTTTGTAGAATAGCATTAAGTTTGTCTATGTTGGTCGTACATGCTACTACAGCATACAGCTGAGCAGCCCATTCTCTCATAGGCTCAGATAGACCAAACACAAAGTTCTGAAAAAGAATGATGAACAATTAAGAGCATTGTAATTGAATGTATGTCCAAGTATTCAAAATACATGTTATTACAACACTGGCAAATATTAATTTAATGGGACACAGCAAAAAATGTACTATTTAAAAAGCATCCTCTGTTGGATGAAGACAATGACCCTCAGTCATCTTTATATTTGACAGTTAGTGTTGTATTCACTGCTATTAAAGGCAACAAACCCTACTAAAAAGTCTATCTCGCACACAACATATTTGGATGAAAAAGAAGACATTCTGTTATTCTTGAAATTCAGAAAGGGTTAATGACTTATGATGGTCCATCCAATTCAACAATGTTTGTACCAAGATAAACAATGAAAATGAAACCATAATTAATGACTGGTCTCATGTTTTCATATATTTACGAAACATGCATAAAGAACAATTAGAGACAAAGAAAGATTTAACTCCTGAAAATACGACCACTACATTACATGTGACAGAAGCCAATAGAGAAGTGTGTCACAAGAAACAAAATTATTTCCTGGTGAATGGTTTAAAGCCATAGGTCATATAGCTATGATATACAAGCATACATGTACATGTATGTTCTTAACATCTCGGGAAAAAATAGACATAAACAAAAACGTACAAGGGCAGAGACAACTTTGCACGTACCTTGATCCAATCTAGCTTGTTGATATAATGCCCCGCCAGTTTGTTGGGCGCCATGGCGACCAGCTCCAGCAGGCAGTACATCACATCTGGAGTCCCCGCCCCATTCAGCAGCTGACCAATCAGAGCCATGTATGAGAGAGCGGGGTTCCGTTCCATGCCTGAGGAGTTCCCCTTGCCCCTGGGTGCCTGCAGGGTGGGGTTGGAGAGGGTTTGCTGGAGGTAGCGACTGACCATGGGTGCTTTGTTCTCGAGGGGGAGGGGCTCTCGCATCTCTGGGGGAAGGTCGGTGCCCGCGTCGTGGAGCAAGCAGGAGCGCAGGTAGAAGATGACCTGTAATGATTTTTTCATCAAAGACCGTCAATACTACTGGGCCAGAAGGGATTAGACCACACAGCAAGGTCACTGACAGGTGGCTATCTCATTAACTCAGCTCTCAACTAACATAAGAAAAAGAGGATCATGGGGGACCAACAGGCGCCGATTGGGGAAGTTTTCTATATAGAGGGAGCAAGTACAATGTAGCTACAAGTAGGACAGTGTGGCTTAAATTCAATTTGTTTCTGACACAGTGAATGAGCCTATCAGCATGACTAATGCTCAGAGAGGTTGAATAAATAAGATTATATACCTCACTTATGAAATCCAGCCATCTGATTGGTCGGAATTTTTTATAAACTTTAACTATTCCTGTAAAATTCCCGGTAAAATTCCAAACCCATGTAATAGTTCAAAAAAATAGTTCTAAAATCCCAGTTACCATGGTTACAGGAAAAATAGTTCTAAAAAATAGTTCTAAAATCCCAGTAACCATGGTTACCCATAGGTTTACATGTTAAAAAATGGTTTGAGCGATCGCGGATACCGTACGTGTGCGAACAATTGGTCGGCATTTTTAGTACAGCAATATATCTTGATTCAAACAAGGCAAAAATGGCTGTAGAAACTCTCCCAAGATTTCAACTTCTGGATGAGGATCAAATGCGAGACATGCTGACAGCAAGAACACCGAAAAGGGTACGTGAAATCTTCCCTAATTTGTTTTCAGTAGGCCTAGATCTAGATTCTAGTAGAGTCTACGCGACAACCAGATGCTGGTGATTGTAGTGATTTGTACGTCACGGACAGATGCAGATCCTTCCCGTAGAGATTACACACATCCCTACGCATTTCCATTGGCCATTGCGCACTCGATCATGCTAGATTGGTCGATGTTTTAATTAACAGAGGATTCAAAATAATATTGCTCGTGATCCTGAAGGTGATACTCAATAAGTGAGGTACATATGAAAGCGCAGGCTCACCCCTAAAATTGTAAAAATATCTTGCTTAGACTAGAATCTAGATCTAGTCTACTCTCAAAGAAACACTCATAAAAAACAACTGTGCAGATAAACTAGAGAAAGGCCAAGGTGGTGTCATAATTTTTTTGGCATATAAAAGTATTAATGACTGCTTTAATAAATCTCAAAGCAGTCATTAATACTATATTATCTACATTGTCTGGTTTCCAATTTCTTGCATTATATTCCCAGTAGTGCAACTCAAATTTTTCCATATTCATGTAACTCAAAAACATTCTTTGAACATCTAAATATCACGCAAACTCTCTGACCATGAACACAAAGAATATAAAGCATGTAAATTGACTACAATAAAAGGGGGTCTACAATTGGTATTCAGTGGGTTAACTTTGATCGCCCTTACATGTCTAAAGGTCTCTGGTCTGAAGGCTAGATGTGTGGTCCCAGTCACGTATCTTGAGGAGCTCTTCACCCTCTGTGAAGCCTGAAAGATAAAAAGAAAAACAAAAGATAAACTTCATAAGAGGACAACAAACTCTTGTGCCAAATTGTGAATCACAATTATGGCAAGTAAAAAAAAAAGAAAAAGCAGATTTGCCTATTCATTTAACAGCTTCATCTAACAGAATATGTAAACATAAACACTTTTTTTCACTATAAGTAAACTGTTACTTTCTCAAGCAAAGGGGTAAAATACTTATTGTGCAAAAGAAACTTTTTTTCTCACCAATAAGATTTGCCTGTTGTTTTTGTTTCTTCTTTAAACACATATATAAATGAGAAAAATCCCCCTATCCAAGAGCATGACAACAAGGTTTCAATTATTTCCTTCTCATGGCTAAACTTTTCTTTGATTAATACTTTAAAAAAAATATATAATGTTAGCACAAATTTCTTGCCATCTTCTATTTTTTAGGGTTTTTGTAGGACAGGGGTCCTTAGTAAAATTGGGAGCCTGACAACAATTGCTCCCTGCTGACCAAAGGCACAGGGTTGAAGGGTCATTCTCCTACCTTCTCGCTGATGAAAGGCACCATCTCTGCAAAGGTCGGTACCGGTCTGACGTCCGAAGCTTCACCTTCTACCCTCTCATAGTCGTCATACTGCCTCCTAAGCTTCAGGGATCGCACAGCCTCTTGGTGAATATCCTCTTTGCTATCAGCATCAAAACAGGACAAGTATTGTGGTTTAAATGATTCAAGCTAATCTTAGGTGGTACAAAACAATGTTTTCAGTTGGGCTAATCATAACATGTGATTTAAGTCTCAGTGATTGTGAGCTGTCTTAAATTTGGGTAAAATACTTTGCCAAAAGCTTCAACTGAATACCAAAGTTGGCTAATCTAATTTTTAAAAAACTCATATTTTTAACATAAATATTGAATAGAATATCTGCCCAGATCATTAACCAGTCTCGATGATAGCTGTTTAAAAGGAGAACTACCTCGGACAAGCTATAGCTTACCTGTCTCCTGTAGCTAAGAGTAAGGCGTATCTGGATGCTACGTGATAGCTGGGAAACACCGTCGCTGCGTAGTGGACCGCTGTCTTCCTGGCTTGAGACTCAGACTGTGGAGACGAATGACGGAAGTTGAGAAAAGAGGATGATAGATGCAATACATAAAACAAGCAACTTCTAATCCTCTGACTGGTTATTGGCAATCTTGTTCTACTCTTTAACATGGTTGCTCTCATCCTCCTTGAAGACAACTTTGAGCTATTTGAACTTGATAATCCCACAATGTTCAATACCATCTCTATTCCAAATATCTGCCAGTTCATTACTTTCTTCTTCACTCAATGATGGCTCCCATATTCACTGTTAGAGTCTATGTAACGTGAGGGTACTGTAGTATGATGATTCTTACACTGTACTTTTAATCGGTGTGCTTTAATAGACAATGCATCTACAGTTGTCTATCTTGACCCAGGTGAATAAATGGATACCTTTTTGAAATAATTTCCTTATGTTTAAAATTCTTGTGCTTGCTTTATACTCTGGAAGCCAAGCTAAAGCCAGGGTGATATTTGAAAACAATGCCTGCCACTGCACCACTGATAGGTGCACTACACAAATGCTAAACCTGTATATAAAGACCACTCAAGAGAGACCAGAAAAGCGGTCTTTATAGGCAGGTGGTCCTAATTTACAGGTTCCTTTAGCACACAATTCAATGAATAAACACTATTCAAGGAAAACAGAAAATCTGGTCTTTAATAGACAGGTGGTCTTTCTATACAGTTGGTTGCAAAAGAAGGTTTCACCACAGTAATTTCACTTTTCACATGTCAGCTCTGTCAGCATCGCATTCATAATGTAGACCAAACGCTATCTAAGAGAACAGATAATTATGGAACAGTTTACCAATTATTATTTGTCAATCCCCATCTGTACAGTCTTTTAAGGCAAGTTTGAAGTATTTTTTTATTAATAGTAATTTATAGGGCAGTTTCAATTATCTGTAATGTTATTATTAGAATTATGTATTATTATTGCTCTATGTTTATTTTACTTTGTATCTTACTTGTATGTTAAGCCCTTAGAAACATTGCATTAAGCGCTTTATAAATGTAATTTAGTATTATTATAAGGACTATACCTTTTCAATATTAGCCATGATGAGGACCTCCATGATCTGTATAAGGGGTTCCTGGATCCCTTTGTAGGCTACAGCCATCAGAGTCAACGCCTCCTGGACATGCAATCGGGTGTCGTCCTCTTCCTGGGAAGTAAAGGGCAAAAATCGCACTTAAAAACCTTTGGTAATCTTGTGATTATACTCTTCTTTTTTTTTAATGGACTTCTGGACGATTTTTAGATATAGAAACTCCTTTTACTGTATATCGAACAACTGATTGTGAAGTGTGAATTTGTTGAAACCAAGAAATTGTAAACAAAAATGTCGAAACCTTGCTTAAAGCTGCAATGATGCAGTCTCCACAGGACCTAACTAGAGTCATGTCGGAATACAGTTTAAATTATATTTTTGGTAAGGGTGTATAAACCCAATAGGAAAAGCAGACACTGTATTATTCTTTCATTAATGTATAATTTGAAAGGAATGTATTCAAAAAGATGTGAAAGTCTGATCCGTATGAAGGAAATCAAGACGTTAGGATGATTCACTACTTGTTCATTGATTGACTTAATTCTTCACAACTATAAAATATCTCAAGAAAATTTGACATTGGAAAGACGGTAGTCAAAGCCCCAAAGTGTTGGGAGCTCAAAAGATTTGATCGCAAAATGTTACTAAAAATTATATCATTAAGGGCAAGAGGATGTCATTTAAGACACATTTCTGCAAGGAATTTCAAAACAAATGTGTTTAAAGTCGAATATTGATGAAAGAATACAAACTTTAGATTTTCTGCGTACAATAAAAAACCCAAATTATGTATTCCTTTATCAATAATTGTCTTCAGACGCATTTCTTTTTTTTTATTGGGAGGGGGGAGAGAATCTTTGCAGAAGTGTTAAATGACATCCTCTTTCACATTGTATAATTCATTTGTTCTATTATATATTGTAATACTGTATTGTTTATATATGTCATTTAAACTTTTGATATTTGAGTAGAAAAATAAATAAAATTAAATAAAATCAAATTATGATACAATTAAAGTGAAATTTTGCAATCAAATTTTCAGCGATTTCTAGGCTCCCAACACTTTAGAGGGGCTTTAAAGCATGAGGGGATGGATTTACCTTGCAGACGGCATCAAAGAACTGTTGTAGAAGACCCATATCTTTGGTGAATAGCTGTGGTAGTCTCCTGGGTGAGTAATCATGGAGAAATAAAGGGCAATAATTGTAATGGCAAAAGAATGAGACAAACAAAAAGTGAAATTCTATTTGCAGCTCATCTGACAATAGTTATTTTCTATCTTAGGGCATTTAAGTATTTTTTTAGTATCCCTCAGATCATGGAAGGCATGGATTTAACTTCACCAGTTTTCAATCATTACTTGGCATACAAAGTATTTCAATGAAGAGACAGAGAGAGAAAAATTAGACTTCAAGGTCTAACATACATCTTCTTCCTCCCTTTTCTTGTTAACAAGTACATCAAATACAAGAACATTTCAAGAGCACACAAAAATACTGGTTAAAAACTAAGTCCCTGACCCCAAAATAAGTATGGAAAAACACGAGACAGTCTGTAACAGGTTACTAATAAAGCAGAGGGGGTTTCAATATTCAAGCAGAAAGGGCAGAGCAATACGACTTTACTTGGCCTATCCTCCCCCCCCCCCAAATTACTTAAGTTCTAATGACGAGACATCATACTCACTTGGATAATCTTCCTACAGCAACATAAGCAAGGCTCCTTAGTTTCACATTCTGAAAAAAATTAACATTGGTATATAAAAATCCATCATCAATCATCAATTGGTCAGTGCCCGGACTCTACCAAAATGTCAATAAATGTCCGACTCATAAAAAGATTAGTTTAAAGTGACTCTGTAACATTGTTGAAGGTTGATGAAAAAAATATAATTTTTGTATGAAATGTTACTTATTATATTCCTTCTACTGTACTAACCCTCTAACATGCAAAAATCCTGAACAAATTCTCAAACCACAAAGATATAATATGCTTTTCTTTGAAGGCATCACTGTGCAACACCCTCTAACAGTAAATTCTCCCAACTGTTTTTGCATGAAAATAATACATTAGACAGGCTTTAAAAAATCTTTCAACACTTAAATTTCTGGAATGGTATGTTGAGCCAATTCATTGCTTTGTGATGATTGGCATTCACCGTAAATGTAATTAAGTCGTAATGATATGGTTAGGAGAATTAAAGAATCGATCAGATCAGTTTTTCCCAATTTCTATCATTACTAATGGTCTGTTTTCACTCAAACTTTCAAATTATCTTTGATTGTACATCTTGCATTGAACTACCTTAGCACCATTTTTTCTCATCTGAACAATGTTAACAAGTCCCTTTAAAGATAAAAATCAATCTACATGAGCTTACATCTTTGGCTTCAGCGATAAGTTTGACCATGCCCGAGAGGAGGATTGGTCCCATGGGTTGCATGCGGGCATCGCTACAGGCCGCGCAGAGATGGTGCACAAACTGAACGGCCATAGACTTGAGCTTGTTGTTGGAGTTTGCGCCGTATAGGCAGTCAAAGATGACCTGGATTAGAGATGCAAGGAAAACAAAATGGGTTTTTACAGAGGCAAGAAGAAACTGCCATCTGGGGGCCGTTTCACCAAACTTGTCATCAGTGACAAATGATAGTTTTTGTTATAAGCCACTGAAATCCTTGCTTCTGATTGGTTATCTGCAGATTTGTCACTGATTTTTGTCATTTGACATTGAAAAAAGGCTTTGTGAAACGGGTCCCTGATGATAAAATACCTCCTTTTCTATGATCCAAAGCTAATCTAAATTGTTGCTAGTTATCCAAGGAAAAAAAAATGCAAAGTGCACATTTTCTTTCAAATAAAATTTTGTAAAAGACTATGATTATATTTTACTTCACGTATCTGCCAAAGCTTTACCGGTATGCCTTCTTCAAAAATAACAAATGGAAATCTCTATGTGTTTACACATAAAATTATGATGCTGCTGTGCTATGAGAGTAGGACGTTTGCAAACAAAACAAAAGAGCACCTAGTTATATTCTACACTTCAGATAAATCTTGGGTCTTAACCTAATGGAAATCCCAGCTATGTCTGTAAAAAAAAAAATTATTAAATAAAATCTTACACTCATCTGAATGTTAACACAGGTATCCTTTCAGTAATGTTAAAAACGAATATTAGCAAGCTTCAAGGAATTCTTCAAAAGAATTCATGGGTAATATTGACAACTATCTGTGCTTCTGCATTATCCCTCACTTTTACCTGAACACATGCTGGAAACTGATCTGCGGCTAGTCTTGATCTTAGAAGGTATGGGAAGAGTTTTAGTCGAGTTCTTGTGCCGACCGGAGATCGCTTGTCCTCTTGCTTTGGTGTGGGCTGAAACAAATCACAAGAGCATAGTTTAATTAATCAAGTTCCCTTGCTTTATCATCCTTTAATCATGTCTGTGTGCATCTTCACATGAGTTTATCTATCATGAATAACAACTGTATTTCACAGTGAATACAAAGCTATGTCACGTACAAGGTCATAAACAAGGTCAAAATATGGGTACAATTTACCAATAAGCTATTAAATCATGACAATGATGAACTATACTACAAATATAAGTCGCTGTGTCTAAGAGCAATCATATTATCTCAATATCCAGTTAATTAAACCTGTATCTGACCATCCAACCTGAGACCCTCCCCCTCCCCCGTCCCCCCTCCCATCTCTTTTACACAATGGTACAGTTCATGTTAACTTCACATCTGTTGCGTTTCTCCCACACCACACACAAGAAACTAATTCATTTTCACACGTTTTAAATCACACGGGGGACACCTCCCCCAACCTCCTGACCCTCATGCTGCCAGAAGGAATAAAGGTTCACTCTTGATTGTTGAAACATTCATTGAAAGTCCCATGACTGAGTGAAAACCCCCATTTTCCTATGTTATTGAAATTGTGAATTTTCTAATATGTATATATATATAATGTGCACTTAATTTCAATTTTGGCGTTATATTTGCTTGTGCCTCTCCTTTCTTTATTTTCTTGTTGTTTATCCTTGATTTGTTACTCTCTTTATTTGTCCTTATGCTATATTTTTACCTGTCTTTTGAGTGTATCAGTTGGTTGGGCGGAGAGACCTTACGGTTACAGTGATTATGACAGTTTGCTCTCTTCTTCCCTGGCCGCCATCTTTTGCACTCAGAATATTGCTACAAAATTTGTATTTGTATAATTTTAGTCATTCTAATTTTGTAATCACCATGATTATATTGTTTTATTGTTATATTTCTTGAAAGTGTCGAAATAAATAATACAATAAAACAATACAATATTTACCTGTCCTTTAACCGCTACACTGCCTTGGAAGAGGGTGTAGAGTCTTCTCACAACGGTCATGTCATTCCAGTCAACGACACTGCGATCAGAGAAAGAGGAAAATACACATGAAGAAAATTTACATGAAACAAAGTATAGCTCTCTCATGACTTCACAATAATATTTTCTTAGGACTCTGTCTGTTTCTTTTCTTCTTAAATCTCATACAATCTGTTTAAAACAGATATGCATTTCTCTTTTTTTAAAGAAATCTAGCTAGACAAATGTACAGGAAAACAAGGACAAATATTCTTGTTTCTCCATTTAATTTAGGGAAACATTAGTTTGAAAAATGGTTTTATGTCATGATCTTTCCAATCCAATCCTGTAATGCACAAGTAAGAAAATGATTCATTTGGACACTTACATGAAAATAAGCCCATATATCAAAGATGAATTCGTAAAACTGTGTAATTAAATTAACCATATACTTATAATCTCACAAATATCAGTTTGCTATTATACAACTTCAATCCCTCCTTTTATTCCACTGTTTTCTCAAAGTGTGGGGGAGGGGAGGGAAGGGGTGAACTTATTTGCACTCCTGACATTCTATCAATGGTAAAATGAACTAGTGATTTTCAAGGGCTACGCTTTTATCTTTTTGTTGTTTTCTCAATTTTTCACAATACCACTCTAATATTTTTTCTTCTCATTATCTGTTTACTTTTCAAAATGACGACAAATGATATATCCTGAATTTACTCACCTATGAATTTTCTTCAGAAAGACATCCGCTGCAGTTGCCACACTGGTCATGGTAAAGGAAATAGAAACAAAGGAAACAAGAAGTAACCATTTAAAGACAGTTTCAATTTCATTTATTACGTGTACATATTCATGTCAATTCAAAGCCTCCATGAATTTAGCTTTTTAAACCATTGGAATACTGAAAGATTAGGCAGTGCAATATATTAGATATGCAAAGGGGGATGTTTCACCAAGACTAAGATCGACTTAAGTTGGGCTTAAACTATGGCCGGCTATTCATGTCATTGGTTGCTCGAACCATTGGTCTCTCAAGGGACGTCTCAAACCTACAGAATCCACATTTTTGATACTTTATTATTGAAGGAAAAAACGTTATCTAAAGATCATAATTTCTAAGGTTTTCCCCCTCTTATTTAACATCAAGTTCAAGACTTTGTAAGGGCATAAATCGCCTGCCATAGTTCAAGTCAAACTCAAGTTGATCTTAGTCTTTGTGAAACACCCCCCTGAACTAGTTTTAGGTCCCAGTCAATGATGTGAACAGTTTTTTTTTTCTTTGAGAAACTTGAGCAACTTAACTTTAGGTGAGGAACTAAGAGCTATTTTCATAGTGATTTCAAGCCATTCAGGATTCGCAATAATTGTTAAGTACTTCCTACTCTCTGCCCGCAGAGGGCTAAAAGAGCACAACTCGACATCATCACAACACTAAAATATCCTGAAACTGTATTAAAAGCTACCCTCTAAACTCTTTTTTTGGCAGGTATATAGTTACGGCTGTGTAAATGGATAGGGACAACAGGTAAGGTAGCTTTTTAAAGCGAGTCTGAGGGGTGTTTGGGGGCAGTTTTTGGATGCCTCATGATTGAAAGAGGTGCGGAACTCACGTATATCTGGTATCAGAACTTGCAACGATGAGATGACAAACCACGTCTGTTTCGCTCAACACGTCGGCACTCAGGAAACGCACAATACCAACTTTACACTACATCAAATAAAGGCAAAATGAAAAGATATCTTAAAGAATGTACTTTGGATACTTCGGCGTTATAAAGAAAATATATTTTTCCAGAAGCATATCTTTAGAACTATTGAAAGAGCCTTATATTTAGATTTACAGATTTTTCTCTGTGTTTCTTCTGGGTCATATTTGGTAATACTTCGGATTACTGGTCAATTCACTTTTCTCTTTACACAGTTTATTTATTACCTACGTATGTGTATAGATCTACCGCTTTAAAAATATAAAATAACATTATTAGAACGAACCCTGTTGACATACTGACAAATGCAGCTAAATGAACACACAAGCTGGGCTACCCAGATGAAAATATAACTAAAGAAAACTTGTTGTAAGCTAATAATAACTAACTGAAAATCAGAAAAAGAGCAGCTTTCTTTTGTATTTAATTTTTTTCCGCATCATGTGGTTAAATAAGGCTTTTATTCTTCTTTGATGCAGAACCCTTTACAGGTTCATTGTGTAGTTTATTCCTAAGGAAGATATGTCCTGCCCAATTTATCAATAAAACAAAACAACAGATTAGCCTTGTGCTACACAGGTTATACCAATTGGCCCAAATTCACAAAGGAGGTTTAAATTTAACCCATGGTTTAAACCTTCATTTACATAACCCATGGTTTAAAAATAAGTGCAAAATAAGCGTACCTTGCCTTGCGCCCGTCTAATATTGGACCTCTGGACTGTGTTGCGCTTATTTTGTGCTCATTTTAAACCATGGGTTATGTAAATGAAGGTTTAAACCATGGGTTAAATTTAAACCTCCTTTGTGAATTCGGGCCACTAAGTCTACTTCTAGTACTTCTACTACTACTACTACTACTACTAAAATTCAATTCTTCAGACTTCAACTATGACAGCTGATCAAGAACATGGAAACACAGAAGAGGTCAACAATTTTGTTTAAAGCAATCAGACAAAACAATTTTAATTTAATATTTAATTTAACTTTCATTTAATTTCAATTTTTTAATTTGTAGTACCTGAATGTACAATCTATTACATGTAAGCTATATAGGAATTACCTATCATTGTTGTTTGTCATTAATTATTTTCATGTATCAGGCATAAATGTTCATTTCTGTTCCGCCCTACATGTATCTCTATTTCCTTCTTTTCTAAGCGCATAAGGACTTTCTTTGTGTTAGTGATATGCGCTATACAAGTAACGTTCATTATTATTATTATTATTAATTTTACCTCCTCAATAGTATTTGCATCAGGTAGTCCATGTTCCCCTATCAACCTCTTGAGGGCGTTTGGACTGAGACCGGGCGGGGTCTGGTAGGTGGGCTGCTGAGAGGCGGAGCTAGGTCGGGTTGTACTAGAGCTGGCTGTACCAGTCTGACCCCCAGCTGGTGCTGTGTTGGGTCTCTCTTCACTGATAGGGTGACAGAGTACAAAGATGATATCAATCATAACACATTAACACAGAGCTGCCAACCTCCAGAACAGAAAATCAGTAATCACAAGGCTCAAAATCAGTAATTTTGGGTATAAATCAGTAATTTCCTATGCAGCGCTATGAATCTAAAAAAAACGGCACACCAACACCATGATAATGATTATCTGAAATTTTGGGTGATTTTACTCACACAAAGTTGTTAAATATTGATTTTCAGGTCATCATGTAAAATGGCTTCTTTTAAGAGAATACTTGATACTTTTCTGTCTTTCTCAGCGAGTGTCGGATGGCGGTCATACTTCACAGCACTCGCTACGATAAATCATATTTTCAAACAAAATTTGAGACAACATTCCGTAACGGTCGTTAATTTCCCTACCAATTATGGGAAATCCGTACTAGTTGGCAGCTCTGTTAACAGGTCAGGGATTTAATGTATTTGCATCATTATTTTTTATAGTAGTGGTGGTTATTTTATCCGACTGCTAAGAAAGCATAAATGCTTGTTAGTAAGCAACCAGAGGACTGACGGCTTTAGGTCCTCTTCGAGAGACTTGGTAATGAGAATTAATGCCTTACCAAAGGGCACTATAGCGCATCCTCTTGGTTTCGAACCCGGGTACATGTAGCTGTAGTCTATGCAGTATCTAGTGCTCAAGGCATTCAAGGGAATTCTTCTAACCAAGTATTCATGAGCTACACCTGGTTCGGGTGTTGGGGGGGGGGGGAGCTGGGGGGAGCAACAGTTGATATATACCCCTTACTCAAAGAGCCCACATTATACTTCAAGCTAGAATCTTTAACACAGGTCTCCCATCTTTAGAACCCTTTTTCAATTGAGTCTGTAATAAAATTGTTAAGGTCCTTGTGCAATAGACATGTCAATATCAAGCCCTGTATTGTAACAATCAACGTTGTGTATGAACTTAGACAAGTTAATCTACATACAGTTGTCTCCATTACATGAGGGATATTTTGCTGACGGCAAAAAACTAATATCAATTTACATCATATTTGTAATGTGTAAAAATAACTTGTCACCTGAAAGTGTAGGGTAAGAGGAGATAGTGCATGAGTAAAGTAGTGAGAAGATGAATGGTTTCCACTTTCTCACCCAGACCTTTTGTGGACGTTATGTTTATTACATCATCATAAATCAGCATGATTATGTAATATCACTATCATCATCATCATTTATATTATTACTACTACCAAAAGGATAACAATTCTCACCTGAAGGTGTAGGGTAAGAGGAGATAGTCCATTAGGAAAGTGGTGAGAAGGTGAATGGTTTCTACTTTCTCACTCAGACCAAAGATAGCTCTCCTCTTGGTATGGTCGTCTGGAAGCTTGAGATGAGGCAGGGTAGGTACTAACATCTGAAGTATACTGAAGGGGAAAAGACAGAGAGATATTTAAAGGATATGTTGATATATAGTTTCAAGAGATAGGACATAAATCATGCAATGCCACAATGTTCACACACATTGAACCTTCTATAAAGAACTGCTAAAGCAAAATAAAATGACATCTATGCAAGTGCATATCAGTGTTTGTAGTGTTCAGTTCCCCCGCCCCCCACCCACTTTTATATACATACATGTAAAATTATTTTTATATTTACTGATGCAGTTTACCCTGAGGCTGTGAAGGAAGCAATATGAAAGGACAAAATAATATTTCTTAGCACTAAAATTTGCTCAATAAAAATATGGAATAACAAAACCATCAATATCTTTTTTTTAAGTGAAAAGCCTTCAGTAAAAGATTTGATTATCATGTGACAACAGTGGAAAATTGTTTTTACATACTACTATACAATGATGTTAAAAAAAAATCAGGTAGAGAACAGAACACAGTAAGCCATAATGAAATAAAATTTCTATTTACATATTGTTGTTTGATTATTTTTTGCAATATCTAGTCTTTCCTTAAAAATACTTAAAGGGAAATTTAAAGTTAAATCAAGTATACACATTTTTTCGAGGATCTTGCTAGGGAGGCACATGTACTGTAGCATGACATACCTATCTTGCTGTAGAGGGGGTTTCCCTTCTAAACACTTGATGAGTGAGTGAGCCAGCTCAGCCTGCTTATCGATCTCAAGCCTCGGGAAACCCATTTTCAGGTACAAGATCGTGAAATTCTGCCGACAGGAAAAAAGATTAAAACTCAAAAGTTATCGATTGGAAACCAAATTTGTTACGGACAGAAGGACGGACTGCAGCGTTACTGTATCCCCTCCGACTTTGTCAGGAGGGGATAAAAATGAAACTATATTTACAATGGATTTAAAGTCCAGGAAAGCCCATTTTCAGGTACAAGATGGTGAAATTCTGAAGGACTAGAAAAAGGGAGAGCATGTCATTCAAGTTTTTTGGCAAGGCATTAATCTATTTCTACCACTCCTTAACCATGAGAGAAATGGGGACCTGGTAGGATGACCAAAGCCTTTGGGATAGAAATTGACATATGCCCTTACGGTGACCATATGGTAGGGATACTCCCCAGGGAATGGAGACGGTACACATTGTGCATAAACGAATCTGGTGACGGGGGGTAATAATATATGTAAAGTGCTTAGAGATGATATTTCACTGTATAAATCCAGATTATTATTATTCATCAAGTATTGGGTTAACAACGAGTTGTAAACCTAGGAAAGTTCATTTTCAGGTACATGATATTTTAATTCTGACAGACATTAATAACTAAAGATCTCACACCATTGAAAGTTCATTGTCATGGATATGATTCTTATGAACAGATGGGAGAAACAAAGTGTCACTTAAAAAGTACCACTAGATGTAGCTCAGTAGTTTTGGTACTTGGATATTACACATGTTACAATACATATCAAGACTTAGTCCACCATAACTGATAGTGGGCAACACTTTGACAATGTATGCATCACGGAAATGACCAAAATATTTTTGATGGTGATAGTCTCCATTGGTAGCTACATGATCTCAGTAGCTACATGTATAAAGAGTTTAAGACAGTTGTAAAAGTAGCATAAATGTCTACTAATAATGCTTCCAAGTTCCATGCATCCAGTAGGCTGCGATCAAATCTCAAAATCATTTCAATACTTACGGTGACAAACGTAATACTAGATGGGTCCTGGTATTGTAACAGTAAAGATTCCACAGGGATTTGAACCTGGGGTCTACTCTTCAGCCGTTTATTGACATGAACCAGCAGTTCCAGGACCTAAATCAAAACAGGAGAAAAAGCAGAAAACCAACAAAAAGAACAATAAAAGCTTGCTCGTTTAACACACAACAAAAATAACCACATATTTTAGTAGTAGCAAAATGTTTCAAGCAGGCAGCAAAGTAGCTTTGGGAAGCTCTAAAAAAGCTTTTAAAAAAATTCTAAAAAGTTTACTTCTAGAATTTTTCTTCTTCTAATAACGGTTCTTTAAAAAAAATCCTCATGTACAAGGAAGTTACAACTACCAACTAGTTCCAAAACAGTATTTGAACCTCCAAACAGTGCTGGCAAATCAAAATTGTCGTCCCCAAAATGGGGACTTTTGAACTATGGGAGGGATGCACAGGAGTCTAAATTTAATCATTCGATGGACGCCTACCCCAAATAGCTAAATCTCTAATACACAAAAGATTATTGTTAATTGATTAGATGGTCTTTTGTATCAAAGATAAATTCAAGCTCTTTTGGCCAACTTTGCTTTGATTTATCTGTGGAGTCCAAGTTGGCCCAAGAGCCAAGTTATCCCAGATGCAATAGTTTTTTGCTATTACCTTCTTCCTGACTCCTTCTTGACTACTGGAGAGCTTAAGAAGCACAGGGGGAGGAAACGGCAGACAACATTCTCAAGCTGGTCATCGCTCTCAGCTGAACCAATCCGCAGGAATACTCTGTCGAGTAATTCTGAAAAGTAGTAAAGGAAGAAATGATTTTTGCAATTACAATCATTTAGAGAACATGAAGGGCACATCCTGGATGCTGTGAGTTTTCTAAACTGTCATTTTATTCCTGGTAAGTTGCTGATGCAAAAGTGTACTGCAATTAATTTTATTTCCCCCATATGGTCACCAATTTTGGAGATCTTCTTTGTTGGTGGCTAAGCTTATCCAATTTGGGTGTTTGATGGGGGGCAAAGCATGTGAACAGGGCATATCTCCTATTTTGGATATCATCTATAATTTTGGAGAATTTTGTCAAGATTTTTGGTAGCCTACATGTATTTGGGAGACAGTCTCCCATTTGGGAAACCAATTTCCTTTATCTACATTTGCTGCTAAGGTATTACCTCAGCTCAAAATAAAAATATGATGAACAGATTCATCATGCCCATTTTGACCATCAACTTTAAAACTTCACCTTCTACTTTTGTTACGATCCACAAACGGAACCAATGCCATTGGGCTTCTGACCTCAAAGAGACAAAAAATTGCTTTGTTGCTGAAGTTGTTTCTTTTGTGAGCTAAGTCTCCTATGGATGGGAGATGGTATCTCAAATGGGAGTCTCCCAAACATGATATGCACCTCTGCTGAACAGTAGGTGCGCTGGTCCGAGAATAAGGATCGTCCACATAAACGAGGATATCTTTGTAAAAGCGAAAAAATTGCGTCCTAAAAAAACAATCAACTCATAAACCTGGTTGACGGTATGAACTGGGGGTATTTTATTAGGTGAAATTCGTTTTTTTTCATTTTAATTGCAAGCGTGCGGATCAGTAACCCTACATCCGCAGAGCGCCAAAGATAAAAAGACGGACTATCCTTATTTTTGAGGGACGTGATTTGTCCTCGTTTACGAAGATATTCTCGTTTACGCGGACGATCTTTATATATTTTCAGACCAGCCCCCCTACTGCTGAATATGACTTGATTCTTACATTTTTCAAATCAGACTGTTATTTTGAATGTTTTTGATTTTGCCTTTTTCAGCTGCCTTGATTTTTGTTTTCATTTTTGTCCATCTCAATCTCAAAATCAGTCATCAACATGATCAAACTCAAAGATAAAGTCAGATGTTTCCTCCTATTTTTCACATCAATAATTCAACTTTTTAATTAATTTCCTCTTCTTGATGACGGCCACAGGCTTCCTTGTCCATAAGACTTTCAATCATTTGACCTCATGATCATGATGACGATACAGAGCACAATGAATAGTCAATGGTTACATATCTTTCCACCCATTTCGTAATTCGTTACACAATGCAAAGGCATGATAAACACAGCGACTGTCAACAATGTGCCGTGCACCGTGAATCAGCTCATTTCACCGCACGATCACGACAGGGCCAGGGCCCTCCCTCAATGCATACGACACCCATTCATTTCGGTTTGTCGCAAACGCGAATTCTCACCGACTCACTCATCTCATTATTTTCTCCAAACCCCCAAATCTAATAATCGGTTTAGATGGAGTGATACATCGTTATCGAAATTAATCTCCGCTGTCCTATCTAATTGTATTATAGCATATAGGAATTATACATTTATTGATATTTTATTGTCGATTAACTTACCCAGTTCGTCTTGCGCAGCCATCATTATACACAAACGTGATTTGCGTTGAGGCGAGAGAAACTAGTAGACAAGAAATACTAACGTCGTGCTCGAGCATTAATCGCATAGCCGTTCTAAAAACTTCATATTTATGCACTGATTTTAATGTCTAACAATACTGTTTTGTCTTGATATTGGAAATAAAAGATTTTTTATATTTTTTAAAACCCTATATTGAGTTAATAATAATTATTATATTATGAATTGATAATATCAAAAAGATAAAAATAGTCATTATATGATTTCTAAGCGTTAATCTAGTAATTTGTCAAATTGGTAAGGGGATGTTTTCAGCAACGTATTTAGTAAGTTTCTAATTATGAAATGTCAATGAAATGAGAAATCAGTGGTTTATATTTTCCATTGGAGGGTGTTTCTTCTTTTAAAACCGGAAATCGAATATAAAAAATCCTTAGGGACTTGATATGTACCTTGAAATTGAGAAAATATTCATTTGAGGCATGACATTGTCTTTAATGGGTTCTGAGAACTGCTGGTACAGAGACTACTTACAAAATATCGTCTGCTACCTTTTTCACTTGGAGTACTTGGTAAAATATACGGGAAAAGGGTCTGTAGAATATGTCGAATATTGTGAAGAAAATTTCATCAAAGTGGCAGAGTTATCGGTACAGGTTTGTGCCTTGGGTTGCACTGAATCTAAGAGAGAGGTATGTGTACAGATTATTTCTCATTTAGAAACGCATAGTGTGAAAACATATTTGTACAGAAATGTGAGTAAAGTCCCGTATATAGAGATCTGTGCGATGTTTGTATGAACAAAGATTAGTTTTTTCCCATTTTTTTTCTTCAAGTCAAGTAAAGTCAGCAAATGAAAAATTGAAGGGAAAAATAAGTGCAAATACATATTATAATGATAATTGGTGGATAGAGGTCTATGTATAAATAATGTACCTTATAAGAGTTGAACATGTAATTATGATTTTCAACAAGAATCACTCAATGCGCTTGTATTTTTGTTATGATGGAAACAACTGCATGAAGATCTAAGTCATAAGTGTAAGATCTCAAGTCTTTGGGTCTCAGAGAGAGTAAGGTAGGTGAGAGAGTGAGATAAAGAGAGAGAGATTGTGTGCGTGTGTTAGCCGGAGAAGGAGAGAGAAGGGGGCTTTTTGTACCTTGTGCTTGTCAAGTGCGAAGTGTGCAAGTAATAAGGCTCTAGGCCTAGTCTTGATCTATAAGAATTTTATGTGGAGCTAAAAACAGTCTGAAGCTCAACAGAGCTTAATGTGTTGCACCTTCTGCTTGAAAAGTTCCGAAGAGGTGCAATTGACGAGAGCAGATTGTAAGGAGTTCCGTGCAGTCGGATAGTGTCTGGGTAGAACTTGGTTTGGAACCTAAAAGATTGTCCTTAAAATTAAGCCTTAATAATTGTATTTATTCTGTGTTTTTAATGATCTTTGAAGCAGCCTTGAATTGCATGAGATCTTTACCATAAATGGGTTTCATTTGCTGTGAAGATCAGTTACTGATCATCATACCTTCTCGATCTTCAGTATTTAAGTTATCCCTACCATTGCATCTTTTAATTTCCTTGTAGATAATCTTTCTTGATCTCCTTTCCAGGACAGTGCGATCAGTTGACGATGCAAGCCAAGACAGGATCATTGAAGACCATCTGGTGGAGGAAACCTACAGGAAATTATTCTCTGCTTTGGATGACAACCTCCCCAATCAAGAGGGAAGAGGCAACAAAATGCATGAATTAGAGACAGAGAGCAATAGACTGGAAAGGTCAAAGGTCAGCGTAGTAGGCAGAAGATCAGATCTCCAAGATGAAAATGGGAGCATTAGATGCTATCACCATGATGACACTGCGACTTCTGAATCCCATGATAAACAAAGTTCAGCTGTGAGGTCACTCTTTCAAAACATCTTTAAGCTGTTCTGTGAGGAGAAAAGAACATCAAGATTGACTTGTAGAGAAAGTGGAGAACTTTGCAATCTTAATGACTACCTGGACAAGCATCAACAACACTTAGCAAAAAGACTGTTACAATATTGGAACATTGGCACAAATGAACTGTTTGAAGCTGCCTATATGGAAGGAGATTGCAGAGAAATTTCGGCAATGAATGCATTATTACTGAGAAATCAGGTGGATGGAAGTGCACGGACAAGCAACAGCATAGTGAATGACGGTTGTGGCCACCAGCACTACTGTCATTCTGCTCCACCTTCCTCATTTTCTCCTCATCTTCCTCCTCCTTCTCCTCCTCACCATCATCATCATCATCATCATCATCATCATCATCATCATCATTCTTTATGCCACCATAGTTATCAGAGCACCAAGAAGTTACTGAAACAGAAAACTAACGCACAATCTGCTCAACTCAGCCATCAACTAAGTATAAGTACCAATTTTGAACAGAACAAGGAAAACACATTGGACGGACAAATGAGTGAAGATTTAGACCCTGGGGCAACCATAATGCACCAGACTCTTGGATATGCCATTGGGCGTCGCCCAAGCCGGATCGAGGGTGGTGGAGACGGTGTCTTCGTCAAGAAAGGAGTGGTTCCAAAAGGAGTGGTTGTAGCAATGTACCCAGGTGATTGTTCCTTTCAAAATGAAAATTGTTTGAACTTAATTATTTCACACATTGCGCCTTAACTCATTTATTAACCACATTGTGTGATTTGCCCTGTTTACACGTCAATTAACAGCAAGTGATCATCATTTATATGAAATATGGTTCTTGGGAACATTGCACAAAATGACTCTCATGGTACTTAGATACTAGGCTTCCTATTAAGCAACCTCAAAGGTTATACAAAAATAAAAAATACTTGAGGGGATGATATTGATAGAACCACTTCCATTTATAATCTATATACATATGCCTACCCGTAACATTTATCCAATTAAAGATATACTCTTTCTATATACCGGTTTCATTTTAATTGTGGAATAATACAATCCAATTTTCTAGAGGTAGAAATGTATCTCTGTGACATCTCAGTTTTTGAATTAAAGATCTGTGTCAGTGACTTCTTTAGTTTAAAGTGATGACCACTGAATATCCATTATGTCATTTGCATACTGCTTTCCATGATACTTTCCAGGTACCGTCTACTACCCAGGTGAGCCCATTCTCCTTCAGTCCATCGCCAATCCTTTCATCTTCCGTTGCCTTGATGGTATACACATTGATGGCAATGACAAGAGACTGTCCAAGATGATCTACAGGTGCGTATGGTTAACCTAGTATATCGCCTGGTAAATCCATGTTTGATGATTTTGAACAGTCGGAGACAATACATTTAATCATACACACTCCCAACGATTAGATACTGAAAAAGTCCCCCCCCCCCCCCCCCCCTTAAAAAAAAAAAAAAAAATTCACAGAGACAAGTACCACTCGCCAACAATACCCCAGGCCTTCTCCTTTTGATAACTACTTTATATATTGCCTCATGCATATACATGCAAATACATATGTTTAAAAAAATTTTTTAAGATGTTTCTCATCTTGGTGAAGAGGTGTGAGGGGGGGGGGGGAATCACAGGTTGGTGTCTTGGCCTTTTTTGTACACATACCGGTAGGTTTTCATTAAGGCTGCGACGGGTAGTCGAATGCTCGAGTACTCGCACGGTTGACAACTACTCGGGTATGATTTCTCGTACCTGAATATTCGGCAGCAAAAAAAAAACTGTCCGACGCTTACCCGTGCCAGGGAGAGCGGCGGCTGCTGGCATGGTACTGTCAGTAAAAATGTTTCCCAACTCAAGCACTGTCAAACTCACCACTCAGAAACTGGGACAAAATGTCCGGATTTCTGTTTGGACTCGGAGGACAATGGATTATTCTGCCATCTTTGGTTTTTAAAACAGCATTATTTACTGTTATTATTATTATTAAATTGGCGCCTTCAACTGCAACTCGAAGTAAAATTGCATGCGTTTTTGGCTGGGATAGTGCACTAGTGGTATGGTGGTGGCAAAAAAAGAAAAAAATTATAAAAAAACATGGCGTCCGAATATTTGAGTATTCGTTTGTAAGCCTGGGAGTGTACTCGGGTACCTCATTACAATGTTGTGCACAGCCTTAGTTTTCATGTAGCTCAGTGAAACAAAATACTATTGAAATTAAATAACTAACAATGATTTTAAAACTACGCTTATGCACCTTTACACTTCCAGAACTTATTAGCATGTCTGAGAACTATGAGAGACTATGCTAATACATGTGCATATGTACACACATGATTATTCTTCCTAAACAAACTAACAAACTAAACTTCAAATAAAATTCTATTCCCAGATCATGTGCTCGGAGAGACAGACTTGGGCCGTACATGTTTAGTGACCTTTCATGGCTGACCTCTTGCCCTTTGAACCCAATGGCTGTGGGGCAATATGTCAACAATCAACACAAAGGTATGTCTATATAGCTCTTGATCCATTTCACCAATTTGGTATTACTGTGTGTGTAATTTGATGGTAAAAACACGCTCTTTTTTCTTCCAGTTGTTAAAGTTAAAGACCAGTTCTGGTCATGTGATTGCATTGTGAAAGAAACGTGGAATAGATCAGAAAGGGTTGATCATCTAGCATATAAGTATTGGTGTGTACTGCAAGGTTCTGGAATCATCAAAATGATAAGAAATTTGGCCCAGTCTGGGTAAAGTTACAAGCACTGTACACAGAAAGATGTATATGGGGCTACGCGACACGTGCGCGATATCTATCGGGTCCACATAGATATAATAATTTACCAAATATATCAATTAGTAGGTGGTTTCCCGGCAAATTTGTATCATCACGTATTAGTCAAAACATATTCTTTCACATGATTGGTAATAAGAGCTTCCATTTCATTTTTTTGAGAGGGGGGCATTTCCAAAACTGGTCTTTACCTTTAAAAGTTAATATGCAAGATGTTTGAAGTATAACAGCCAGTATTCCTCCCTGCACCAATGCCCCCACCTCCAATGAGAATCAGTACCCCTGATATAATAGTCATGATTGTTAAAAAAGTGAGTGGTACAGTTATATATTCTAGCATAAGACTGAAGAGTATTATCACTTTTGTTTTAGTATAGTCTACTCTTTATATAGCTTGAAATTATTTTAAATACCATTATTCTTACTGGTATGTTTGGATCTTTATGCAATGATTGTCTATTATTTCAAATGCTGAGTATAAGAATAAAATATGAATGATGACTCTTTGTACACATTTAATTTGCTCATATAATTATGTTTTTAGGAGCTCCTGCAAATGTGTGCTACCAAGAGTTTGATGTGCCTTTGGATTTTCCAATAAAACTGAGGAAATATATCCCCAATGCTTTCTTCGGTACCCTTCCAGATGTAGGCAATGCTGGCAGGTCTGTATGCAAATGTTTTATGATCTTTTGAACCCGTCATCTAATTTTTTCTTTCAATACCTCTGTTTACATCTGGTTCTTAAGTCTCCCCTTGCATACAATAGGGAGTACATTATATTATCAGTACAGCTTTCAGTTTGTATGGAGCCTCTAATGGACAAATACAATTGCACAAGAAGAAAAAGAAGGTAAAAATGGAAGTGTCCTCTTAGCATTTGTTCGTCTACCAGGGGGAGATCCACGATTCTGGAAGGGGGAGGGGGAGGGGGAGGGGGGAGGGGGAGGGGGGAGGGGGAGGGGGGAGGGGGTGGATGACAGATGCCTTTGGGTCTAATATTTTCAAGGTGGTTTGGCAAATAAACACAATTTCTGTGGGCCATATTTTTCATTTGTGTACCCAAGGGTGCTCCCCCTAATTGCCAATCTGTCTAAAAAAAATATAAAATACGGTACATGTATTAGCATAGAACCACTTCCTCCTCATTACAAAAAAAAAAGATAAAAAACAAGTAGTAATTTTACATGGCAATGTGAAAAATCTAGAGAAAGTTTTGTTAACTCCTCCTGTTTTGTTTTGTCTTTATCATGACAGGAACATGCGAACTGTTGCCCTGGTGTCCGTAAGGGAGATTCAATGTGGAGAGGAGTTACTTTCTTCCTACTTTACACTCATCTATTAGACAAAAATTGAGTAATAACACTCTGCAGACAATTTGATCCAACAAATACCAGTATACCAGATTAACGTTGTGTCGGCTCAGTCAGTAGAGCGTCCGCCTCACAACCGGGAGGTCCTGGGTTCGAACCCCGGTCGCGTCATACCAAAAGACGTTAAAAGACGGGAGTTGCTGCTACCTTGTTTGGCGTTCAACAATAAGGGATAGAGCAACGTCGATCTGGCGCTGCTCAGTGGCTGCAGGGCTCACGATCATTTGGGCAAAAAGAGTTTCCATTTTCGGTTTAACTTAATAAAATTTGGAGTAGACTTTAAAAGATTATTATTATTATTATTATTATTATTATCATGTGTTTGAACATCCCAGAAGCACTACTTTATGAATTGAGAAACATACAATATTTCAATATATATATATATATATATATATATATAAAATATTACAAAAGAAAAGAACAACTTTATACATTTGCAATGTTATTTATTGTCATATGACCAGTATACATACATGTACATACAAAATGTTCACAAAATATTAGTTCTGAAAAAATAATGCATTCTATAATAGATAGAGGTGCATAAATCCATTTTAGCCCCTCCTCTTCAAACAAAGCATTTAGTTCAGTATAATTTGAAAGGAAAACATTTTCCTTGGTTCTTGATGTTTCAAAGTAGCGGGATATGATATTAATCCATGAATTCCAGCAGTAGTGGATGATGCATCATCGTCACTATAAGGAATTTTAGATGTCATACTAATTATGAGTGCACTACAGTAAGTTACATTTTAAAGACACAAAAACTCCTAAATTTTAGACTGGCCATGCTTGTGTATGACTTGTGTATACATGTACATGTATATTTAAACCTGCTTTAGTGACCACCTGTCGACAAAGACCACATTTTTTGTTTCCCTTGAAAATTGTTTTTCATTGAAACATGTACTATAGGCACCTGTCTACAAAGACCACCTGCCTATAAAGACCACTTTTCTTGTCTCCCTTGGGTGGTCTGTATAGACAGGTTTCACTGTAGTTACATGGGTAAATTAGCCATTTGGTGCCCTGCCATTACCGTATGTCATCTCTTCTGATTACATTTCATCTCCTTTCCATCATCCATGTTGGGTTTTATTTCACTTGTCCAGAATCAATCCATTGACTTATTTCCAGGGCCTCTTTCACAAAACTTGACATCAGTGACAAATGACAGTTTTTGTTATAAGCTAGTGAAATCCTTGCTTCTGATTGGTCATCAGCAAAATTGTCGTTGAAAAAAGGCTTTGTGAAACAGGTCCCAGGTGTCTCAAACCTTTGAGTTCTATTATTCACTTGGTCTAATTCACACCATTTGGTCTAATGGACAGGGCTGGAAAACTGTAAAAAGATGAACTGATTAGCAGGCTAACTCACAGGGCATTGGATAAAAGGGCAATCAACCATTACATTTTTATATGGGTATGACAGTTATTTGAAGTGCTATCATTTAAAAACCTGTTATAACCTTTTGACCAAAAGTGCATAACAATGTATTCCAAGGCACCATCGTGCCTATTCAAATGATAATTTTGGAACATTGTTATGAATTCTGAACTCGTTATGAACCCAATACAGTTCATCTATTTATTGTATTGTGTATACATGTATTGAAATAATCTCAAATACACTTATTAAATAAGTGCCAGCGAAGAAAATGTGTATTACGGTTGAACAGGGTACCTATTTATCATGTAATTATTCTCCTTTCCTGTTTAGATTGTCATCATACAAAGTAAAGTTCAATTTGTATTAAAGTTACATAAACTGAAACAGACAGATTCTTTGCTTTCATTGTTTCCATACTAGTACAGGGACACAGTGGCATACGCACAATTTTTTTCGAAGGGGGGTTTTAAAACTTGAAAATCGTGCCGAAAATTTCGCAACAAGGACAATTTTTTTTTTTTTGGTCCAAAATTTTTGCAACGACTCAGCCAACCGCTGAATAAACAGGGGGGTCCAGGAAATTTGGCTAACCAATTTGGTCGACTGATATTTATTTCAGTTGGGGGGGGGGGGGGGGGGGGAGGTCACTTTTTTGGGTCACCCTTTAGCCTTTTTTTTTTTTATTAAAAAAAAATGGGGAGGGGGGTTTCCTCCAAAACACATAGCAAAAAATTGAGGGGGGGGGGTTGACCCCCAACCCCCCCCCCCCCTGCATACGCGCCTACAGGGACATACCATGTGACCGTACGATCTCCAGAAAGAAGGTACAGTCAAACCTGTCTATAGGGACCGCCCAAGGGAAACACAAGAAGTGGTCTTTGTAGATGGGTGGTCACTAAAGCAGGTCTGACTGTATTGCCTGAGTCAGTACACTTGCTGGGAGAATTTACTTGTTTCTCAAAACCGTCATAAAGTCACTCATGCTTGGTATTGGCACCATGGCTGTTAGGCACAAAACTTGAGTAGAATATTACATCAGATTTGATGTTCATGGCAAACCGGTTCAAAATAGCACATGTAAATCGGCATTCAAACATGACCCATTTTTATAGGATTTATTGATAACTCATATCTTCTAAACTGCAGGGTGGTCAAATAATAGGCAGAAGGGTCCAGAATAAAAATTGGGAGGGGGGGGGGGGGTTCTCCTTGCACTGTACCCTCATTGATGCTGTACCAGTCCCGAAGTACTCTGTACTATTTTTGAAGTACTTGGTACTACAGTGTTAAAGCAGCCTGCACTACTTTTACTTGTAGCTACTTTACGCCCTCTATACAGCCAACAAAGCGGTACCTGTTGATCCCCCATGGTCCCCTATTTCTTATGTTAATTGAGAGCTGATTTGATGAGATAACCACCTGCCAGTGACCACACAGGGGGGGGGGGGGTCTAATCCCTCCTGGCCAAACTAGTGCAGACAGGATTTAAAGCTGGGCTTGTGCACCTTCACAGAAGCTGCGATACTTCTGAACACCAAGTCCCACTGTCTCCAGTCAACAGCTGATGCATGAACCCATTAACTACTGGGTTCTCTTGACTCCATATGCTTAACATGCAGAAACAGCCCTCATCCTGTAAGTAATGGGTTAACATCAGTAACAATGATTGCTTCTTTAAGCTGGACTTGTGCACCTTCACAGGAGCTGCCATACTTAAAAACACCAAGTCCAACTGTCCTCCGATCAATGTCCATCGACACACCACACTAGAACTGTTCACTATTTGGAATGTTCTCTAATAAACCAGTAGATCTTTTTCTCCTTTTTCCTCTTCTCCGGCGCGAGCTTGTCCAAGATCTCAGCCAGCTTGGTCTCAATCTGTTCCTTAGGAAGTCCAGTCCTCTTAGGATTGAGCTTGACCAGTAGGTCTTTGGTGGTCATGGGTCTCCTCATGAGGTATCGCTTCACCTCCTCCTCGGTCAAGGGGACATGACTGGACATGGATATAAACAGAGCAGAGGCCAAAAAGTTTAAAAGGACAGTTTAACATTTTCCCCCATGTGAAAAAACGGATGCAAAATTTGTTTTCCTTCTTTATTCATAGATGCCAGACAGAATTTATGAAAAATCATCTCCAATGAGCTATTTTGTACCCTTGAAATGCCTGAAAGATGATATGAAAACACTTGTCAGGGCCTAAATTCAGGCTTTTGCCTGCAAACTAGCACCCCTGTTTATCAAAGGTTTCATCAAAATATTAAGCAAATAACTACTGTTGGTGTAGGCGATGGGACAAACTATCGCTTCCGAGGCGATCTGGATGTAGCTATCTTTCCGAAGCGAAGCTGAGGAAAGATAGCGTATAAATTCAGATTGCCGAGGAAGTGATAGTTTGCGATCGCCTGAAACCAAAAGGTGATTATTTGCTTTATATTCCACATCAGAAACATTTCATTTCTTCCGTCATTTTAGAGCAACAAGTCATCAATTAACAGCTAGCAAACGGTGTACGATATGTACAGTGCATGCAGTATGGTGGTGTGACCATATTATAGTTCGCGAGTGACCAAAGTTAGCGTACTAACACTAAAAGCGCTTAAAGAGGAGAGCAATACACAGCGTATACAATTAAAGTGCGCTGCCCTGTGTAGATAGGACTTCTATCTTCAGTGAAAGTGCGTTGCCCTGTGTAGATAGTACTACTATCTACACAGTGTAACAAACTTTTTGCTTCTCCCATTAATGATGGGCGAACTATCTTTCATCACGTGATTTACTTTTGACCAATCGTAGAGCAAGATTCTTAGTATGTGGAATATAAACACATATAAAGAGCCTTCAAAAACTTTGATAATACTTTTATTTACAACTGAATAATGATTAAGACCTTGCATCCCATGAGAATTTTAAATATTGAGTTTTCATACTTGTGTACTCTGAAACCCTGCACTTTTTTCAAATTAATACATCCCGGACAGTTTCATAAAAACATATTACAAGTTATCACAATATTTTCAGAGGAATTTAGAACAGCAATTTGATGATGAGAGAATGCATAAAGGAGACGGAATTCGTATCACAATAATCAAGAGATTCCAAGGCGAACAAGGAAGGGTAAGGTGAGAAAAAAAAGAAAGAAAGAATCCAAATGAGTGCATTATCCTTGTGTAAACTGTTATTAAAGTGACTCTGTAACATTGCCTCAAAATCCTGGATTTAGCTTATGCTGCAATCATAATTATAAACCTTTAGGTCAGTCAGGAATCCCATGACTTTTACAAGCCGATCACCTATATGATTATCAAGATATTTATGATTGGAAAATCAAAATTTCATTTTTTGTTTTCCTAACGGTTTTCATAACACTACAGTCTTTTGAGGAAAATGAGTATGGTAAAACCGGTCACTCAAAGATTTTTCCTTTCTTGAGGCACTTCATGATCATTTTGAAGCGCATTTTTTTAGGGCTTCAATATTACACCATATCACAGGCAGTGATACGCATAGGGCCATGCATCTCAGATTTAACATTGTTAAACGATGCCTTAAAAGAAAAAGATTTTGGAGTGAGAACTAAAACTTGTGTATTTTGTATAAGGTGTCTTACCCTGATGGTGTCTTGTTTGATGATGATCCAGGGATAGGGCTCTCTGTCCTTGGTCTCTTGGTAACAGGTGAATCGGTGGGGTTTGCCCTCTTCTTGCTCGGCACATCTAGTGATAACAATATCAATGATAATGACAAATTACATTAGTGATAAATGTCAACAATGACATGATACATACATGTTATATGATAATGATGATGAGAATGATGGCGATAGTGACAGTGACGATGAAGATGGTGGTGATGATGATGATGATGATGAAAGTGATGATGATCATGTTTGTAATTAATGGTGATGATGATGGTGATAGTGACGATGATGATGAGAATGATGATGATAGTGGTTATGATGATGATAGTGATGATAATTATGCTGATGGAGATGGTGATGATAATGATGATGATGATGTTTGTATTTAAAGGTGATGATGATGATGGAGATGATGATGATGGTGGTGATGATGGTGATGAGGATGATAATGATAGTGATAATGATGGTAATGATGGTGATGATGATGGTCGATGGCCACGATGATGATGAAAGTGATGATTGTGATGATAAATAATAATCACAAATTTCTAATCGTCTCCTGGTACTCTCAATGTCCTCTTTTCAAATTCATAAAGAATTGAATAATTCTACATACCTTTGTTTTCAAGCTTTGTAGCTGCATCTGATAAGGTAGAGTCTGTAACAGCGATGTTGTCTGGTACGGTGGGAGTCTGTGATCTACTGTGGCTTCCACTTCCAGACTTGGAAGGCGTCTTCTCCTTGGATCTTTGACCATGCTTCTTCTGAACACATTAATAATATTAATAATAATTTATGTATTTATTATCATTTTAAGATTTACTACGAAATAATCAATGATATTAAATAATTTAGCTTCATATTTCGTAAAATGGAATCTGATATTACCTCTATAACCACCATATATACCGTGGCTTATATCTCATTCATTATGTATGTTTATCATAATGTGTATGTTTATCACTGTCCTGTAATATTTCATGTATATATTTGTATTGTAATACTCTGTAACCAGTGGAAACCAAATTTCCTAAAAAGGACAATAAATTATTATACTTACAATGTACTTATTACCAAGTTAAAAATATAAGAAAGAAATAGGGGTCCATTTCATATAACTTTTTATCTATAACAAATGCTAAATTTCTATGACAAATTTGGTCTCAGCCAATCAGATGCCATGATTTCAGTAGCTTATAACAGTAGCTTGTAACTTGTTATTGTTATCAAGTTTTCTCTCAGCCAATCAGATGCCATGATTTCAGTAGCTTATAACAGTAGCTTGTAACTTGTTATTGATATCAAGTTTGCTCTCAGCCAATCAGATGCCATGATTTCAGTAGCTTATAACAGTAGCTTGTAACTTGTTATTGATATCAAGTTTGCTCTCAGCCAATCAGATGCCATGATTTCAGTAGCTTATAACAGTAGCTTGTAACTTGTTATTGATATCAAGTTTGCTCTCAGCCAATCAGATGCCATGATTTCAGTAGCTTATAACAGTAGCTTGTAACTTGTTATTGATATCAAGTTTGCTCTCAGCCAATCAGATGCCACGATTTCAGTAGCTTATAACAGTAGCTTGTAACTTGTTATTGATATCAAGTTTGCTCTCAGCCAATCAGATGCCATGATTTCAGTAGCTTATAACAGTAGCTTGTAACTTGTTATTGATATCAAGTTTGCTCTCAGCCAATCAGATGCCATGATTTCAGTAGCTTATAACAGTAGCTTGTAACTTGTTATTGATATCAAGTTTGCTCTCAGCCAATCAGATGCCTGATTTCAGTAGCTTATAACAGTAGCTTGTAACATGTTATTGATATCAAGTTTTATGAAACAGGGCCCTGATCATTATTGTATACATTCACTATGGTCTAGGTCACTATGATACAAGGGGCACTATAAAGAGGGCATTGGTGTGCATCAGGGATAGGAGAATTTGGTGTGCTCGTCTAACTTGGTGGACGCAATTGGAGAGAACAATTAATATGACAAAATCGGGAGGATGGCGGGAGTATTACTTCCACTCTCCTTATCTTTCTTTCCTTTCCTGTATTTCTTTTTATGTAGTTTTCCCAGGGGGGGGGGGGGGGGGAATAAGACGTTTGCAGACAGTGAAATAAAAAACACAGCCAAACACTACAATGTCTATGATATGCTTCTTGCTAATTTGGAAACCTGCATTTCATACCTTTAGGATTATTTTGTTTGCTAAACAAAATGTACATGTACTGCACTCTCCACATTTATGAGAACATAATAATCTTACAAATTTCATTCAAAATGTGTACAAATGTCCAACTATATTGGAGGTAAAATAGAGTAAAATGCAGAGAATTTTCCTAAAACACTGAATTTCAAGACTCTTTAGCATTAAAGGGATTGGGTATCTTTGTCTTAGATTCATAACAAAATCCTGGATTTAGCTCATGCTGCAATCATAATTATAAACCTTTAGGTCAAACATGAATCCCGTGACTTTTACAAGCCAATCGCCTGTCTCAGTATCAAGATACCTATGATTGGAATTAGAAATTTCAGAATTTGTTTTCCTAACGTTTTATTATAACAATACAGTCTATTGGAAAAAATTAGTATGGTAAAACCGAAGATTTTTTTTTTTAAAGGTACTCCATGATCATTTGAAGCGCATTTTTTTAAGGGCTTCAATATTACACCATTACACAGACACTGATAACAAGTAGGGCCATGCATCTCAGATTTGGCATTGTAAAACGATGCCTTTAATAAAACACATAAAGATGATGTTTACCTGAAGGAGCATAGCAGAGTGAATGTTCTTCTCATCGATATCACTGTCTGATCCTGAGCTTTCTGAACTACTCTCTAAAGCAATAAGAAATATCAACAAGTGACTGAGATGATTAATATCACTGTCTGAACTACTCTCTAAAGCAATAACAAATATCAACAAGTGACTGAGATGATTAATATCACTGTCTGAACTACTCTCTATAGCAATAAGAAATATCAACAAGTGACTGAGATGATTAATATCACTGTCTGAACTACTCTCTAAAGCAATAAGAAATATCAACAAGTGACTGAGATGATTAATATAATCATGAATTTGAATGAAGTACATACAAGACTGTTGGACATCTCATTGTTGAATAGCAATTAGGAAAGGATAATGATGTATCTCAGTATATATTACCAGGAGCCATGCTAGAAAAATGTGTGTTTTTAAGGGGGGTACATTTATTGTCTACATTCATTGCAAAAAACTATTTTTTATTGACGAGGGGCTGGAATGATCACCATGAATATAAATTGACTTGATCTTGCTGAAAAATCGCATGCACTAAACTAACACTGAATGTTCAACATTACAAACAAATGACATGTGCCAAACAATTTTGGTAGAAAATGTATAGTGGCTCAGTAATGAGCATAGAAAGATAAGGAAATCTGGGTAAGTGGGTCCGACATCATGTGCTTAACACAGGTCACTATGTGCAAAAGAGAGTTGTGGTTTTTATCGAAGATGATGCAGCGTACGTTTTTTTGTCCGATTGTTTTTATCCTTACCGGTTCAAACAACCAATCTACTGCAGGAAAAACAATCCAGAATAAATCATTATATAGCAAATTCTCTTCAAAATACGATTCCCATGTCAGAAATCAAGATTAGCTTTAAATATGAAACGATTGAGGAACAGAAAACACATGAAGAACTCACCATCACTTTTCTTCTCCTTGCTTTCTTTGGAGTCTTTTGGTTTGTCCCCTTCTTTACTGGTTTCTTTGTTCTCATCTTTTTTTTCTTCCTCTTCTTCGTCCTCTTCATCTTCTAATTGTTGGAGTTCTTGATCCAAACCCTTGATGTCTGTCTTTGCTAACTCCATCTCATCATCATCACTACAGGAGTTGAAAGGTAATGAAATAAGAATTTGACCACATGTCTTGATGAACAATATCACTTTTGCACATAGGCTTAGTCCAGGAGCTATATCTGGTTCCTGAAGGCAATCTGTTCAGTATTTATAATATCATACAATAGTTGTTTCTCTTTTCTGATTGTTTGTTTGCACATCAGGAGACAACAACCTCCCAGAATATCACCACCGGTCAAGTCTACCCCACCCCCCTCACCTGTAAGCCACCCTCTTAACCCTAATGCATACCTGCCAACATTTGAAAATGAGAATTAAGAATTTTTAGCACGATATGTCTTCGAAAACAGGCGTTCGCACATGCAGCGGCAGTGTAACTGGCAATACGCGGTAAATCTGTGCAAAAAAGCGAATACAAATTCGCTGCTCAATCATGCAGCCTTCAACGCACGCAATACGTGAACTCTCACATCGCGGCATATGATAAAACAAGCTTAATTTGACTTAAGCAACAACAAAAAAAGTTATAAAAAAAATATTTAATTTTTTTTTTTTTTTTTTAATTTAAAAAAAAATTGAAATTTTGAAAATCCAGGATATCCTGCATTTTGGGGTCCTAAAAATCCAGAAAAACAGGATATTCTGGATTATTCGAGAGGGTTGGCAGGTATGCTAATGAGGTCGGGAGGGGGAGGGCCATTTAATGGCCCCACCTCCACAAACATATGAGCTGCGTCTTAACCGCTTGAATTTCCAGATTCATGTTTCATGACTTTCTTCTTTCAAGTCTCCCGCACACTTTGATACCAAATATGAGCAAAATTTGCATATCACATAAGAAATACATTTTTTTTTTTTTTAAACGAGCAAGATATTTAAAAAATATTATTTTCATGTTTTTCATTATACTGTATTCAATATGTGTACCAATCTACAACTTCATATCGCCAACCATAGCCAAGATTTTTTTTGGGGGGGTCAAAATGCCCCCCCCCCCCCTTGTATTAGAAACCCTCAAAATACCCCAGCCTCATTAGGTTTAAAAATACCTAAATTGTTCTCAGACAACAATAGGCCACGTTTGTAATGTAATCACAGTCCTTTAAATTGCATTATTATGTAATCAGAGGGTTGGACAAACAAAGAACTTGTGGTGCATAGTAGCTTACACTCTGTGTGCATACATGTACATCACATGTGTTTGCTTTGTTCGAGGGGGTCTTTGATATTGCGCCCTGTGATTGTAAGTTGTTTGCTTTGGCTACTGGTATTTGATAGAGAGAGAAGAAAAAGGAGGCAGTTTCAAACTTGAATATAAAATATCTTTGAGACTAACGCTGTTAAAAACTACCTTCAAGTATTCATCAAATAAATCTGTTTTGGAATCATTGAAAACTACAGCACCCATCTTTAAAAAAAAAAGATGTCCACAGGGTACTTTAGGTGAGGCTAGCCCACTTTGGTAAATTTGTGTCTGAACAGAAAGTGGGCTACCGGTAAGCTTAGCCAAGGACTATAGGTGAGGCTAAGATCCCCTAATAGCCCCACCTACATGTATAGTCCGGAACTAAGACAAATTTTACCAGTGTAAAAAGCATGTAATTGTCATAAGGCTAGTTGTCCTGGGGGATGTTTCACAAAGATCCTGAGTTGAACTTATCGTAAAGTTGGACTTAAAAATTATGGAAAGCCTTTAGCATCTTGGAAAAAAAATGTGTAAATGTTATTTTAAAGGCATATCAAGTTGATTCAAATCATTCATATTTTCTATTACCAAGGAGATTTCATGTTCTTGATGTGGAATTTATGAAAAGTCTAAAATACTTGAATTTTTGCTTTTAAATATATTTATTTTAAGGATACAAATGGCTCTCCATAATGTTTAAGTCCAACTTAGAGTTAAGTTTGACTTAGGATCTTTGTGAACCCCCCCCCCCTCCCCTTATATTAGATGAAAGATAGATTTTTCTCTGGTTTACACCCACCTGGACTGTTCTGAGATGTAGTCAAACTCCCTGCCGTCGAAGTCTCCTTCATCACTCTCTTCCTCTGCTTCACTATCTGCATCTTTCTTCTTAGGCCTCTTCTTAGCCATCTTCTTCCCCTTGCCTTTGCCTTTCTTCTTAGACTTGGATTTCCCTGTAATGCAATTTTAATTTTTTTTTATCAGACACGCATTAGCATACGATAAAGACCCCCGTCTTACAAAGAGTTGCGATTGATCCAAATCAATCAAAAGTTTGCAGTCTCCCATCTCTTATGTACATACTTGAGATTGATAAGTTGTGATTGATATCAACTCTTTGTAATACGAAGCCCTGCTTTGGAAGTATGATATGTTGAGAGCCTGGACAGATAATCTTAGTTCTGGAAATGACTGAACAAAATAATTTTTATGAATCAAACAAAGTTCAAAACAAGAATTCAAGATAAGAAATAAATGGAAAATAGATGTGTAGTACACTAGTACACATTTGTCTTTCAAATGTCAATTGCAAAGTGGTAAAACTCTACTAATTGAATGTTTTAATGGACTAGCTCCCTCTTATTTAAATGTAGATAAATGCCTTGCCAAAACACATGAGTGCTGTGTTGGGGATCGAACCCATGACCTTTGCATATCAAGTCAAGTGCTAAAACCACTCGACTACGACACCTCTACCTCATTGGGAGGAATACATCCTACCAGGTAACCATGTCCACTGGATTACACTGATTTTATCTCTAGCAGGCATTACCAGTGCACGGTGGACAATACTAATGACTGGTCATTAGTAAAATCATGTTATAAAACAAATAATACACATCATTTTGTTCGGGCATTAGTAAAATTACCCACACTCGGTACCTTCAAAACAGTCCAAACACCCTTGGCTACCGCCTCGGGCGTGTTAGACTGTTCCAAATGTACCTTGTGTGGGTAATTCTTACTAATGCCCTCACTGCTGTGTATTATTTGTATACTAAGTACCTAGGTACCATGAAGAAGATCAGACTTACCCCCTCCATCCTCATCATCACTATCCTCTATCTCCTCCCCTGATGATAAGAAGTAATCATCCTCCGTTATGGTCTGCAAATATGGAGAGCAAATCAGAAATTTTTTAAACAGAATTTTTACAAATGAAATATATCTGCTTGATACAGGGTGATGGTGAGCACTAAAAAAAAAGGGGGGGGGGGGTTTCCTCCTCATCCACCCCCCCCCCCCCCCAAAAAAAAATGACATCTTACAACATTCCCCCTCCCCCTTTTGAGTAAAAAAATTGGGGAAAAATTGGGAAAAATAGGGTTACAATTGGGAAGAACTTGGAAAAGAAAATCGGGGAAAAAATTATTGTTAAAAAAAAAATTGGGTAATTATCAGGCCTGCTGATATGAAACTTTCCCTGCTCATGACGAAAACTCATCGTTTAAAATTGAAACCCCCATTTGACTTTCACTACTCCTAGAGCTAAGCCTAAAGTAAACACTAGCGCTAGACAATGTAATCCCCCTGCAGAGACCTTGGCGAGGTGATAGAGAGAGAGAGAGAGAGAGAAGCATTATAGAGGAAGAGAGGAAGGGAGAAAGAGTGATTGTTGTTATATCGCCAATTCTGGATCATTTTGCTTCGTTTGAACTTTCATTATGGTCTTCATCTAAATTATAAGTGACTTTTGGACATGAAAATATCTTAAAACAAGTAAAATTGGTTCAAACAACCAATCTACTGCAGGAAAAACAATCCAGAATATATCATGGCAATTTCCCCTCAAAATCTGTCAAATTTTTCAAGAGAAATCAAGAGAAACGAAATTGGGGTAGGGATACCCCACCTGATTTACATTGGTTCCTGTGTTATAGTGGTGGGGTATAGTTTTAACGAAAGCTTTTCATAATGCTTTTGTTAGTATATAGATACATATAAATCAAGAAATACTCTTGGAGCAGTATTTTTTCCTCTCTTTTACTTTTTCCATCCCCCTTCCCCTTTTATTCCAACTGATGGAGGAGAAGGGGGCACATTGCCCCAATAGCAATGCCAATGAAAACAATAAAGGCACTTGATGAAGAAGGATCTACTGGTATGATATTTCATACATTTGTGATCATGGGGGTGTTTCTTAAAGATTCTAAAGTCGAACTTAACTCTAAGTTGGACTTAAAGAAAGCCATTTGTAGCCTACTAATGAAATATATTCAAAAGCAAAAATTCAAGTATTTTAGAGTTTTCATAAATTCCACATCAAGAAAATGAAATCTCCTATGATAATAGAAAATATGAATGTTTTCTTTTAATCAACATTTTCAAGTATGCTAACGACTTTCCATATTTGTTAAGTCCAACTTAGAGATAAGTTCAACTGAGGATCTTTGTGAAACACCCGTCTGGTTAATAGAAAAATAATATTTGAAAAATTCAGAAAGAAAATGTAACAATACATCAATTAATCTTACTAGATCTGAGCCTTTTGATTTTGATGTCTTTTCCTCAACATCTTCTTCATCTTGTTTCTTGAGTTTCTTCTGCACCATGACTGAGAAATAATTCATTGTCTTGTCTCTCCTGTCGTCAAACACACAAAGTTATTAAACACATACATAAAAGTACACAAATATATCAGCATCTAATTTATGACAATCATATTTCCCAAGGACTATAAAGACATGGAACAACCTACAACAAGCAACTATCAACCAAACCTCCCCACTTTTATTTAAAATGCAGTTACTAAAGACCTTTTTTCCAAAATGTTATCGTTCCACCCTCCACCACCTCCAGTCAAAACTCTTCTTCGGAGTATTTAGGAGGAAAAGAATCCAAGATCCAAGACAAATACAACAATTATTTTATGTGGTGCTTAATAAACAGCTGATTGAGAACATATCAGAATGGGACAGGAAAGGGAAAAGGGTTACATGATTTGATATTATTTAAATATATTTGTGGCTTACACCCAGTAAATAAGATCGATTCTCAATTTAGTGTTCCTCAAGGGTTACTGTACAGTAGATTACTGTATTTCTATGAATGTTCTAAAACCCATCATAAGGCAATGCTCTGAGGTCAATTTTCTTCATTAACCAAATTTCTAACTTCACCCCTGGACCAAACGTTACACATACCTGTACATAACCCTAATATATCAGCCACTGACCTGATCCACTCCAAAAAAAGATGGACGCTTAGCAATTAAGGGTAATGTACATTGTAATGTTATTTTTGGTCTGTTATTGGTCTGATGGTTCATTTGTCTGGCTGGGCTGCAGTGGCGTAATGGAACAAATAAAATTGGGGGGGGGGGGCAGAATGGGCAAAAGTGAGAAGAAAAAAACCTAGCAAATCATGTCATTTCAGCTACATTTGTTAGAAATAAACCATGTTTGAAGTTTATTTTATAGTACGCCAGTGCTGGGCTGTAAAAATAACCGACACCTATACAAAACCTAAAAATGAAGCCCTAACCCAATCACATCTCTTTGATGAAATAAAGTTCAAATCTCGCTGGAGCAAATGCTTTGATCAGAATGTTAAATGTACCTGCCGAACTCCTCCTCCGCTTCTTCTGCATTCAAAGTCTTATAGGTCTGCATTGCTATGAAGTTATACCAGGAGTCTACCGGGTACGCCTCAAACGTCCCGTCGGCTAGCTGAGAGAGGATGAAGTAGCTTGAGTTCTCATTTATCTTTCCCTCCTTCCTTCCACGATACCTGCATCAAAATGTTAGACTTTAGCAGGCGGTGCGGAGACAAGAGTTTCAAAATATTGAAAATCAGGGCCCTGTGTTGATATCAATCGCAATTATGTACATAAGAGAGAGGGGACTGAAAACTTGCAATTGATTGGAGGACTTCCGATTGATTTGGATCAATCGCAACTCGTAATAATAACTAAGAAATTGAAAGTTTAAGAAATGTTCTGTACAGAGCAAATTGGAGAGAATATATGTCACAACGTTGCCAATTTGTGTTTTAATGATGACAACTCCAAAAATTCACTCATTTGTTTGTCTCGTCTTTCTGCTTTTATTAAAACCAATTAAATATCAGGGTGCACTTCCCCTTTAATTGCTGTTGTCTCATTCAACCTACCATTCACCCCTTTAATCCCCTGATAAATGCAGCAAATTTACAAATGTAATTGACTTTCATATAAGCATTTATATTAGGATAAAATAACATTTCCTTCTTTGCAGAAAACTATCAATAAGAAGAAGAAAATCATACTTCATTTCAGGACCTAATAAGAAGAAGATAAGAAGAAGAAATTATCTTTTCAGGAGCTAATATCATCAATAACCCATGCATGTATTTAATCCAATATGGCACTGTTTATGATGCAAAAGTAAAAATGGAGTTCAGAAAATGTACAGATCTGCTTTAATACTTTTTAGCTGTCTTGCCATCAGCGCCTCCCTGTTTAAGAATCCAAGGCTGGTCTTCTTCTTTGTACTTCTGGGCGATGACCCCGTACTTCTTCTGCCTTGCTACCTCTCTCCTCTCTCGGCCAAATTCACTCCCCTCCCCAAACTTAGGAAGGTCGTCCAGCTCCGTCTTGTAGTGAATCTTGTTGTTTTCTCTCTCCATCTTTGCCTGGATAATAATAATAATAGGCATTTCTATCGTGCCGTCTATCTAGAAATTCTATTCTGAGGCGCATTTATTATTACCCCGGCTTTAGCCTAGCCGCCATTACAGAGCTCTAGCATTTCAAGGAATTAATTCCTGCAAGGTACCCATTTACCTCACCTGGGTTGAGTGTGGCAAATGTAGATAAATGCAGTTTGAAGGGGAAATGATGGATAGTTAGGACTGAATAGTACATGGATTTGTCAATGAAGATCTACGCAGCCCTTGCAAACCAACACACTTTGACAATTCAATATGTAAGCATGTAAACACAATTTATAAGTATGTCTGTCACGTTGACAAAGAAAGAAAATGTGGGAGAGAGAGAGAGAGAGGGAGAGAGAAAGAAAGAGAGGGGGGGTGGTAGAAAGATTGGATCAGAAGATGAGCGGATAGAAAGATCATTACTATTGTACTCTGTGACAAAGAGTGCCAACAACAACCCCTCCTACCCCCAAAAGGTTATTATTCTGTTCACCACTGTTATCAGTTCAATTCAAGTTCATTCTTTATATCGTGAATACAGGGATGTGCTTTTTAAAAGCACAATGGTGCTAATATTCCATGAATAATACTATTTTCTGAATGAGGATTATCAAATTATAAAATGGTTTGGAAACGATGATTGATACAACACTACGGGTACTCTATTAAACCCATCATAAATACCTGCTTCCATTTAGAGAGGTTAACATTGTCATTTCTGTTGAATTGCATCACACTGTATTTCTTCCTCTGGTTCCTACCATGAAAAGAATGAAAGATGATAATTAGATTGATTGATTGATTGATTGATTGATTTTATTCCATTTCATACATTAATTGTTTGCAAAATAAAAACAGTTGACAAAGTAAGATCAAAATTATGAAATGAAACAGGAACCTACTGGAAAGCATAGCTTTTTTTTGTAGGTTCCCAAGAATAAATATAATACCTTGGAAATATACCTTGGAAGGGCATTTAAAGTTAAAAACTTATTTGCCTCTCGTTGACATTCGGATGAAGAATCCATATTTTGACACATGTTTAGTGGCGCTATACAGCAATTGACGAACATGGACAAGCGAAGAACTCCTCTGGGAGTAATATGAACATTATTTTCATGAATCATTTTAAAGTGTCTTAATAATCACAGTAAAATAGATATAATATAATAACATTTTCATAAACCTTTTTAAAGTATCTAAATAATCAAAATATACAAAAAGACCAGAATTACAAAACGGGGCACGAAGGTCAGGAAACTGACATAATAAGATAAGACAAGACATGACAAAGCAATTTATAACAGGACAAGATAAACAAGACATGACAGGACAAAACAAAACAAGACAAGAACAAAGCTGAAGAACAAAGATAGTGAAGGAGTGGGGAGGGGATGATTCTTCAATACTTAATGTTTTTTCTACATACAACACCAACAATTATCATTCAACTTTGCTTCAGAAGTTAGAAATGCTACAGGATTATTTTTTTGTTTCTTTAATGATTTTGTTCACCCCCATTTTGGATAACTTTTGACCATATACAGTTGGAACTAACATCAGACGACCTTTAGAGGTTAGAACTTATTTCATACAGGTTATTTCTATCTTAAATAAATGTATACAAAGAGACATGAATAATGATAATATTGGGGTTGTGTTTCCAAACAGCTTGCTGTGGATATGTCCGAACAACACTTCCAAATAAATGTAGCGATGTCAAAATTTGCGATGTGTTATTGTTTTTATAATAAGTTTGTTTGCCTTCTTGCACTATTCACATTTCATAGTAAGTTATGGGTGACAACGCAGGCATTTTGTAACATTCTAAAAGATAGTTGAAGAATTGCTGCAAATGACCAAACAATGGAGTGACAAATAATTGATTTAGGGGTCGGGTTATTCCTATGTTGTACAAAATCATAAAAATGTAAAACTAGCTGAAAAGACTTGATGGTATTAAAACATGTAGCATACATACTGTATAAGATAAGAATAAAAAGGTCCTGCTTGAGGTGCTCAAGAATACTTACTGAGGGAATCTGAAATCAAATTCCTTCACATCCCCAGGATTGGGTCTGGGAGTGGATGATAAAGATGATGTGCTCTGCAGAAACGAAAAGAAAAGTTTATATTGGTGGTGGTTGTTATTTTTTGTTTTTTACCTGACTGCTAAGAAAGCATAAATGCTTGTAAGTAAGCAACCAAACGGCCGACGGCTTTAGGTCCTCTCCGAGGGACTTGGTAATGAGGATTAATGTCTTACCAAAGGGCACTAGCGCATCGCCTTGGTTTCGAACCAGGGCCACCGGATTACGAAACCACTGCTCTACCGACTGATCTATCGCGCCTCCTCGATATTGTAGAAGATCATAAAGAGAATGAAAGAGTGCCATTACAGCAGCAATGCTAAAGCTGGGGTGACAAGACTGGACTGGAGGGCCTGTGCTTTCTTTTTTTTAATTGATATCAATAACATGTTCAAATTATTATTATTTACATGTAGCTACTGAAATTGTTGCATTTGATAGGCTGTGAGTGAAAATTGGACTTGTTACTAACAAAAAGTTGAATGAAACAGGACCCCAGCAACTTCAGACATGACAGACACAGGCGCTATCTATAATTGAAATTATTAAAGGCATCGTTTAACAATGTTAAATCTGTGATGCACAGCCCTACATGTTATCAGTGTCTGTGATGGTGTAATATTCAAAATGATCAAGAACTGCCTCAAAAAAGTAAAAATCTTTGAGTGACCGGTTTTACCATACTCGTTTTCCCCAATAGATCATAGTGTCATGAAAACCGTTAGGAAAACACAAAATTTGGTTTCGATTTACAATCATACAAGTCATGTAAATATCTTGATAATCAGACAGGCGATCGGCTTGTAAAAGTCACGGGGTTCCTGACTCACCTAAAGGTTTATGATTATCATTGCAGCATGAGCTAAATCCAGGATTTTGTTTCAGAATCTGAGACAAAGTTACTGGATCCCTTTAATACAATCACATGGTAATAAACACGGGATAATGATATGATGGCAGGGCCATCAAGGAGAACAGTACGATTACTGATGAGGCTACCCTGGGAAAACAAGACATATCATTATCATTATCATTATTATAATTATAAAACAGCAAACAAACTTTCTATTTGTTTGCTGTTTATGTGATGTACTATTGATTTGCTGTATACGCTACAATATTTACTTAGGATATGAATAAGCATCCACAAATCTATAGTTTGCACACAAAACAAAAGTCATCAAAATCCTTAAAGGCATGACCTGTATTGCATTGTAATTACTACCCGGTATGCAATGCACACAAAAATAAAGTCTGTAAACATAAATCATGTAATTCCAGGCACTAACTAAAGCACACAAGTCATAACAGATGGCATCACTTTGAATAAACAGAGATTACTCATATCTGTCATTCAGTGTGACTGATCACGTTTTATCGGCTGGAGTTCAAGGACATCTAAGCAGCATTCTAAAGGCGGTATCTCACTGAGCGGCGAATGCTTACGAACGCTACAAATTTCGCCAGATCTTAGCGAAGATTGTCAACTATTTGCCAATCCTTTGCCACTATTTGTGAATGTTTGGGACCTTTTATGGACCCTGGCAAAACTCCAAATTTGCAAGCATTCGTCACTGTCAGAAAAATAATCAGAAAAGCCAGCAAAACAAACAAAAGTACAAAGCTTGTCAAAAATCACATTATAAATGTACTGCACTGCCGATGTACAGTGAAAAGTACAAGCTTGAATTCATTACAAGATTTTGAATAGCTAGACAGTTTGTATAGGTAAAATACATGTATTATTAATGGACCCTCATTGAAATTCCAAAAAAAGCTGCAGTAATGCATGAATGTATGTGTGTTTTATAAGTCTACTGTCTACATTATTTACATATCACCAATATTTAGGGGAAAAAATTACTTTTTCTGAAGACAAGCCTGAAGGTGACTGATTGAAAGAGACTTTTTTTTGTCTTCATCAGCTCGAGATTGCCAAATGGCTCGCTATTTCTGATTTGGGAAATAAGCACGAAGTTACAAATCGCGTCATCATCAGCTTGAGACTCGACCTCGACCTCGAAACTCAAGAAATAAGCTCAAAATATTTTGCACAGCGTTCGCGCATAGTGCGAGTCTTCGGTCTGGTGAAGACGAGCAGACAAATAGAGGGATATTTTGCAAACTAGCCCATGATATCTTGGAATGATTATCTCGACCAAATATCCCGCTAATTGTAACTGCGGGCTGATGAAGACGCAAATTAGCTGGGTAATTTGCGATCAGGATAGTTAAAAAAGCGGGTTATTTGGCAATCTCGAGCTGATGATGACAGGCTTAGAGAACTTCAATTATCTTATCATTTCCTCAAATCTAATCCCTCTCCAGCATATCAAACTCATATTGCCACTTGATAACAATTTCTTTTTAGCACACACACATGTACATGTTACTGATAGGCTGTCAGGTTTCTAATTTCCTTACTGTATTGTGCTGAAAAGAGGACAAAGAAGTATTTTTAAACATGTCATAAACTGTCAGACTGTCAACCAATTCAAAACATACAACCATGCGGTACAATGGTCTGAAAATCAAGACTATTACTTATTGGCTCTTTAGCTCCTAAGTCGATTTTACAACTAATAGTCATTATTTTCCCACTTATAGACATTTTCAAGCCCCCTATTTTTAAGGGGAGATCTAAATTAGTATTATCTTTCAAATGCCATTGGAATTTAACCTTTTCATTTTTTTGGCCTGCAAATGGGACATTTACCTTTAAAGCAAACCATGTGAATGTTTCACCCTACAGCTCTCTTCCATGCCTAGCGCAAGAATGTTGTCAACTCTTTTTTAAAAAAAAGAGAGAACATCCTTTGTGCACTATAGGATTAGGAAGTATCATATTGCATGGAATGACAAGTCAACATGGGTGTCATAATTCTTCAATTCCTCACAGTTCAGAGTATCTGGTTTCTTGTTTCCCTGATTTTCAGAGCTCCAATTAAATGCCACAAGTCCCTATAAGGATTCTGCAAAAACCTTCATGCAACACTTCATAACCATTCAAGTGCTACTGAAACAAACTTCTATCAAGGAACATTTTTTAAATCGTTGATTGTACAATTCATGCTGTCTTTCATCATCATTACATTTTAGACTGAACCTGTGATCAAAATTTTTGTTTTCCATCAGAGATGGATTTCTACCATAAGGAATATACTTTTTTGATAAGCATCTTAAGGGAGGTAAGCGAACATTATTTATGTAATGTTTTGGGTTTTAATTTGGCCTGCAAAATTACCCCCCCCCCCCCTCCCCAGAAAGAAGAAAAATCACCTCTAACTGAGCCACAAAGTTGTAGTATTTAACTATGTTTAATTTTTCATCATCTTGATAAAAAACTACATGTATGATCATTTCCAATTAACAAAGAAAATACCCCCATCCCCCAAAAAAGGTATCTGCTCCCCCCCCCCCCCCACCCCCAGCAAATAATATTTATTTGACAAGCTGTAAAGATACAAATTTGATCAAATATGGAAGTACTGTTTTTAGTTGAGAAGAAAAGCAGATTAATAATGGGCACTGAAAGGGCTAAAGACCTTTCTTTCACTTTGTGTAATAAATTCATTCTTTCTGATTAATTATTATTCATTTTTGTATCTTGTTGGAGTTTGGTCTAATCCCCCAACCCACCATAGTTTGATTGGTCTAGTGAAACCCCTAAATGATGATTATCAAAGACCCACAATGTCACATTGTCACAATAAGAGAGAATGCTACATTTTCAAACTATTTTGAGATACTGTCTTACATTTACTCATGCTCATAAAAAGTATGTTCCTCATTTCCTTTTAATTTGTCTTAGAATAAACAATAAACAGTCTTCAAAGTCTGAAAGGGAAATTCAACCTTAATAACAAACAACTATACCCTAGCTTTAACTCATTACACTGTAACTGACATTTCTCAAACATAAATTAATTAATACAAATATGCTAATACATTCACTGGAATGACTGGATATCAATGACCACTATCAGAAAGTCAAAATTTTAAAGAATTTCAACAAACAATGCCATGATTTCATATTGAGATGGAATTACTTGTGATATGATATCATTGAAAAAATTGATTGAAAAAGATATTCAGATGTGGCTGTGCTCCAATATGCCTCCATCTATGTTCGATTGATCCCTTGACCTTTAAAGGTACTATGTCCCTTTTGCAGCCAACTTCAAATTCTGTAGAACTTTGCAGGTATTATGAATATGTCACACATGTCCTCTCTGTGAAATTTAAACATTAGCAGTGTCCTAATATTCAAATTATGCAAGGAAACCCGTTTACTTGCTAGACTTCACTGTCAGACACTATTGCGTGAATGACTGGCTTTTTTCTTCTTCTTTGGTAATAACATACATAAAATGAGCTGTAAATGGTACATGAGCATTTGTCTACATCAATAACCCACTTCTTGTAATGGCCAAAATTAAACTGATTGAATTTTTGCGCAGCATAAAATGTACAACCATTCAGTACAATGGTCTGAAAATCAGACTACTTATTACTTACTGGCTCTATAGCTCCTGAGTCGATTTGACATCTAATAGTCATTATTTTCCCACTTAAAGACATTTTCAAGCCCCATTTTCTTAGGAAAGTTCCAAATTAGTATTATCTTTCAAATGCCGTCAAAATTTAACCTTTTCATTTTTTTGGCTTGCAAATGGGACATAAACTGTACCTAGTACCTTTAATATTCTACCTCATGAACAAAAACTTGTTCCAATGATTTTCTGTTTCATGCTCAAGGAGTTGATCCAAGCTTGGTTAAAATTAATATGCTTCAATGGTTTTGATGTCACAATGGTAACAAGATATTTTCTGTGATTTTTAAACAAAACTTTTACCCACCTGACTAGTTACATGCAAATCTTTATTCAGTTCATTCTTTTCCTTTATTGCAAATTGAACCCAGTTTGATAAAAAGCTATTTAATGGATCGCAAGTTGTTACAGAACCAAACAGTGGGACAGACATATGGAAAGACGGGCAAACAAACAGATGGACA